TTCGATGATGAACACTTGCAGACTTTGTTTTGTGAGGTCGAAACTATAATGAACTCACGACCTATCACCAAGGTGTCAGATGATGTCAATGATCTCGAGGCCTTGACTCCTAATCATTTGTTATTGTTAAGAGCAGGAGAATCTTTACCAATAGGTGTGTTTGATAAAAGTGACAATTTCGCGACACGTCGCTAGCGCCAAATTCAGTATCTTGCCAGTATATTTTGGAAAAGGTGGTCCAATGAATATTTACAACTCCTACAGGAAAGACAAAAATGGATGATGCCAAAAAGAAATATCCGCATTGGAGATGTAGTAATGATAGTAGATGGCAATTACTTAATTTGCGCCTGGATGTAGGAGACTGTTATTGACAACTTGTTCGCTTAAGCAAGCGTGGTCTTCAGCACCAGTTTTGTAACGCTTGGAGGGCATAAAACACGGTAAGATGAATTACCGCAGCATATTAAGTTATAGTTTAATCTAATCCATAAGTTTTGTAATGTGTTATAGTCATATATTGTTATTATACGATGATATTGACAGTCGACATGCATGACCGATTTATCACGTGGTTGTGCAGGTCCCAGAAAATTCCAGGCACTCGATGCTATTTTATGTTTCTTTATTAAGATAGTTTATTGATAATTATTGTCAGGTGCTTGATTGGTTTATTTATCTTTTTCAGTCAATCACCACCACCGTCATCATTATTTATTAATATGTAGCCTATGTGAATGTCTCTTGTCTTGAAAGATCTTCTATCAACTGTATAAGATTTTGAGATGTATTAAACCTGTTACCAAATTAAACAATATTCTAAGAGTTTTGGTGCATTGTTGTTTGTGCCCTACACATGTAATTTCTAACTTCTATTAACTTCTATTATGTAATTTCTAACTTCTATTCATGTAATTTCTAAATTAAGACATAGATAATACCGTATGATTGCCGACTCGTCTTCAGCCCTTTACGTGATGTTGCGTTCTGGTTCGTGCGCATATTTTTTTGCGCGGGGGGGGGGGGGTGTTTACTTCCGGTCTAGCTTTCGACAGTACGTACGCACAGTGACACGCGAAATTGACGTTTTTGAAACTTACGTTTATGAAATTAATAAAATGAACACGTATATAAAAATTATATGAAAAAAAAGAACAAGATATCTCCTTCCAAAATATTTTTAGATTATTGCAAAAGATTAAATAGCTACTGTGTGACGTTAAGTTGAAAAAAGGTTATAAATGGGCAAAAAATGCCTTTCTTCATTCATGTACCGTACCAATTTACACTAAAATTAGGAAATATTTTTGATATAGAGATAATACTTCAAACACCTTTATTTTTATTTTTCTAATACTTCAAATAAAATGTTCTACAATTTAATTTTCAAAAGGAAAAAGGTTATATTGCGAGCTAACTAACCCGCACCTCTGTGCCACAAACGCCTAGGCCTATCTTAGATCTATGCCTATAGTAATTAGTATGATTAATAAAATTAGATGTTGCATTTTATTATCAATTGCATGGTATATTAGAACAGTTTTAAAAATCTTGTTTATATTCAAATGTGCATTTTTTTAAAAATAAATTCAGCTTTGTTTGTGTACTTTAGTTGATAAAGATGTAAATATCCCTACAAAATTATTTTCCAATCCAGGCCTAATTAATAATTTAAGAAAATGGCTATTTATTTATTGTAAGTCCCTCTGTCATTTAATTTTATAAATGCAGACCCCCCCCCCCCCAAAAAAAATACACATACTTTTTTTTCAGCTTGCACAACTGGAAAAAAGTTTACTTATATAAATCCACCCCCAATGTAAGCAATTATTTCATAGTCTTTTCGATCTAGGCTTTGTTGAGAAATTAAATAAGCTTCAGTAGATATAACAATTATATATAAGGAAAAAGAAAACACTATTAGTATTAAATAAATACTACTACTAGCGTGATAAAGATGAAAGCGACTCTCATCACTGAAGAGCACACTTTGCCAGTCTACTCTTCTCCATGGCTGGTGTCCTTGAGCCCATATCAAACGCCGCTGACGGTGATGATCCCTGGGGATAGATCCAACATAAGGTCGTCGTGCACGGAGTACTACTTCTCTTAGACGACGTCTTACGGTGTTGGCACTTACTGGTCCTTGTCTTCCGACGACTGCTGCACCTGTTCGAGTCGCTGGGCGGAATCTGTCACGCAGATGAGTGACCCGGATGTAGCGGTCTTGAGCCTGGGTTGTAACGCGTTGTGGACCAGGAGGTTGACAGTCACGTGTTGATCCAGTAACTCGAACACGTTCCACCAACCTTACAATAGTGGACTGATGACAATTGAAGTGTCTGGCAATAGCACGTGTGGACATTCCCATGGCTTCATTCCGTTGATTTTCAGTAAGTCTCGGCATCTCTAGCTCGATTCCTTCACACGTCCAACAACAAATTACGACAGATTGACGTTTCACAGTTCATGTACTACACATTAAGTTGAAAACATGCTTTTAAAGGGCCCACACACAATGCTGCACGTAAATATTGGGTTTTTCATGTGCATCTCGTGCAATTTTTTTTTTGTGCACACGGGCCGATATTTTTTGCGTTTGGGAGCATTGTGTGAAACAATAGTTCATAGTATTGCATAATATTATACATACAAAACCACCTAGTAATAAAATATTTGGGGAAAAAAGTGATGCGTTTTCCATGGCGCTCAGTTATATCTTAGTTGATGTTCATATCGTCTTATGTATTTGTCAACATCAAGGTGAACTTGCTCTATTGTCCGATTAGCCTATTCAGACTTGTTACCACGAATTTACTCACCCCACCCTCGCATAGTTATGAATATTCTTGTTTCACTTGACTAAAGAAACATTTTGTAGGATTGTGTGCTTTTATAGATTGGACACTTGTTTGCTATATCAAATAACATAATATTATATGTTAGAGAGGCGTCAGTTCTGTGATTTCTTAGAAATACATCATTGCATTGATGTCATTTACAGCCTTTTATCAGAAATAATGATATTAGATATTAACGGAGACTTCACCTTTTCGTCTTGTATAGACTATTTGATTAAGTGTAAAAACTTGTTAGACTCACAGTCTTCTCAAAGACTTGCAAATTCAACACTTTCAGTAAGTGTGTCTGGGGATTTAGGAAAGTACCGTATTTTAATGACATGCAAAAATAGTCACGTGATCAAATTTATTTCCGTAATATGCATGGAGAAAATCTATAGCAGAAAATCTCGAGTAGAAAATCTGAAGTTGAAAGTCGAATGTCAGAAGTTGATTATTGAAAGTAGAAATTATGTTGTTGAAAGTATAAATTCTGTTGTTGAAAATATAATATTTACGACTTAAAGTTGAAAAGGTGGACGTATTAGGTTGAAAAGCACGATCGGTTAATTAACACGATAATGACATACTAATAATTCTAGAAGCATACTGTATTTCACTAATATAATGTAATTCAATATAATAATACTAAAGGTAACACACCATATTCTGATATTTCATAACTAAAATGTATTACTAATAACACTACCATGTAAAGACGTTCTCCCAAATATAGGAAGCTACTACAACGAATGACTTAAATGTGTTAGTTATCTATGTCACACTTCTAATAGTTAATACAATAGTATTTATCATTCTGAACAGTAATCTATCATATTAAACATGGATATAAAATTTAAAGGGCAATTTGGATATTTAAATTGAAATGTTTTGAAATTTGCCTTAAAATGTCTAGAAACTTGAATTACCGGTACGTTTTAAAATTCACTTCAAAGTACTTCATAGAAAGGATCCATTTGGCGCAGTGCTGTTTATGATGGCTGTTGTATAGCGTGGTGACTCGGTGTGTAAGGCGCTGGCTCGCTACCCTTACGCAAATGAATTGACGACATTTGATATCCGAAGTGTTCATTTTTAGCACACTTCAAAAAACACACTTCAAATTTTCAATGAAATAAAGAAGGCAGAAATGATGTTCGTAGTGAGGATGACACCATATCAAATATCCAAATTAGGCTTCACTAAGTGTACATTTCATGAACACTTCAATTACCTCACGTTTGAACACTTCAACAACGTGTTATCTACACTTCAACCGAGTGCTTATAGGGTGGGTTTTTTTTCACTTCGACGGAGTGCTGATAAGGTGTTTTTCTCACTTCAACTCGGTGCTTATCGAGGGTTTTTCTCACTTCAAACCGGTGCTTATCGAGTGTTCTTCTAATTTCAACCCGGCGCCTATCGAGTGTTCTTCTCACTTCAAACCGGTTCTTATCGAGTGTTTTGCTCACTTCAACCCAGTGCTTATGGAGTGTTTTGCTCACTTCAACCCAGTGCCTATCGGTTTTTTTGTTCACTTCAACCCAGTTCTTATCGGGTGTATTTCTCACGTCAACCCAGTGCTGATCGAGTGTTTTTCCCACTTTAACCCAGTGCTTATCGGTTGTTATTATCACTTCTACCCAGTGGGTTGGATGACCGAATGGTAAGCACGTGCGCGCTGTATCATAAGGCCTGTCATTGAGTCAACTGGCGTGGTTTCGTATCCCTGGTTGTATGTGATAAGGATTTGGGTCGCCTGTCCAAACTCGTGGGTTTTCTCCGGGTCCCCCGGTTTCCTCCCACTGCTAAAGTCGCCTACGTGAATGGGAATTATTGAAATAAAATTCAACCATACGTTAGTCCCGAAATGACCTAGTTTGTGTCGAGTGGGCGTTAAACGCTCTCTCTCTCTCTCTCCCAGTCTTGACCGAGAACGTCAGTGATGCATGCAGGTCGGGGGCCTAGCAAGGAACAGCGTCTGTCGGCTGGTGAGATGAAAAACTGAGGTCGCGTGTACACATTGGCCTGCATGTAAAAGTGCCCATGGCTGTTAGAATTCGAAATAACAGTCGACCCTCATAGTACATAGTATGGAGTCTTCATTAAACCAGTTCGTGCAGAGAAGTAGGATATTTTTTTAAAAAAAGAAACATGTCATTGCTTTTATAACGTCTTTAATAAAACTTTAAAAAATATAAACAGGTTACAAAAATTACATCTTTTAGATCTCAAAAGGAATGTGAAATAAATAAACAATAATACACAGTCATCTCAAATAATATTATGATAAAGTATGTTCTGAATAACCTACAAAAGGCCTACTTCTTCTTGAAAATCAAAAATATTTATCAGAAATTAATTAAGAAAAACCGGGCATAAAAACTTTGCTCACATTACAAATTAATATTTAACTTCCTGTACAATATTTAGGCAATCATAGGCATGATTTCTAAACTGGATTTAAGAGCATAAATAATAAAAAAATATACAAAACATAGCATTATTAAAGGGACTTTATGTAAGATTAGATAAAGAGCTAAGAGTTTTTGCTTTAATAATATAATACAAATGTAGGTAATAAAAAGGGAATATGTTGAAAATTTGAGTCAAATTACTTCACTCTGAGCTGAGTTATCCCCATTACAAGAACAGTGTATCATCGATTGTCATTGTTACCGTTGTTACGATAATAAACAAAGTCTCGATTATCCATTTTTACGTTAGAGAGATATGGCAAGAAACTTTTAATATAACAAGTAATAAAAATAAAACAACGATTAAAGCCTACACACACAAAAACTTTTATTTGTTGGCCAAGAACATCGGCGACGAATAATCATTGGTCTGAGATAAATTTTGCAGACCAACAAATTGTCTCAAACGTCTGCTATATTATGTGTGCAATTTTCTGACAATCTATCACCGTCAATCTGGATTACTAAACAGTTTGTTTAAAGGGGTGGTTGCACGAGCTAAATCTGCCTACTGCAGCCTTTTCTTTTGGCTTCAAATGTTACATAAACTATTATTTAGACATTTATTCACGAGGCAAGCCTATAATCAACTGTCTAGACAATTGGATCGCGGGGATTGAAACGGAGTGAAACACGGTCGCCATTTAATGATTCGATCTAAAATGGCGAATCGAGGCTAAGCCTCGTATCACAAGTACCACTGTTAGATAATATACACTATGTCACATCTTGTCAAAACATCAAACAATGATTTCTTCGCTCAGAATAAAGTACTTTGAATGACATTTTCAATATATTCATTTTATATCATCTTTTATTGTTAATTATTATAGCAAGAACGACTAGTCTTTTATCTAAATCGTACATAATGCATCTTTAAACTGGTTCATTCAGGTTGAAAGTCCCTGGTTAACTTTTTTTTATCTTACTGAAGTGCAACTTTTTGAAGCAGTGGATACTTTTATAGTCTCAACCTGGGTTGTCAGACAGATTGTCACCCAGGAGAGATGGACTGTTAGTCACAAAAAGTGTTTGGTGTGTGCAGGCTTTAAAAGAGACATATCCATACATTAAGCCTGTTTATCTCCCTTTGATTGAAATAAACAAAGTTTTACCCAATTAACTAGGAATGTCTAGTCATATTATCAACACATATAAAAGGGGGTTAATCCCGTCAAACTAAAGTATTGAACTGGGTTAATCCAAAGTGATATATCAATTAACGATGAAAAACTCTTTTTCCATTGAATCTTTGTCTACTAATAAATTTATTTTCGTTTCAGACTTCCAAAAAGGAAATTAACAAATTTTAAATGCTACGTTTTACCCAAGTCAAAGAGGTCATACACTTTAAAATTAAATTAAACAAACAGATATTATGAGAACATGTAAAATATAAATATTATGTATAATAAATGATAATAACCTTACACCACATTATAAATATAATATGTAATTATATCTTACGCTGTCTGGCGCATTGGGGCATTAGGAATTACTCAAATTTGTAAATAGTTTTGGTATTGGGTTGATGTGATGATGATGATGATGATGATGATGGTGATGGTAATGATGACGATGCTAATGATTTTGTGAATATGATCAATAATATGAAGACTGTTTATACGAGACTATCATAAGATTTCATATTTAACTTTTTTAAAACCTCATGAGTATTTTTAGTGTGTAATTTTTCATATTTCATAACCTGTTCATCTACAATAATTTCTGGGTAGCAGTTTGTCCAGCCTTGAGGGCATTGTCTATAATGGTGTATTGCAGCTACTTCGGGTTTCACGTATATACTGAAATTAAATTAAAACAATTATATTACTATATTCAAGCAGATGACCGAGTGGACTAACGCGTGCGCTTTAGATCTTATGGTATGTCATTGAGTTAAGTGACATGGTTTCAAAGCCCTCACTTGTACGTACGGAGTAGCGTCGCCTGTCCACCCTCGCGGGTTGCCTCCGGAACCTCCAGTTTCATCCCACTGCTAAAGACACCTACGCTCAACAATATTATTGAAATAACACCTAACCATAATGATGTTAGTCCCGAAATGACCTAGTTTGTGTCGAATGAATGTTAAACCTCTCTCTCTCTCTCTCTCTCTCTCTCTCTCTCGTTTAATTTTATCAATATATTCTGCACGCATGTCTGTACTTTATTAAAAATGTCACACTTTCTTGGAAATTTTTTGGAAAATTATACAATAAAGGAGTGTACTTACTTAGTAAAAGAACCAATTGGGGAAAAATAATGAACAATGGCGGTGAGAACTCTGGACGGCAGATAAATGTATTTCTGACATTCCCATCTCGGTTTGGCAGATCTTAAATGTTGTTGAAAGAATATATCCGTATCATTTCTGTATCTACCCCAATCCTCTAAATGGAACTGAACATAGAAGTAAAATCCCGCAGCTGTAGGATTTTCACTAGTTAAATTCTGAAATAAGAATGAGAAAGTCACGTGACAACAGCTTAATTATTGGCAACACTAAACAAAGTTGGCAGGGTATTTTTTATAAAATAGTTTTTTAAAAAAAAAACAGGTACCGCCATACTGTGGATAGGAAACCTCATATCAAAAATCCCCGTCCGCCAATATATATGCAATTGTCCAAGGAACAAGTATGCAAAGTTGTATGTCAATCGTGCATGAATTTGGCGGGGTCTTTCGGCTTTTTTTCGAAGAGCTTTGGTACAATGAGCAGCCATGGGGATCAGATAAATACTACAATGATTGTAGATATGAACAACTAGATTGCGGGTATACAATACCGTTAATAATTATACAGAAAGAAGCACAACAAAGGTGTCATTGTCGGGAAATGAAATGAAATGAAATGAAATGGAGTATAACGTCCCACTGCTCTGCTCCTAAACTGGGCTAATGAAGACGGGCATACGCCATACAGTGTGCTATGAGGGAAATTTTGCCCGGGCAGCGGCGCTACGGCCTACTCTTATATCGAATTCCAACTGCCAAGGGATCTTTTACGTGCACGCCAATTTGTACACGGGACCTCGGTTTTTCGTCCCATCCGAACGACTAGACAGCTGTCCTCACAGGCCCTCCGTCCTGCATCACTGACAAGGGGAAACCACGCCGGAAAACCCGGATGAACTTTCTCGGCCAATGCAGGGATCGAACACCCGACCTCCAGGCTAGCGAGCCCGCGCTTACCCACTTAGCCACGTGATCCCCTTGTCGGGAAATATTATCCAATATGTCTAGAATATTTGATAAGTATTGATATTAGTCTAAAGTCTTAAAGTAATATCTAACATATCAATGAAAAGAGACGCCGTGTGTTCTATAAACAATAATCATTATTTGACCAAATACGGCAAATAGGGCATTTGCTGAAAGCAATACAGCAACGGCGGCGTGAGCATCCGCATTGGAACGTTGCAGTCAATAAACTTGGTGAATGTCATCCAAAAAGATGTCTGTTAACAAATACAGCATCACAAAATGTTGTGACGTCATTTAGTTTGTGAGAATGTTCTCTTACTGTCTAATCTTTTGCTACTAATACTATATGGAGAATTGTTAGCTTAATGAACTGGCCAATTTAGAGTTATTTTTTTATCAAACAATCCAACAGCGATGCTTGTATTTCATTCGCCTCTAAACTAAACAGATCACATGCATTAATTAATTCCGTATATATCTTTACATCAGTCAAACTGCTTAAACGGGGCAGACAATGCTCACTGGTCGAACTTGGTCAAAATAATGATATACTTAATCTATAGTCATCACACCACTCAATTAGATTCAAAGTAAGCGTTTCCTAAAGCATCACCAAACTAAGCTGACTATAGTAGAAAATGCTCAAAGTAAGCGTTTCCTAAAGCATCAGCAAACTAAGCTGGCTATAGTAGAAAATGCTCATAATCGAACTCCAATCACCTGATGAACATCTAAATCAAGTTTGAACCTACTACCCAAATCAGAAACTGAGTTATCGTGTTCCAAAAGTTTTGACAGGCAGACGAACCCATTTTAACCGTCCCCTACTTTCTGTAACAGACAAGGGGCAATAATATAGATTCATGTGAAATATGATACTTTACTTTTAGCAGTTGTTTTAAAGTTAAAAAATTGTTTGGTATAATAATTTCATCAAAGTCAGCAGCCATCAAATACTGGTAACCTCCCAATCTCTGGTGACAGTCTAATATAGTCAAAGCTTCGTCGTGGGAATCCTGGGGTTTTACCCGGTTAACAAAACTCCGCTGCACCAATCCTAGTTTTAAAAAATACATAATGAATAAAACCATGGACCTTATAACACAATCATAAAACAGAAATATTGGACATTGTCCCATGATACAAATGGGGCCAGGGTAGCTCACAGACGCAAGGCACTAGCTTTGTGACCTGGCAGACAAAGTTCCTAGGGATTCCCCCTTGTCAGTGGAGCAGAGCGGGTGGCCTGGCAAGGAAGGCAGCATCAAAAGCAAATGGCTCCTTTCGTTGTATGTGCTCAACAATATTCAAATATCCACAAAACTAAATTTGAATGTGACACCGGAACAATGGTCTACACTACCCGATAGACAGAAATTGACCACATACCAATCAAATAATAATAGCTATTTACCTGGCATTTTTCCAGGTAAAGAATATGGTTGTACTTCTAATAAACCTTCATCCACATAATGTCTAAATACTGTTTTAATATCGTCACCACAAGCTAAATCATATACAAGTATTTTATCTACACCTAACATCTTCTGCATCTCAAACCACTCAATTAATCTAGATGGCTTTAATAAATGTCCATAAGCTACTTTCGCACAGATAGCTAGACCTTGCTTCGCTTGCTTTTGATGTTTAATAGGTAAATAATCCGCTGCATTATCACTACAGGCAGTTGTGGTTAGACTTATATTTACATGTTTAACTCCCTTGCCAGTTTGTTGAACTTTACACACATATTGAGTGGCATCATATTCGGCGTGAAAAAATAACTGTGTTATTGCAGGAAGAAACTGATGATGGTTATGTTTATGATAAAATTCAGCAGGAGTTGTTAGCATAGATCCATCGGATCGTGAAACACAACATACAAATTTACCATATCCTCTCGTACCATCCAATCCTGATAAAACGATGTTTAACTGATTAGTAGATTCTGTATCAGGCCTTGCTATAGCTGATAGAAAGTAACTATCTTCTCCACGAACCTTAATGTAATATTTATGTTCCCTTCTTAGGTTTTCATTTGTTTTCGAATTCCAATTCCATTCCGTTGTAATGTTAGCAAAGTATGGTTGTTTCTGAAATCAAACAAGCTTTAAATGTTAACAACCTGCTTCTAATCAAGGGGGCATCATAATTGCACACATTCTAGCATGGTGGTCAACTGAGCAATAGTTGATTCGCTACAAAACTGCACAATTCAACAATAATTATTTTACCATTAACATATTTATGGGAAAGGAGGATATATTTTTATGTATTAATCTACTTTATCTATTTTAATCTATATTATACTGTTTACAAAGATGCATCCGGTTAAAGAAGCTATGCCACTATACTTGGATAAAGAATTAAAAGTGGTTGATTTTTTTAGCTGGATGTTATTTTATTTCATTACACATCTATGCATATATGGTATCCAAATACCGCCAATAATTGTCGATCCAAAGATTCGATAGGGTTCACTCCCTACTACAAAACAATCAAAATGATAAGAAGATGAATATAGTCATCAACATCCCGTTCAATTTAGACTGTGAATGTATGACAAAATGAGTCAGAGGGTAAATTTTCATTCTTACTTGTATTTTGGGCATGCATTAAATTAATTGAATATAGGACATAATATTATAATACAATTATGATAAATCTATAGGTATACACCAGTGGCGTCGTGCCTATTGGGGAAATAAAAATATTTTTATTGATATTATTAAGACAGAAGACCTGTCCGTCTGTATTAGTCATCACGCGGTCTCCAGGAATTGTATAATTTGTCATTATCCGTGTTTAGTTTATTGCACTTTAAATAGTTTAGATGTCATTTGTTAAGGCATCGCCCAACAGCAGCCTCGCTTCGTACACTCTATCAATTAGCCTCGATCTGGGAGTATGACGTCAATGTAACGGTAAAACTCCGCACTCGGCAGATTCCGTTACTCTACATCTAGCCTCGGCTGTATGACGGTAAGTGATATGTACCTACGCCTATACAATTGCGATGCGGCATCGGTTTACTTATTAGGAAAACTTGCCGCTTTTAAAAAGGTGTTATCAAAATTGCGTCGCTCAAAGCGTGTGTAGAATTGTCAGTGCAAAGTTGTCCTTGTTTGAAGAAAATCGGATAAACTTGAAAGAAAAACAGCTTCAGACTTCGAAATATTTGTATGATAAAACATCTTTCAAAGGCGTCGTCATGGGAAACGCCGTTGGTAATCCCGGAACTAGAAAGTAGTTCCAATGGCGTACTTCATCATACAGCCGAGGCTAGATGTAGGGTACTGGAATCTGCTGAGGTTTGCCGAGTGTAAAACTCCGCTCACGACGCCATTTAAAATCAAATCAGTCAACGAAATCCCGTTTAAATCCAAGCTGAATCCAAGCCATCCGTGGGTCTACAGAGTTGATTTTGTGCTTGTTGTGTAAATAAAGATCTAATTTATAATTTCTATGACATCTGAAGCCTAAATAAAGACTTGCAATAATCAGATTTAGCTCTTGCATAATGTATGTTTAAAAAGGTGGGGCATTGTATAAACTTCCAATTACCATGACGTTAAAAAGCATTTATAAATACATACCCATCTTGTGACAAACTGAGCCGTAACAAAGAAAACTAAAGTTAAAATTCCTAATAGAACCAACGTCCTTTTATGCCGCCGGTGAAACCTTGTAAATTGTGTCATGATTGTTTTCTGTTCATCTGTAATGGAAATAAAAAAATTCTATTCATGATGACATTATTTACGGTTCTAGCTATTGGCTCCTCGTTAAAATCCAAGTTCCAGCTTATATATTATGTACATATCATAGACACCATATCCAAAATTTTAAAAATTTCATCAAAAAGTAAGAAAGTTATGGATAAATGAAATTGGCCATAAATAAGGCTCATGTTGGACGTTGACAAAAATTTCAATTATACATAATTGTTTCAATTTTGTATGAAATCATTTAAATTTTGGATACAGCGTCTTGACTACGTGGTCACATGGGTTTTTAACTCTTGATTTTCACCCCATGTGCCCTCGTTCATTGTGAAATAAAGTTTGGTCTCCAAGGGATGATGTTGAATATCTTGTGTGTAAGATATCCAGCCTACAATCAAGCCAAACATCACATTATCAGAGCCATTTATGTCGCCAACAAATCCATGGGTCATGATTACGTTTTCATTGCATCTCAGTATGTGAATATGGACGAATCATTATCGATATATTTGAAGATAATTCATATCGTGAGGCACTCTTATCTCTAACCAGCACATAAATAAGTACGTGTTCAAAATCTAACCTGACCTACATCATTATTCTATGTCAATAACTTGATTGTGCGTAAGGTTCTTTAGCTGTGGGATAAAACCGTAGGACCCGGGGAAAGTACACGGGGTTAGGTAGGTGACCATACTCCTTTTCGCGACATTTGGTTGAAACCACGTCACTGGAATAAATGGCAGGCTTTACCAGCTGAAGCGCAAGTGTTAGGCCACTCGATCCCCCCCACCCCCACCCCCACACGCCCCTCACTCGCAGCCCCCCCCCCCTCTTCTTAATTTAAGAAAACGGAATCAAAATATCAACAATATCCTTTTTAGAAATTCAACTTTCAGAATAATGTACTGGTATTCATTTTAGAAATTCAACTTTCACAATAATGTACTGATATCCCTTTTAGAAATGTAACCTTCACAATAATGTTCTGGTATTCATTTTAGAAATTCAACTTTCACAATTATGTATTATTTTAGAAATTTCAACTTTCACAATAATGTAATCTTCAGATTCTTAAAATGATGATCAGTGACTTTAGTATCAAATAGGTAATAAACCAGATTAGAAGATATATATACACAACCTCATGCCACTCAATATTCCTCGAGACAAGGTTATTCCTAGAGCATTTTATCAACAGTAGTTCAAGACGTTTTCATACTGTCAGTCGACCAGCACACCCCTTCGATACAATTCAATGGAAAAATTATACGAAACGCTCTTTTCCGAATTGGCTATTTTCTATTTCCCGAGCACTCGGTTTAATGTGTATACCATGAAAATTCATGGAAAGCCATTGTAAATAAAAACGGACATTTTGTTTATCTGCTGGTGTTGGAACTAAATAATGCATATTTTAGAAAGGCGTATTTGATCATGCGCAGCGGGTTAGTAGCCACTAAATGACACCTCTTCAATGGGTTTGATTTTGCTGCAGTAAGACATTAAACCCTATTTCATTTCATATATTTTACTGATGATGATTTCAAACATTGGATTAGATTTTGATGATCATAATTAAGCCGGACACAAACAGACAGTGTATGCATTAACCGTATCTAACAAGTGTCAAGACTACATTAAACCATTTGACTAGTATTAAAACGCTCATACAACAGGTGTGCACTGCCAGAAATTGTCCAACCTCGACATTATAACGCTGTGCATGAGTAACTCAAGTTTATGTTCTCGTTTATCGCACAAATTGAACATGTAACCATTCTAAAATTTTAAAACGTCTAATAGCTATACATAGATCTACCTGTAATTTAATAATTTGCTCACAAGCATATAACAAGCTTGTCGATAGCGCGAACGTGTTTGCTCTACTTTGCTATCCATTCTTTGTTTGATGACGTTCGCGGGAAAATGTCCTATCGTGTGTTATCACTCATCACTTCAGTCAGTTATATAGCAGGATAACTCGTGTTTTCCTTTTGCGTTCGTCACTTCCGTTTGTAGAAACCTTTATTATGCATCTATCGTAGCAATGACCTCTATGTTAAACTTATATTTTGAACGTGTTAAACCAGTTCTATCACATGTGATAATGACTGACACCAATATTGTCCTCTAAAATAATATTAAAGGGCGCATAGCTCTATACTTTAGAACCTAACAATAGACAAAAATCGGTCTAAAAGCACATATTCATTTAATATTAAGTAAATAAAGTCATTTACTTTTAATTTTAAACATTATGTCTTTGTAGCTTAGGAGGGACTTATGAAGGATTAGTTTTTTTGCAAACTAAATAAGTTGCCTCATTAAACAAAGTTATTATTATTATTATTATTATTGAATGACAGTCGTTGGCGCCTGCTTACAGCTTAGTCCATTCTATGCTGGGTTTTCCGATTATTATTTTGTCGTTTAATTATTTCCGCAGTGTTTCCTGTGGTACGTTTTTCTTCGTTCATTACAAATGGCACTCAAACCAATATGTCCCCAGAGTACACGAGGTCGTATACTTGTTTTAAAACGTTTATCGTGTCTTAAATATTGGATATTAGGATCTTTTGTTTCCACGGTAAGACATAAACTGATTTACATTCAATCGTTTCATTCTGGCACGCGATTTGTGTGCGAATTTTCAAATTCTCATTTTGTCTTAAATATTGGGTATCAGAAGCCCACCTTTTCACAGTAGGATAACAACATCGATGATGATTTAAATTGACCGATAAGTTGTGTTTGCTATGTCGAAGACTGTGGATGATATTGATTTAGAGATTTGCCTCGTTTAATATTAAACCGAGAAATTGAAATGTTCCCTGTACACAATAGTATTATCAAAGCACTTGATTCAAACTGATAACGTATTGTTTGCAACATAGACATCGATAATAAAATAATTGCGAAATATTTTAATGCTGATCTCACATCAGAAAATGGCATCGTTGTAAACAATGCAGATATAATACCTAAAAGGCAACACAAGACCGCCAAACCCAATTGTCACTATTTGAAGGGGGAGTTCTAGATCTCGTATTGTAATCGCTGATAAATTGGTCAATAAGTGGTACAATTGTCTTGTAGTCTGTGTGTGTGTGTGTGTGTGTTGGGGGCGGGGGGTGGCGTCTACTCAAAACAAACTTTGGGTTTAGCGTCCACTCATTACAAATTATGCCATTTCGGGACTATCATGCGGTTTAATTTCATGTCAATAATCCCTTTGTGCGTAGGCGTCTTTATCAGTGGTTGGACAGGTGACCTTATTTCCTTAGAAACGAAACCACGCCACTTGACTCAATGACAGACATGATCTAAGGCGTACCCACATTCAGATGATGGTGTCATATAGCATCCCATTCACATTGAGGGGAAATTTATATATTGTTGTGTAATAGTGTAATTAATTAAAAATAAACAACCACCACGGTTCTTTGGAAAACTCGTTTTAGTTAATGATTGATTCATTCTGAAAATCCGGCGGATTGTCCGCCTACGCCTATGCGTACCCATTAGACCATTCAGCACACCCAGCCATAATTTTTATATAGGAGTTTACTTAGGTATCACAGATAATTTTGGCCTTTTCGTTCAGTGTATTCGTGGTTGTTCACTCTTTTTAACATCCAAACTTTCGCTGAAGGAAAGTAACACCGTTTTAATTAGATTTTATTTGGGATAAAGTGTTTAAGTATATATAATATAATTATAAAGATTTTTAATCCATATTACTATAGTGTTGCAAACTAAGCTACAAAGACATAATGTTTAAAATTAAAAGTAAATGACTTTGTTTACTTAATATTAAATGAATATGTGCTTTTAGACCGATTTTTGTCTATTGTTAGGTGTTAACTAAATGGTATTTCACACCCACACGCTTATGTACCATTACAAACCTAAACGTGTTCATAGACTAGATAGTGTTATTAACAAAAACAGGTTTTATATGAAACTGACACATGACACATTCCATAAATACTGACAAATATCTACGTTAAAAAAATCTTAAAATAAACAACAAATGATGGTTTTATATAATAAAAAAAAGATAACAAAAGAGTTATCTTTTAAAAATGAACATTTATGTTTTAAAATATAACGTATTCTAGGATCTGCTACCCGAAATGAAATGGAGTTTAACGTCCTATCAACCGGGCTAAAGTCGTGAGAAATTTGATATTTTCCGAAAAATGCAAATCACTAACAACTACTTTAAGATATAAATATTTACTGTAAAACAGCTTTGCCAATTTGCTTTTTTAACCCCTTCCCGCCCTTTCAAATACTTGAATTAAACTCTAAATCTCCATTTGTAAAACATTTTGTGTGTAAAATTGGTCAAATTCACAGGAGAGCTACAAGGAGTCTATCAACTAAAAATCCAAGTAAAATGTTTCCAAATGTCATAAACGCATAATACTTTCAACGAAAACATCACATTAAAGAGAAATGAATCGTCTTACCTGAATTTAACCAAATTAATCTTAAAGCAGTCTACATTCTAATCATTGTATTTTTCCTGATAACCACCCGTAATAAAACAAACAGCCTGGATAAAGCACAAGATAACACACATATGATAAGAGAAACTTATAAATCCCCGTATAATGGAAGACAATCTCATAATATACGAGCCTAATTAAAGCCAAAAAAATACCTGTTTGAAGTTACTTTTGTTTGAGAGCCCAATTCCTAAACTATAATCTATTTTTTCTCTTTTCCCACGCCCTTTCAATCGGTCGTAAAGTGATTATCTCTGGACAAATAATATTTCAACACTGACATAGCAAAAAGATTTTCCGGCCAAGTCTATATTTTTTGACCATGTAAACGTTAAAATGGGTAATTTTCTTCTTGGCCTAAGTGATCAATATATAGAGGATATTTGTCGTTTTGTCGTGAATAACATATTTTATTTCATCGAGATGAAATAAAATATGTTATTCACGACAAAACGACAAATGTTCTATTTTATTTTATTTCATCGAGAAGCAAGAAAACTTATATTTTCACGAATGCGTAGCATGGGTGAAAATATAAACGTTTTCTTGCTTAGAGATGAAATAAAATATGTTATTCACGACAAAACGACAAATGTTCTATTTATTTTATGATTTTACAATCATTTAGGTAAAAACAACATGAACTACTTTAGCCAGTGGAATAACACTTTTATTTCACTGATAAAACGCGGTATTCCACTACTGATCATAAAATAAAATACCGTCTCTTAGGTATTTGTCGGATTACTGGGGTAAACCGCATTGTTTTGATATTAAAGCTGTCATGCACTATTGCAAGACAATGTGATTTCACGTCCACTCGGATTATTTCTGGACCAACACAGATATAGTAGATCACATTCAAGTTAGTGAAATATAAATTGCGTATATCCATAGGCGTACGAGCCAAGAAGACGGGGGGTGGGGGGCAATCTGACTTTTCGGGCAGACGGGTAAAGTGAAAACAAAAAATACTATTTCATCTAGTTGGCAAAATAAAGTGCCAGAAATCCAATAAACCACTAATTTTACTTTTCATTTAATTAAATACCACGAATTTGTACCGAATTTACTATGGATTAAAGCATTTTATGCGACATTTTTCGGGTATCGATTATTATTTGTGAATGCAGCTGCCAACGGTCTGATTGGATGGCTGGAATTCAGGTCGGCATAGAGTGGGACTTCGGTTGCAACCCGATTGGAAACTTTGAAGTTGCTTAATAGCAGAAAAACGCATTTGCGGCGGTTAAATTTTCAAAATTTTCTCGGGAAGCGCGAGTCCCCCATACCCTGCGACGATTGATTGGTTGTTTGGGATTTTGGTTAGTCTCTTAAGTTAGGTTTTATTGAACCACATTGACGTTGCTGTATTCACGGGCTGGAATAGAAGGAAAACGCGTTTACTACAGTTAAATTTTGAAACATTCATCGAGCTCGTACAGCTATGCATAAAGAGACCATTTTATGTAAAAATGTATGTGATATGTCTAGATTTATCTTGGTAAGAGGACACCGGTGAAACGTGAAACACCCTTCATATAAGTCTTCTGGTTATTAAAAAATTTAAAATTCAGGTCATAATCCAAATGTATAAATAATTTAGTTATCGTTGATGTTATACATATGTATACAATTCACACAACCGTCTTAACGCTACGTTCCCACTATCATGATTGGCACCAGAAAAACGCGTTTGCGACCGTCAAACTTTCCAAATTGTTTTGGGGGAAAGAGGGGAGGGGGGGCTATGCGTCGTATGTAACCCGAAATTGTTTCGGACATGTCAGGTTCTGACCCCTAATATTCGCCGAGCCCGCACGCTTATGGGTTAATCGATAAAGGGGAAAATCTTGTTGTGTATGTCTAGTCATGTAAACCATCTTACCAAGACATGCTACTACCATCTTAGCGACATCAGCAGCACCAATATTAACTACAGAACCACAGCAAACGTTGTACGATCATTAATATTATCAAAATTAGATTACTAGAAAAGGCTTCTTACTGGCATTTTATCTGAATTATTACAAAAACTACAGAAAATAAAAACTTCTGCAGCAATATTAGTTTCCAAATCACCAAAACCTTCTAGTATATCTCCAGTACTAAATTCTCTGCGGTGGTTGCGTATAAGTTAAAGGATATATTTCAAAATTTTAACATTATATCAGTGCCTTTGCAGCAATGTTGCTTCATATTTAAATGGACTTGTAAATCCCTACTAGTCCGGTGGCTGGAGGGATGGGGGAGGGAGCGCAACCCGAACAGTGAATTTATAAGATTAGGTTTTTCTAGACAATTTTTGGAGTAGATTCTGAATCTGGATGGTGATCAGGCGTTTGAGGGGCGTTTGTCTACAATTGGGTGAAAATGAAATTAAATGAGGTTTAACGTCCTACTGTTCTGCTCCTATATTGGGCTAATGAAGACGGGCATACGCCATACAGTGTGCTATGAGGGATATTTTGCTCGGACAGCGGCACTATCGCCTACTCTTATATCGAATTCCAACTGACAATTGGGTGAAAATGTGATTATGTTGACATAAATTTATGATCATTTTCTAATTAATAAAACATAAATTTCTAGGACTGTTCATCTCAAAATAAGTGTATATGATGCCCGTGGACAGCTTTTTTGATTTGTGGAGATGTTGGGTGGGGGATGCAGGTATGCGTGTGGGGAGGAGGGGGATAATTTTCGCGGGAAATGAGTTCACGTTTTGATTTAAATACTGATTTTCTTAGAGCTTGATGAAACATCTCTAAATGTGTGTATAAGATTCTAATTGTACCGGGGCGGGGGAGAGGGGGTGTCATTTGGTTCAAAATTGTCATTAGTTTTTTCGTTTAGTACCAATTTCGTCATTCAAAATATTAAATTATAATGGTACTTTTCAAAAGGTCTTGGAATTTAAATCAAAAACACAGTAAATCAGAGACATGTTTAGATATTTAAGTTTATCCTTAGATTCAAAATCATAATATGAGTGGGATAAATATCTTCTTGGTTGCTGATCAACAGCTTGCACATATCCCTAACACAATACAACAACTACTCGTTAGAATTTGTAAACAAAGCCCCCGACGTAACCGGTAAAGAAAACCCCCCCAATCCATATAAATATTCAATTTATAGGCACAATAAGTTATGTGATTAAAAGATCACTAACTTGATTGCAAAAATTGTAACATTTAGTGGAGTTGTTTCATTAAAATCACTGATCAACGCCAATGGGACAACGAAAATACCAAATGTGACCCAAAGGGTATAGTGTACCAGATCCAATGCAGTTGAAAAGCCATGTACCCACTGTATTATATTTATATAATATGTATGCGTTTGCCATTTTAACTATGTATATACACCCATTTTGCATTATTAATATACATATACAAATTATTATTTAGGGAGAGGGGTTTTACATAGGCTAAGCCTGTTCCCCAATCCCATTCAGACAACCTGAATAAAAATATGGGGTTGATTTTAAGCTTGTCGTGTAAATAAAGGTCTAATTAATAATTTCTATAACATCTGAAGCCTAAATAAAGACTTCCAATAGGCAGATTTAGCTCTTGCATAATGTATGTTTAATCAAACATAGTTACAGGTGGGGAACTGTAAGTGACCCCTACGATGTACAATAGACGGCCACTGTGATATGAATACTACACAATACTGACAATCAAAACCCCAGTTTAATTACACCTTGGCGTCCACCAATCATATTTTGATGGGTTATATATCTCCAAAATGTGCAGATTTTGAATCTGGATGATACCACGTTGGCATCCTTAGGAAAATAGACATATCAAAGATGGCCACTACAAGGCATTTTCTGATTATTGCGTCATGCTGAATTGTCGCACTTGTGAATTAATGTCGATCATAAATTGGGATATACATGTACTTCTTTCGGTTTGCCATATTTCTTCAAAACGACCTCTGAGTCTTTCCTCTTTATTCCTATTTCCGCCACACCCAACTCAGCAAATAATTTTGGCTGACACACAGACTCTTATAAACCTGAATCACTGATATCAATCGCCTCAACTGAACGCGTTCTTACTGGTTTTCTAGATTGGCGAACGTGTATGATATTATATAGATTATAATTGCTCGACGTAAATAGCTTTATCATGCTTTGTTGGTACAGGATGCGGTGTATTTATAAAGACAGTAAACTATATTTACCACAGTGTATCTATCGTGTAGTAACCTATTTGTGATAATCCATTCATTCAGCAGATGCTATCCCTCGTTCGTGGTAACGACTTGCACGTTTTAAGTCAATGTGTTTGTGTATATCTACAATGTAAATGAATGCCACAAGTAATGCATGCATAAACACACTTGTACACAACAAACGTTTGTTAGATATGTGAACTCAACAAATAAAAAAAAACTTCCATGATTGTAGACTGACTTGTTCAAAACACAAAGATGGCGGTGTAAAGTCATTAGAAAACGACGTAAGCTGTATATAGCACCGAAATTCCGGAATGTTAGGGGTATGTGTAGGTTAGACGAGGGCAAACTGAATGAGTGGTGTTTTTTACTACTTATAATATAATTGTTTTTAACTATGGTTGGAGACATTTCATTTGGAAAATCGTTTTTTGGGGGGTTTTTTTTTGGTTTTTTTATTATTATTATTATTTGAGTGTGCGTCTTCTGTTTAATTTTACAATGCAATAAAACATCAGCACTGTCTCAAATGGCGTCCAATAACTTATATTAGCCAAGCAGTGATTTTTCAGATCACGGACTGTCATGATGATGATGGGTTAGTTGTATTTTACGTCCGCTTCCACCGAGGTGATATCGCAGACAATGACGTGTTATGTGTACAAGGTGCATTAATTTACAATGTGATTAGTGAGAAATAACAGGATGATTAGGTTTTCATATATATGTACATAGGACAATAAACAACAGTAGGATAACATGTGCAAAGGACGAAACAGGTGCCAGTAGACATTTACAAGCATGCGATTTGACGCAACAGACATGGACAAAGACGGACATTTTCACAGACATAGACATATTATGTACATATATATATATTTTGGGTCGTTTGGGTTGGTCTGGTCGTTCTGTCCGGTAGAATGGCAGGGCGGTGCAACTCTACCTTGGGGCTTTGTTGGTGAGTATGAGTCCTGGTCCATTCTTCCTTCCATTTGGGTATGTTGTCCGGTATGGTGGCGTTGTTACATCTTTATTTATGTTATTCATTCCTTTTATTGTTGGTTCTCTGAAGGAAGAATCCAGCACCTGAAAAAGAAAGCTAGAGAAAAGAGAGTATCTGATCTTACTTTGATTTTATGGTTATTTCGTCTAGTAAGGCTTCGTGGAGGGGGGGGGGCGGGGAGTCATTATAAACTAATAATAAAAATAATAAGTGAGAGTAAAAGAAAATAGAGTGTTAACTGAATTGCAGATAAATAATAAGAATAATAAATAGATATTAATGGTAAAAATGAGAATAATAAATTACTCATGAATTATGTTAATGGTAGATTAGTGGTTTTATTATAAATGTAGGGAGGTTTACGCCTCGTTCTAGAGGACATTTTTGCGTTCCACCCTACTGTTGATTAATTGGTTTTATTAGTTGGTAGATTAGTGGTTTTGTTATAGATGTAGGGAGGTTTACGCTTCCTTCTAGAGGACATTTTTGCGCTCCACCCTACTATTAGTTGATTGGTTTTAGTTGATTTATTAATTTTATCGGAGTTATATTAGTTGTGTAAGGCGGTTTACGCTTCCTTCTAGAGGACATTTTTGCGCTCCATCCTACTGTTAGTTGGTTTTATTAGTTGATTTATTAATTATGTCGGAGTTATATTAGTTGTGTAGGGCGGTTTACGCTTCCTTCTAGAGGACATTTTTGCGCTCCACCCTACTGTTAACTGATTAAGTTCATTATTTTATATATATCGGAGTTATATTAGTTGTGTAGGGCGGTTTACGCTTCCTTCTAGAGGACATTTTTGCGCTCCACCCTACTGTTAACTGATTAAATTCATTATTTTATATATATCGGAGTTATATTAGTTGTGTAGGGCGGTTTACGCTTCCTTCTAGAGGACATTTTTGCGCTCCACCCTACTCTTAATTGATTATATTCATTATTTTATATATTTGGTCATCCCTATGTTCTCAATAAAATCCCAGACAAGTTATGATGTCCAGTGTCTATCGTCGGCTTGTGGAGAAAGGAGTGATTTGAGACAGAGGGTGTTTCCCCTCTCTGCTAGACTCTTAATTACAGATTGTCGTTCTTTGTTCAATTGATTGCAGTCAATTAGCAGGTGAGACGTGGTCGCGATTTGTCCACATGGGCATTTAATTGGATTGAAGGTGAAGTCTTTTATTACGTTTATCGTTTTAAGCCTCGTGATGAGTTTGCATATTTTGATTGATGGATGATTGGTGTAAACCTTGTCTACAAGATTGCTATCAATTTGATAGCGATGAGTATTCTCTTGTTTTAGACGGGTTTTCCAAGCATTTTTAATTTTATCTTTGGCTATGCTTGTGAATTCTTGACTGCTGTATTCTAAATTTTCTATATCAGTTAATGCCAACCCTTCCTTGGCTAGCTTGTCAGCCTGTTCATTGCCGAAGATATTGATGTGGGAGGGGATCCATGCAAGGACTACCTCTCTTCCGTTATTTTTGATTGTTTGAATAATATACCTAATTTGGTGAATTATGTCCTGTCTGCTTTTGGAATAGTCTGATTCGATGGATTTAATGCTACTTAGTGAGTCTGATAGGATAACGGCTTTTTGGTGTTTTTGGGTGGCAAGCCATTCTATTGCAGTTTTAATGGCCATCAATTCTGCGGTGTACACAGAGCAATGTTCTGGTATCCTTTTCTTGATGTTTAGCTTTACTTTGGGGATGAAAATGCCGTACCCTGTTAGTCCCTGTGTATTATTGTTAGACCCATCTGTATAGATTTTAATATAGTCTGCCCATTTTGTGTCTATCAGCTCTAGTGTTAGTGCTCTAGCCTCTATGGGATTATCGTGTTTGTTTGTAACGTTGATTAGGTGCGTATTGATGATTGGATTGCTTAATTGCCAGGGTGGGGTGACGGGATAAGTTTTTGTTTCTATTATTGTCCCTTTTAAACCGTGTTTATTTAAGACATCGTTTGACATTTGCCCGAATGTCATAGGACGCGTATTTTTCCTATAGCCTATTCGTTTGAATTGTTGGAGGCACTTATATGTCGGACATTTTTCTTTTAGCATTTGCAGTTTGCCCCAATACTTGAGTGACAGTGACACTTTGACGCTTTTTAAAGCATTCGGCACCCTTCACCCTAGTTGCAAATTATATGTTTCCTGTACAAATTTGACCTTGGCATTAAAGTAATTAGTTCTTATACCATTACAACGTGTGTAATTCAGAACACCTTCTACACTGTCTGCGTTGTCATTTCTACCAATCTTCGGTCTACTGTTGTATTGTAGCTGCATTCACTTATTAAGGCGCCAAATCTCTAACTGAATAGTATCCATAATATTCGAAATATTTCATTTCAATCAATATTAATGATGTTATCTTACCGTGAAAATATGGTTTCCTAATATCCAATATTTAAGACACAATGAACATTTTAAGATCAGGTCGTGTCCTCCGTGGACATATGGTTTCTTCCGACGCCATTGTAATGAACAAAGAAAAACATATCCCAAAAGACATTGCGGACGTAATTAAAAATGGCTGATTCACAAACAACAAGATAATAATAAAAAAAAAATCTTGTGGAATATAATAAGCAGACGCAAACGACTGTCGTTCAGTTTGGGCTGTTTAGGTATTTCACAAACATGATTGATCAAAAATTACAATGAAAATTCCAATCTGATGAAAATACAGCTCTATATTTCGTTTCGTTTGGGCTTTTACTTTCGATGGCCTCCACTACATGAATATCTGAGCAGTTGTAGCGGGAGGTCGCGTAAGGTGTCATACGAGCGGCTTTTGAACCTATGGCGTTAGACATTTTATTAAACAATCAGAGTTCCGTGAATCGCACGCCAAGAACTCGCTGCTACAGACCGTTTCATTGGCTAATCCCTCACATCAACCAGGACGTGGATTATAGAACAACTCTTCCAGATCCTTGTGTAGCAAAACGAAATTTTGAATTATAAAAAACGAAACGAGCGAGAGAGAGGAGCGAGAGATGGAGTTTAACGTCCACTCGACACAAACTATGTCATTTCAGAACTAACACATGGTTCAATTTTGTTTCATTAATTCGCTTGCGCGTAGGGGTCTTTAGCAGTGGGAGGAAACCGGAGGACCCGGAGAAAACCCACGGGGTTGGATAGGCGACCCTACTCCTTGTCACGTGCACCCGGGGAATCGAAACCACGCCAGTTGACTCAATGACAGACCTTATGAAACAGCGCGCACGTGCTAACCATTCGGCCATCCAACACCCCTCCAAAAAATAGAGGTATACGTCCTTTAAACATGATTCGTAGGTGTGTATATATACTCAGCCAATCATAAATGTAGAGGTTTACAGGGAATTTTCACACAAAATTAAACAGATTTATCTTCCAAAAATAATGTGGCACCTTCACTTTAACTGTGCAATGCTGAGAAAAGTCGGCGTGGCTTTTTTCTGATGAACTGCCCAACGATATTCTCGACATTTAGCTGGGGGCTGTTTCACGAAGTTTTAACTAAGATAAAATCCAAATTTTAGTAATTTGATTGGATAATATAAGATTGATTTTAGTGCTTAGCCAATCAAAATTGAAGTATCCACTAAAATTTGGATTTTATCATTAGTTAAAATTTCGAGAAACAGGGCCCTGGAGCTTTCTGTTAACGTTGAAGAGCATCAGGGCACTCAGGCGTTCCTCGCTTAACGTTGATCTTAACCTGGTTTTATACGCCGAACAGCCGAAAATGATTTAGATTTAAGTTACTCGGAGCCTTCAAATTTTCAAGCCTGAGCAGGGGGGTCCGGACCCCCCCCCCCCCCCCGGATCCGCGCCTGTAGGCCTATACCCGAAATATTTCATCCGGATGAGGTTTATGATGGTACTCCATACATAAAAGTATGAAAGTAGAATTGTGCTCAAACAAAATTAGTTTTCAAAATTTGAATTCTTGATGGTTGTAGTGTATATATTCAGGCATCTGTGTGAGACTTTGTGATTTCCCATATGTTGTGTTGTTTAACCTGTCGCTGCGCAGTTTTGTTTGTTTGTTAGTTGTATTTTACGTCCGCTTCCACCGAGTGATATCGCAGTGCTGATGGTATCCCTATATTATATGTGCTTCATTTTTTCCAAAGTTACAAATTCCAAAATCATTATTTTTCATTTTCATCCATTTTTTATTGTTCATTATCATCTCTTGGCCTTAATATTATTCTTGTGAGCGGGACTTAAACACTTTATTTTTCCATGGCTCAAACAGTGCAGTGGCTGTTGAAAGTGTAATATTACTATTAGTGAAGTCATAATCTTATTTTTCTCCAATTATCATTATCTTGATCCCCTAATTTACAAAATATCACTTACCCTCATACAAAATAAAATGGTGTGATCGGTGCCCTTCCAAGAAGTAACTGTTTCAAATTCTATACTACTACCGTCTCTAATTTTAGACATTTACTTGGAATACATTTTGGTGCATCAGACGAAAATGTTGTTACCGTGTTACTTTACATAAAGGAAGTAATTGGTAAATTCCACTATCTAATAATATTCACAATACTACAACATAATTTTGATTTAAATTATATTCGCTTTATTTACAATTCTAAATATAAATGATTTTAATTTAATTTATTTAAATCATTACAAAATTTACAAATGTTCCCCTCTCAGTGCAAGTGCCTTATATATATAGAAAACATGATATGGGTACCATAATACTTTAATCGGCGTTTGAACATAACTGATTGAACTTACATACATTTTGAACATGAATCCGATATAGTTTAGGTAAATATTGTATTCTTAACTCATTATAATGTTTGGGATCACGTGGCTAAGTGGGTAAGACGCTGGCTCGCTAGCCTGGAGGTCGGGTGTTCGATCCCTGCATTGGCCGAGAAAGTTCATCCAGATTTTCCGGTGTAGTTCCCCCTTGTCAGTGATGCAGGACGGAGGGCCTGGCAAGGACAGCTGTCTAGTCCTTCGGATGAGACGAAAAACCGAGGTCCCGTGTATATATTGGAATGCACGTAAAATATCACCTGGCAGTTGGAATTCGATATAAGAGTAGGCGATAGTGCCGCTGCCCGGGCAAAATTTCCCTCAGCACACTGTATGGCGTATGCCCGTCCTCATTAGCCCAGTATAGGAGCAGAACAGTAGGACGTTAAACCCCATTTCATTTCATTAAATTATAATGTTTACATTCTAAGACAAAGTGATATATGTCTTCTACCGCACAATCACAAACAGGACAGGCTGGGATGTTTACTTGCTTCCGTCTAAATACGTTTGCATTTAATTGGAACAAATTTAATCGTAGCTTAGTTATATTTCTTTTAACATGTTGATTAACGTTGACAGACAATTAGTTTTCCTGGGTTATGTTCAGTTTAAATTTACAGCAATACTTCAGACTTTCACTGTTTGAGATTTGGGTTGACCACTCCTGTTTATTATTGTCAATTAAACGAGTTTTTAAGATATGCTCTTCAAAAAAGAAGGGGATATTCGGAAACAATACAAAACTGCAGAAATGCACTACTGTTTTAGAGATAACCAGTGTATGTTAATAACAGGCCAATTGCCTAAACATGAACATAAACAGTTCATATGGGCGGCTCATCTGGCGGCCCTATTTCACTCGCAAAGAGATACACTATCAAAAGTGAAAATGGACGTTTTTCATTTTTGTCTTAATAATGAGTAATTGCTCCACCAATCCTCAGACATTCAGCAATTCGCCGTGGCATGCCCCTAATCAACAATCCAACCACGATTTGGGGCAATTTGACCCACTCCTCTCCCAGTGCCACGGCAAATTCATGCAGTGTTGCCGGTTGACGTTGACGTCGACGAACACGTCTCCCGATCAAATTAAACGTAACACACTAAAGCAAAGATTCGCTAAACAGTTAATCGTATGCAAGAACCGATAGGAAAGCAAACATGGATAGGATAAACCAGCACGCGGCAGTTTTCATCAAGCCTTCCTTGAAGTGTCAAATTTGACAATGAACCCCTCCCACGTGTATGGTGCTATTGCGTGTCGCATGTGCAGCTCAGTGGTTCTGTTGGGGCGATAAGATCTTCATCTGTGAATATACTCTCAAAGCATGTCAAGTGTTCATGACTATTTATCATATCGCAACCTGCATAGGTATTTGCATTTCAATATCCCCTACTTTTTTTGAAGAGTATATTTAAAAAATATTTTGAGCTACCGACTTGCTCACAGTACCAGATGTAACCAAATCCAAGTGAACTTAACAGTAATTTTACTTTAGTCGCCCAAGTAGCACGACAAATAGTATCTAGACGTCTTAACATTGTGTACGTTTGTTTAGCGTATCTGCTGTATGACATAATCGGCTTGATCCAACAACGCACACATGATGCCATGCAATATACTGCAAGATTGCGACGACCACGGCCCCCTTTTGATCATGCTGTTGAGCTACATTGACGGATGCCGAGAATAGATTTACAGAAATTCGTCTGTACAATCTCAATATCTTTGCAATATTCATAACACCGAATTTCAGAGCCATTGCTCAGTTGACCGCCATGCTAGAATGTGTGCAATTATGATGCCCCCTTGATTAGAAGCAGGTTGTTAACATTTAAAGCTTGTTTGATTTCAGAAACAACCATACTTTGCTAACATTACAACGGAATGGAATTGGAATTCGAAAACAAATGAAAACCTAAGAAGGGAACATAAATATTACATTAAGGTTCGTGGAGAAGATAGTTACTTTCTATCAGCTATAGCAAGGCCTGATACAGAATCTACTAATCAGTTAAACATCGTTTTATCAGGATTGGATGGTACGAGAGGATATGGTAAATTTGTATGTTGTGTTTCACGATCCGATGGATCTATGCTAACAACTCCTGATGAATTTTATCATAAACATAACCATCATCAGTTTCTTCCTGCAATAACACAGTTATTTTTACACGCCGAATATGATGCCACTCAATATGTGTGTAAAGTTCAACAAACTGGCAAAGGAGTTAAACATGTAAATATAAGTCTAACCACAACTGCCTGTAGTGATAATGCAGTGGATTATTTACCTATTAAACATCAAAAGCAAGCGAAGCAAGATCTAGCTATCTGTGCGAAAGTAGCTTATGGACATTTATTAAAGCCATCTAGATTAATTGAGTGGTTTGAGATGCAGAAGATGTTAGGTGTAGATAAAATACTTGTATATGATTTAGCTTGTGGTGACGATATTAAAACAGTATTTAGACATTATGTGGATGAAGGTTTATTAGAAGTACAACCATATTCTTTACCTGGAAAAATGCCAGGTAAATAGCTATTATTATTTGATTGGTATGTGGTCAATTTCTGTCTATCGGGTATTGTAGACCATTGTTCCGGTGTCACATTCAAATTTAGTTTTGTGGATATTTGAATATTGTTGAGCATATACAACGAAAGGAGCCATTTGCTTTTGATGCTGCCTTCCTTGCCAGGCCACCCGCTCTGCGCCACTGACAAGGGGGAATCCCTAGGGACTTTGTCTGCCAGGTCACAAAGCTAGTGCCTTGCGTCTGTGAGCTACCCCGGCCCCATTTGTTTCATGGGACAATGTCCAATATTTCTGTTTTATGATTGTGTTATAAGGTCCATGGTTTTATTCATTATGTAGTTTTTAAAACTAGGATTGGTGCAGCGGAGTTTTGTTAACCGGGTAAAACCCCAGGATTCCCACGACGAAGCTTTGACTATATTAGACTGTCACCAGAGATTGGGAGGTTACCAGTATTTGATGGCTGCTGACTTTGATGAAATTATTATACCAAACAATTTTTTAACTTTAAAACAACTGCTAAAAGTAAAGTATCATATTTCACATGAATCTATATTATTGCCCCTTGTCTGTTACAGAAAGTAGGGGACGGTTAAAATGGGTTCGTCTGCCTGTCAAAACTTTTGTAACACGATAACTCAGTGTTTGATTTGGGTAGTAGGTTCAAACTTGATTTAGATGTTCATCAGGTGATTGGAGTTCGATTATGAGCATTTTCTACTATAGCCAGCTTAGTTTGCTGATGCTTTAGGAAACGCTTACTTTGAGCATTTTCTACTATAGTCAGCTTAGTTTGGTGATGCTTTAGGAAACGCTTACTTTGAATCTAATTGAGTGGTGTGACCTGACTTCTTCTGTCATCCATTTTGTATACTATAACGTGCACGAAGACATCAGCAATTTCATAAACCAGTCTGAGCTTTCCTTTGTGAACCATGTAATAATATTAACCAAATATTATATTATAAGACAAAACTTGAATCTAATCAACCCACTAAAGAAGTGTACACCGCTTTTCTACATTCAAACGCAAAGCTAGATTCACAAGTAAATAAGGGCAATTTTAAAAAGTGGAAATTCCTTTTGAGTCACTGATCCCCCCTTGAACTGTTGAGATTGTTAAATTTACAAACATCATGGACAGGTTGTAATGTTGAATGTGTCTATAATCGCTTTCTTTTTATGTACTTGTATGTTAATATATATTACTGTATTATATTCCGAATTTCGGTCAATAAACCAGTAAAAAAATGGAATTTCTACTATCATGGATTCTCGATATTCATGTTACAAGTCATATCCATCAGGAATGTTAAACGTATGCGATTGTAGAGAGGAATCATTTTAATAACTTAACCTTCAAACATCCCAAAATTTATTGCACACAGAGTGGTTAAGTCGGAAGGAGGAAGTTGGAAGTCCGAAGTCAAAAGGCCTTGCAGGGTTTCCGTATCACTCTTATCAGCAATAATCACGGGTCAAATGGCATTCATTGTAACCTTAATGTGACACGGATTTTTATCCCTATTCATTAACAAATATGTCGGTTGTAAACATCCCAGATGCAGCGGGTAAAATACTAACTGTGCAAGAGATAGATGGGAGACTTTATCCCCGCTTCGATCCGGGTGTCCTCAGAAACGTGCCATCACTAAAACTTAGGGATGATGACGTCATACTGTGCGGGTTTCCTAAATCAGGTAAATAGAGATTTCATTTTATTATTATTTAGTTCAACCAGAACATGTAACATGTATGTCAGTGCGCAGAAAACATGTCGACATATTCATTGGGCGTTGTGACACGGTTGATAAGATAACACGGTTACTAAGCATAGCTACACAAAATGAACAACAATACTGACATGCGTTTAAAGATACATTGTGTCGTTCGTGCTATGATAAGAGAGAAATGGGGTTTAACGTCCACTCGACACAAACTAGGTCATTTCGGGACTAACATACGGTTAATTTTTTTTATTTCAATAATTCGCTTGCGCGTAGGGGTCTTTAGCAGTGGGAGGAAACCGGAGGACCCGGAGAAAACCCACGAGGTTGGACAGGCGACCCTACTCCTTGTCACGTACAACCGGGGATTCGAAACCACGCCAGTTGACTCAATGACAGGCTTTATGATACAGCACGCACGTGCTAACCATTCGGCCATCCAACCCCCCGTGCTATGATAATAAATAGAATAGATAATGCGAAATACATATTGAAATGGAATAGTGTATCAGCAGTGGATAGATCAAAATATTCTGAAATTAAACACAAAAAAAAGGCGAAGGCTATCCTTTTTGTACCTTCTGCTCGAAATGTGTCTGAAATTTGATAAACCCGTTCGTCGCACACACTGAATAAAAAAAAAATAATATAGATCGGATTATGATGGATGGCATTTGCTTTTAAGGCATTCACAGTGAGCAATGGCCATAGCTCCAGCACTAATTAGCGGACATTGTTGCATATAAATGTCAAGCAGACTGGGCCCCGAGTTCACAAAGTAATTCTTAACTTAAGTCTGAGAGTGAGCATGCTTTGTGAACTCGGGACCGGAAGTTAAATTTTTGATTAGACTGTTCACAACATTTTACAAAATTAGGAAGGGCCCTGATTTTAAAAGTAATTCGATGGGTTTCTGATCATAGGCAAATAACTTTGTTACAAGAGCGTTCACTTGATTATACAAAGTGAACAAGTCCCTCCACCCCCACCCCACCCTATCCCCAACGAATAGGGCGCTTCATCTAAAAATATAAATAATATATTTATACATTTTAAAATCTCCAATGATCAATGTAAGCTGTGAGTTATCACAAGAAAGTGTTTACGGCGGTCGAACGGACCGGGTGACGTCCTACTTTTCTGCTAAGGACCTTACCAAATGTTCCATATTCTCAGTTAACTTGTCAATGATTTAATGACAGAAAGTTGGGCATTTGTAAATATCCCGAAGACTATTTTAGTATTCATCAAGAGAAGCATAAAAACACTATTAGGCAATGTGAAATTTTTCATATTTCCAGTGTTTTCGGAGAAAAACAATTAAATGAAAACTCAATTACAGTACGATGATATAATGGAATTTCGGAACATAAAAAACTAACAAGTCTGTCAGCTTCTGCGACACCGCCACTTATTAAAACGGGTCCTGGTGGACTCTTTGTATAAAGTTACATATGGGTCTACTTTGAAATGGATCAAGAGATTAAGTGTTAATATTTGCTCCTCTAATATTGTTTTTGAGTAATATCCCTTTAAAATATTGCAGGAACACACTGGTTGTTCGAGATTGGTCGGTCATTACTACATGGAAAACTAGGCACTGATGTAAAACCGAAAGAAAGTCTATTTGTAGATATGGTTCCTGAATCTGAACTTAATAAAGTAGACTCACCCAGAATACTCAACACCCACGTTAGATTTGATCGACTCCCGTCTGATGTGAAGACAAAAAATCTGAAAATATTATATGTTAGAAGAAACCCTAAAGATTTAGTAGTGTCTTACTACAACCATACACGATGGAGAATTCAAGGATTACCTCCCCTTGTTTAGTAATGGACGTATGTGTGGCTTTGAAATAATTATACCTATAATAATTGCTTTAAAATTGTAGTGGACAGCTATTTCCGCTAAGTTGTATGTTTTGAAATGTCAGAGAATGGATACGGCAAAAGCGTAACCGTGTCCTCCACGGTGTGCGCGGCAGATAAAATAAATAAATTAACTAGGGAAGCTGGCACTCCAAGTTAACAACCATAATTTTAAAAAAATGACTCTTTGATAAACGCCACCCACCCCCACCTCATCCCACCACCGCTCCCCGGAAATGGATAACCGATGATGCCCCCCCCACCCTCCTTCTCTCCACGCTACTGCTGCATACTAAAAAACTATCGCCTCTATCTGAATCCGAAGCGTTGCGGTGTCTACCACATTGCAGTTTGTTTAAAAGGGTGGGAGATTTGTGATCAAGTAATTATATGCGTATTCTCTTTTTAGTTGCTTATGGATCCTGGTTTGAATATGTATTAGAATGGGAAAAGATCATAGCTAATAATCAAGAGTTATCTATTCTTGATGTAGCATATGAAAATCTTAAAGAGGTAAGATAATTATTATGGTCTGGTTTCTATGGTATAATTTGTTTGATTTAAGCGAAACCACGCCCGTGTCTGCACCATAATATCGTGTCGAATTAAAAACAAAATGGTAATTTAGAGAATTAATGTGCATGGTGCATTTGTGGGATCGTGAAAACTTTGATCTCAGACTTGCCTATTGTGATTTGATGTTACATTTCGAATTGCAATATTCAAACGAAATTTACAATCACCTATTAATTTCATTGCGTCTCAGTATGTTATTAATGGGTCGATATTCCTCTATTATTTCCGTAAAATTACATAAATAAAAGTATTATATTGTCCATTTTTACCGAAAATTAAAACTACCGTACGAATGATAATCATCTAAAATAAACAATAGAGTAATTAGAATTCTTTAAGGGGTGGGGATTACCGCTTTGCGTAATTTGTTATTTTCATTTTAATTTTAGATGTATTTAATAATTTATTTCATATATTTAGTAGTATTCTGTAATACTTGATATTCTATTAACTAATCACTATAAACTTATTAGAGCCTTGTCTGTTGTTCTTACTTTTAGTTCCTGGCGCAAGATTATGAAATAAAGTTAAAATGGGAGTAACAAATATTATTAATTATTTATAGAAACATTTAGCCATTTTTATATACAAGTATATTTTTTTTTACATACAACCGTAATATAGCGAGTGATTATAGGCATAGATTATCTATCAGTATTACTATGGGATATTATTGCAGGATCCTATCCAGGAAATTAGAAGATTGTCAGACTTTTTAGGAGTTCAAAGAAACAAAGATTTTATCGAAGAAATAAGCGATTTTTGTAATTTTTCCACAATGAAAGGCAGATTTAAGGATAAAATGGGTATAAAAGATGGACATAATATATTTTACAGAAAAGGTAACAGCTTCTAAAAGAGATTTAATCAGTAAATATCATACTATAGATTATATTTTAAACAAAGGTATTCAAGAAAAGCAACTGTCCACAACAGCAACTGTGATGTGATTGAAATCGTGTTGATCGTATCAAAACTTATCCGAATGTATCTGTACGTACCAGATCGTGGTCACAATAGGGACAGACGTATCGTAGAGCAACGCACGACAGTGAGAATCTAGCATTACTATTTCATCAAAAACGACGTAAATTCAAAATTCAAGACTAATAAGGGCACCACTTCTCAGTGTGCTATGAGGCAGTATATTAAGAGTATTAATTACATTTCATTTATAAAAGAGCAACAATGTATTAAAAGTTTGTTGTTATTATGAAGCAGTTATTAAGGAATAAAGACAACTTGTTTCTCTACAGGTGAAGTGGGCGATTGGAAGAATTGGTTCACTGTAGCACAAAATGAATGGTTTGATCAACTCTACAGGGAGAAAATGGCTGACTCGAAATTGAAATTCAAATTTACATTAAATGAAGATTAATTACTCGTGTTACTTATTAATTAATTACACTTAGTGCATTGATAGGGAATTAAGATGGCGACCCCCCCCCCCCACTACGGCCAATATGGATGACTGGGTCCTCTTATGTCAAGAATATTTTATTCCTCTCCCTTCAGGTTCGAGGTAACGGGATTTAACTGTAATTTTATTTATGATACAAAATACCTACGAAAGTTTAAAATGTACATACCTGGATACAAAATACGTACCTGGTTAAAAATGTACATAATGCCTGTCAAAATGCACTTCAACGACTTATCTTCCTTAGATGTTGTTCCTAGCTAAGCCCCCGTTCCTGCACCACTGACATGGTGATCGAACCTAGGAGAGTACCGCCCGATTAGTAACGAATTGCCTTACACGTTATAATAACGAAATGGGATTTAACGTCTAATTTTCTGTTCCAACCAGGCTTATGGAGGAGGATATTGTCCCATGGGGGAACTTTTGCTAGGACAGCAATTGAATTTCAACTGTCAAGAGTCTTTTTTTACGTGCACGCTAAGGTGTACACATGAGTGGGTGTCGCCAGAACGTTTTGCGCTTAAGGGTTATCGCCGGAAATTATCCAGCTATAAAATCGTGGAGGGTAAAGATAGCCAATAGACGCACTTACAACTATAGTTATTCGTTTTATATTTTTGTAATCGAGAAATAAAATGAAAAGGTTTAACGTATGCTAATTTCGCCCTTGTGATGGCTTTGCTGTACACAATACTTTGCTCTGATAGTAAGTGCAGGATGACCACACCATATATAAACAAAACCGATAAGATAAACCCGCGGAGAAGACGTAGAATATACACAGGGATTAGTGCTATTCGGTTACGTATTTCAGAGCGGTTTCGGGAAAAACTGTATGGTGCCACATAAAAGATACATAAAAACTCTTTCATTTCATACTATTTTTTAGGTGGCTCAAGAAAATAAAATAGAAGCGGGCGTTTTTATATACCTTCCTTTTTAGAATCCTATACGGGAAATTAGAAACATTTCAGATTTTTTTTTATGAAAGACGGATTTAAAGATAAATTGGGCAAAATATATTCTACGGGAAAGGTACTAACTTTTAAAAGGTGTCTTCGCCTGTAAAAAAGATCAACCAGTTATAGAAATCATTGTACGGTACCATACACTGGTCGACGAGCGAAGTATTTGGCAGACTCTGTATCAGATTGACAGACTTTGTCTCAGATTGGCGGACTTTGCATGCCTTCTAGAATGAGTGACTACAGGTTTAATTCAATATGGATCTTCTAGACGTGGGAGGAAACCTGGGGGCCCGGACAAACCCCACGCCGAAGCTTTGGATCGAAACCACGCCACTTGACAGATCTTATTATTTAAAGCGCAAGTGTTAGATAACTCGTCACACTCTCTCTTGATTGAAATCCCCGATATATCATTATCAGTTCTTTGAATTTAAATGGTTAATGAAATTGGGTAAACTTGTGAAGCTTCTATTTCTCTTTTGGTGAAGTGGGCGACTGAAAGAAGTGGTTTACTGTAGCAGAGAATGACTGGTTCGATCGAATATACGAGAACAAAATGTCCGAGTCCAAATTGAAATTCAACTATATATTCGGGCAACGTACAGGTCAATATACATATAGGAGTATAGGACCTCGAATTTTTGCCACTTCAGAAAATCCCGAGGAACTTTGCTCGACAGTACCACAATGACTATGGCAAGCCGTTTCATCCAGGAGGAGAATAAAGATCCTAAAGTGACGTACTTGTAGTCACATAGTTATTCGTTTCATATTTTTGTAATCGAGCAGTTTAATTGAAATATAATGAAATAGTTTAACGTTTCACTTTTCTGCTCCAATTTCGCCTTGGTGATGACTTTGCTGTACACAAGACTTTGCTCTAATAATAAGTGCAGGAGGGCCACACCACATATAAATAAAACTCATAAGACAAGCCCGCGAACAAGATGCAGAATATACACAGAAATGGGCAAATGAAGATCGACATACGCCATACAGTGTGCTATGGGGCAAATGTTTCCCGGACAGCGATAGCAGTGCTACGGCCTACTCTTATATCGAATTCCAGCTGCCAAGGGATCTGTTAGGTGCACACCAATGAGTACACGGGACCTAGGTTTTTTGTTCCATCCGAACGACTAGATGTTGTCCCTTGCCAGGCCCTAGCTCCGTCCTGCATCACTGAAAAAGTGGACAAGGCGGAAAAATCCCGATGAACTAGTGTACATGTTTAATAATAAGTAAGCAGAGATTAAAATATGTCTACTCGTGTTATCTCCTTAGCTTAACTGGAGATAAAACTCGTCAACAATAATCGTATGATAATTATGTTTATGCCAACACGGCTGTCATGATAAGCCTACTATCATTTATCCCCTCACGTCAGTTAACATACCAAGATGTCGGTTGTATACATTCAAGATGCCGCTGGTAAAAAAATTACTGTGCAAGATGTGGATGGAAGACTCTATCCTAGCTTTAATCCGGATGTCATCAGAGGGGTGTCATCATTAAAACTTAGAGATGATGACGTCATACTATGTTCTTTTCCAAAATCAGGTAAATAGCGATTTCTTGTATTCCATCGTCTAATAATTAATCAACATTATTTTATTAGTATCTTTATCCATAATTCAGTGCGATCCATTGCAGATTTTAATTGTTCTCTATTGTCCATTTTTTACCAACACTGCACAACCCGAAATGCAAATCGTAGGGCCAACGTGTAAATGGTATCAATTGCGTCACATAATTATATCGACGCGACATCGTTATCCCGGTCGGTGCAGAAAAGTAGAACGGTAAACCCCATTTTATTCATTCATTCATTCCTTTGAACATAACCAGATTTAATCTAAGAAACACATGAAAAGAATATATTATGCTCAAGAAAGAAGGGTTGTTACTCGTGAAAAATGTTTAGAAAAATAGATATGTGTACATCACTGTGATTATTAAAGCATTTATATACGTGTGTGTGAGTTAGTTGTATTTTACGTCCGCTTCCACCTGTCGGTCAGGTCGATTTGTCCGGTTGAATGGCAGGGCGGTGCACATCTTCCTTGGGGTTTGTTGGTGAGTGTGGGGCCTGGGCCATTCTTCCTTCCATTTCGTCTTCTAGTCCGGTATGGTGTTAGGTTTCATTTTTGCTTCTGTTTGTCCTGCCTTTTATTATTGGTTCTCTGAAGGAAGAATCCAGCACCTGAAAAGAAAGAGGGGAGAGAAAGAGAGTATCTGATCTTACAGCTGTTCTGGTTTTGTTTCGTCTAGTAAGGCTTCGGGAAGGGGGGGGAGAAAAAAAATAGTGGTTATGGCAGTAGTTTCTTTAGAAAGATATGAATTTGTTAGTAGGTGTTACTGACATTACAATTTACATATATGATTCGATCTACAATCAATGTTTATTTATTTTAAATAGAAATAGAGATAAAGTAAACTATAACTGAAAAATAATCGAGATAAAAAATGATAATATTTGGACAGGGTGTGTTACGTTTCCCTCTGTGGGGACATTCTTACGTTTTAACCCTGTCAAGTTGTTTTAGTAGTGCAAGGTGGTTGGCGTTTCTATCTAGGAGACATTTTGGCGCCTCGCCTTGCTATGTGTTTTTTTAAATTGATTAGTTCATTTGTTTAATTTGGTTTAGTGGTGCAAGGCGATTGGCGTTAACCTCTAGGGGACATTTTTGCGCGCCGCCTTGCTTTTGTTTTCGTTTATCATTATATGAATTTTTCCATACCTATACGTGATGGATAATGGCCGAAGACTGTCCATTATGTAAATAGAAAGAACAACTGAGGGGCGTTACATAATGGACAGTCTGAGGCTATTAGTCAAACTTAAAACATAGCACCATAGAGATACAAATAATGGATAGTTTTCTAAAACAACAAGCCATAAAATAATGGATATGCTCATGAATGCACGTGACAAAACACTCCAGTCATACAATGCAAGCATACACAGACAGTCCAAAATATTCTACATGGAGACGACATGTTTACAACACAGTCGAAAACAAATATTAATATTGAGAATATATGTGATAAGCATTTGGATACTGATTACATTGGTAATGTACTCGATATGGAAGATAATAGCCGTAAAAATTGTGATATTCGTGATATGGGGGAACAATAGCCGTCAAAGTTGTGATGGAAAGGCTGCTCACGAGAATGATTTAGATATTGATAATATTCTTAGTACTGTGGTTAATATGGAGGGTACTTGCCGTCCAAATTTTGATTTAAAATTTACGGAATTCAAAATCAACTGTCATTATGGTGTAACAGTGATATATTTAAACGTTTTTTATAAAGGGATAAAAACTGTGACCTGTATAGGTTCCACAGGCTCAAAAGACGTTTGTTGTTCAACCAGGGGCCATAATCCAGGAAGTTACGACCTGTAGAGTGTCCACAAAGAAGGTGTGAAAATGTGGGCGTATAAAAACGTATCATCGATCTAGTGCCGAACGTACTATATTAAACGGACAAGTGACATATAACGGATAGATTTAAGTGGAATTCTTTATGTAGACAAACACGTGAAATAACATTCGGCCATGTGACATTTCGGTAACTATGAGGTTTTAAAGTAATTTTATGTTCTGTAATTTGATTTGTTCAAAGAATAAATTATCTCAAAATACATGTTCATTTTTCAGATACGTGTCTATTATTGGTATTTTCTTAAACAATCATCTAATATACTCAGCCAAATTAAAAACTTGACACTCGGGATTTTTGGGACTAGATTTTTAATATTTGGTTTAAGGCATCTATTTTAGTGTTATGTTGTGCAGAGACGACCTTGACATCAACAGAAAGCAAGAATACGTCTCGCCGAAAGTCCTTGACATTGATAACGTTCGTGATGTCACGGTACCCCCCAAAATGAAATTCACAGACTTGGTGAACAATCGGAATAAAGTGTTTAGTAACGGTTGTGGCCTCCTCTAGCGTCTCGTACTGCCACACGTCTTCTCATGGATCTCAGAACCTTAGTAAACACTACACGAGGAAGACGTCGCCACTGCTGTTGAAGGTCCTGCAACGTCAGTGGTGGATTCACTTGCTGACGAACACTTCGACCCAGTTCGTCCCAGATGTGTTCAATAGGATTAAAGGACAATATTGGTGCCAGTTATTATCACATGTGTGATAAAACTGGTTAAACACATTCCAAATATAATTTTAACAGAGAGATCACTGATACGATAGTTGAGTAATACAGGATTCCCGAATCGGAAGTGACAAACGCTAAAGGAAAACACGAGATATACCTCTATATAACTGGCTGAAGTGCCGACTGATAACAGATACATGGGCGAATTTCTGCTCACTAATAATTCCTTCGAAGACCAAAAGTTGTTATATGGGACTGTAAGAGGATAGCTGACAATTCAATAAAGTAATTGAATGTCATTAGATAAGAGAACACGAGAAAAATAGAAATAGTCCGTACATTCCCTTGTTTATATTCATTCTATAGGGGAGAGCGGGGCTAGTTCGCACCATTTTTAATAAAATAATAAAACCAACATAGCTCGATAACTTTTGAAGCTACGTTACCGTAGACCAGTGATTCCCAACCTGTGCCGTGAGATCTTCCTATGTGTGCCGTTTAGTTTGAGCCATACTATGTGTCTATGACTAGTCTGTGGCTACAGTTGTATGCCGTCTATGATTTGCCATGTTTTTATTTTGCAAATAAATCAAAAAATTTTCATATATTTTTTCATGTGTTTCAAAGTGTGCCGTTGGCACAAAAAGGTTAAGAACCACTGCCACAGACCATACTAGATTAAAGACAGTGGAGTTGGCTAATTTACGGCATACATTAAATAGTTTTATTGACAGGCGTATACAAGTAATTTCATCTCAAAGTCACCATGTCCGAATGGACGAACATCAAGCCGCGGCTGTATAGCAGTAAGTGATATGTACCTACGCCTATACAGTTGCCATGCGGCACCGGTTTACTTATGCCCCCGTCAGACCGGGGTGGCGTCCTTACTGCGCTGCTGCGACCGTACGGCGACCAGGAAATGCACAAGGTCGCCGGCAAACGTGAACACAACGCGCGAAAATGTCCCCAAAAACTACAAACTTGAAAAAAAGTCGTATTCTCATAGTTTTACAGTTCAGATCGCAGAACCTTGGCGTTTGCTTTGAACATGCTCAAAATAAACGCGGTGAGTCGGCGATCATTGGCGACCATGGTGACTACAGCACGATAGCTGGCGTTTCCACCACGCTTATGGCGATCTTAACGCGCTCTAAAACTATTTTCCATCGCCGTATCAGTGAAGTAAGTACGCTACCCCGGTCTGACTGGGGTATTATTAGGAAAACTTGCCGCTTTTAGAAAGAAGTTCTAAAAACTGCGTCGTTCGAAGAGTATGTAGACTTTTCAGTTCAAACTGGTCCGTGTCTAAAGGAAATAGGATAAACTTGAAAGAAAAACAGCTTCAGACTTTGAAATCTTTGTATGGTAAAACATTCTTCAAATGCGTCGTCATGGTAATCCGGAACTTGAAAGTAGTCCCAATGGCGGACTTCGTCATACAGGCGAGGCTAGATGTAGGGTGCTGGAATCTGCTGAGGTTTGGCCGAGTGGGCGCGAGATATGAATGGGGTCGGACTAACCCCGCTTTCCCCTACCTTATAAAAACATGGTAATGCACGGACTTTTTTTCTGTTTTTCTTTCGTGTTCTCTTATCTAGTGACAATCTGAACGACAGACTCACCCTACCTGCAGAGAAGTGACTCTGACACAGTGAATAGCCATGATATCCATATGACTTTATCTAAACGTCACAGGTCATGAGGTCACATCAACAAACAAATGTAAACACCATCATTATGATCATTATCAACATTACAAGACACAATGTTACATTGTAAACAATAACCTTCTTGCAGCCTTTAGGACTGTATAATCCGTACAGAACGTCTTACCGTCTATTTCAGATATACACAATCAATTCTGTTCAAGTTTTTAGCGTGGGGATTGACTAAAAGTTAATTTATTTCAGCTCTAAACAAAAATTTAAAACTTTAACGCAATTTTAAAAAAATAGCCAAATTCTGGCTGGGATTACTGAGCAAAATGGCCATTCACTGTATACGTTAGTTACGTACGATCTAGTGGCAGTCAATTCTTTCTATAAATTGTCAGATATCTTCTCACGGTCTCACAAAACAACTTTTAGTCTTCGAAGGAATTATTAGTGAGCAGAAATTCGCCCATGTATCTGTTATCAGTCGGCACTTCAGCCAGTTATATAGAGGTATGTCTCGTGTTTTCCTTTGGCGTTCGTCACTTCCAGTTCAGGAATCCTGTATAACTCAGCTATCGTAGCAATGATCTCGGAGTTAAAATTATATTTGGAACGTGTTTAATTAGTTAATGACTGGCACCAATATTGTCCTTTAAGGTCGGGGCTAAGCGACGGCCAATCCAGGACTTGGACACCGGCATTTCTGAAAAAATTCTGGGTAACAATTGCTGTATGGGGTCGAGCATTGTCTTGTTGAAACGTTAGTCCAGGCCCATGTCTCTGCATAAACGGAAGAAGAACAGATTGCAAAATCTGATCCCTGTACTGGACAGCATTTAAGTTCCCTTGGACAACAACAAGAGGAGAACGTCCATGTGCACAAAAAGAACCCCAAACCATGACGCTGCCGCCACCAAATCGGTCAACTTCTCTGACGCATACTTGAGCGTAACGTTCACCTCGTCTGCGGTACACTCGGACCCTGCCATCGACAAATCTCAAAGTGAATCGAGATTCGTCACTAAAGACAACCGAATTCCACTGTCTTTGAGTAAATCTTATGTGTCTTGTGGCCCACACATGTCGGTTACGGCGATGAAGAGGTGTCAATATTGGTCCATTATAGGGTCACCGAGCTCGAAGACCAGCAGCCTGCAAGCGATTTCGAACAGTTTGTGCAGTTACCCGTCCACCAAACATCTCTCTACTTGTGGAGGTTGCAGTGACAAATCTGTTTCTAAGATGGGCGGTCGGCAATAGTTCCAGTTTGAAGCACTCTCATTCTAAGATTAATTATTGTCTGGCGTGAACAATTAAAGGCTCTTGCAACAGTGACCACAGACTGACCAGCATAGAGCCTACCTATAGCACGTAGACGTTCTACATTTGAAATGTCAATTTTAATTTGTTTTTCCAGTTCAAGTTACGTGTGCGCGTTCAGTTTAAGCAAACTTGCATCGATTGACCTCACGAGTTTGTGTTTGCACGTGTTTTTCAGGTTTTTCATCTTTGTATGCTCAAAAGCCACGTGACTTTACAATTTTATGAAATTAAAGGCTTCTTACTACTTACTATCGTTAGAAACACTTTAAAATTTATTTGACTTACCAGAAAAAAAATTTTGGTGAAATTCATCTCAGTGTCAAGTTTTTAATTTGGCTAAGTATATTTAAAAAACTGTCCATTATTTATTGAAAATAATGGACAGTTTTATAAATAATAGACGATGATTCTCCTATATACTGGTTAAAAACATAAAAGGGTGACGTCCATGGAGGTGTATATATTGACTAGAGTGTATGGTTACGTGATCGCGTGCCGACTATGGAGGTCGGCAGCCATTTTACAACCTGGAAGATTTAGCCTACGTTGGCATATATCAACATGCCGGAGAGTTGTTGTTGTTTTGGTTAATTCCATGTCAGGCGAAAAGGGAGTGGATTATCATTTCATAAGTAGGTAAGATATATTATAAGTGAAATAGTGATCTAATAGATATAGTATAATTATGATAATTGTGTAAAATAATTTTATTAATTAGGCCGACATTCATTGTGTACACAGATGTAAAGAATAAAGTGAAAGTTTCTTGCAATATTTATGGTTTTTTTTTTCTTCTTCTGAAAACCCCCTTAAAACCCCCGAACTAGTTAAAAAAAATGGTTAATAATAATAAGTAATCTTTATAATTCATTCCCAGTCAAATTTTGTAAAAAAAAAAAATAGGCCTGATGATAATGATATTTTTTTTAATCGCTGCTACTACGAAAATCTTATTAAGTATGATTAGGTTAGTCTTATTTTTTTGTAAAATTTAATATACCGCCGTATTTTTCAACAAAGAAAAATCAGACACCAGATCATGGAAATTGAAAACCATATCGGCCTACTAAGGCCTTGCTAGGCGTGTTTATATTTTCCTTGTTTTTAAAAAAAATATTATATATTCTACTGGTAAATGATAGAAGTCATAGATTATTTTTAAAATCGATTTTATTTCTTTACATGATATAGATAGTTTAGTTATCTGCCAATCAAGCAGTAGCTTTCATTTCAAATCGTCCAACTGAACAAATTATTTAGATCTATCCAAAATAAAGTTTTATGTGAACTACCGAGGAGCAATGTTCAAAATTTTGCTGAACACTTTATAGATCTGGACATTCGAGGACGTTCACTGTGCTCAATTAATAAAATAAACATGATTTCGTCAGTTCTGCATTACAATTTACACCATGGATGGTGACCATGCCACGGTATTCATCATGATGATGATTATGATAAGAGTTATTCTTAATAATAAAGCCCTAAAAATATGCCAGTTGACCAAAACGATTTTGTTTTTAGGACAGTAAGGTAAGACCTTACAATCATCATTTTTTTGGTTGATATTGTTGAATTAGAACTGCTTTTTTAATGGGCTTGTCCGCCCTCCGTCAGTTTATTACCCTTTGTTTACATAGCGTTTATCCGGGCACTTCCGTGATTCTTTCCCGGTTGAAACATGGCGGTCAGTCTCCAGTGACGGCCAACGGCGTTAACGTTACGTCAATGGGGATCACGTGACCACAATACACTCTAGTCAATATATACACCTCTATGGTGACGTCATATCAGTGTTTTAATTTTTATGAAGTCTCGGATAAGCTGGGAGGTCCAGTATCTGTCAGCTGGGTGTGGCGAAAGGAGAGAATTGAGACAGAAGATTCTGCCCCTCTTTGTTAGATTGTCAATCATTGATTGTCGTTTGTTTGTTAACTGATTGCAATCTATTAGTAAGTGAGAGGCGGTTGCAATACGTTCACACGGGCATTTGATTGGTGTATAGGTGTAGTCTTTGACTGCCTCTATTGTTTTGAGCCTCGTAATGAGCTTGCATATTTTGATTAAAGGGTTATTGATATAAACCTTGTCTACAAGATTGCTATCTATTTGATAGCGATGGGTGTTTCCTTATTTAAGACGGGGTTTCCATGCACATTTTATCTTCTCTTGCTATGCCTGCAAATTCCTGACTGCTATATTCTAAATTTTCTACTTCATTTAGTGACAACCCCTCCATGGCTAGTTTGTCGGCTTGTTCATTGCCATAAATATTGACGTGGGAGGGGATCCATGCAAGGACTACTTCCCTTCCACTATTCTTAATTTTTTGACTAAGGCCGGCTTTTGGAGGAGTTTGATTCTATGGATTTGATGCTACTCAAGGAGTCAGACAGTATTACGGCTTTTTGGTGTGTTTGCGTAGCTAGCCACCCCATTGCAGTTTTAATGGCCATCAGTTTTAATGATATTCAGCTTTGCTTTGGGTATGTATAAGCCATATCCTGTTGCCCCCTGTGTAGTGTTTTTGGATCCATCTGTGTAGATTTTTATATGATCTGTCCATTTGGTGTCTATTAATTCTACTGCTAGTGCTCTAGCCTCTATGGGATTGGCACGTTTATTTGTGACGTCACTTACGTGCGTGTTGATGATTGGATCACTTAATTGCCAAGGTGGTTTGTCGGGGAAGGTTTTTGTTTCGATAATGGTTTCTTTCAAATTGTACTTATTTAAGACATCGTTTGACATTTGCCCAAATGTCATGGGCCGGGTGTTTTTCCTGAAGCCTATCCGTTTAAATTGTTTGAGATGTCGGGCATCTCTCGTTTAGCATTTGTAGTTTGCCCCAATACTTGAGTGACAGTTCTTCGCGCCTGGTATCAAGTGGAAGCTTTCCCAGCTCGTGTAATAGGGCAACTGTTTTGATGGTTCCTATGGCTGCTCTAGTTGCTAATCTTATCGCTTTGCTTTGTATTGTGTTTAGTTTACTGAGTTGACTGCCACTTACGTTTGCATAAGCCAGACATCCGTAGTCGATTACCGAGCGGATTACTGCTCTGCATATTAACATAAGAGTGCCCCTGTTGACGCCCCAGTGAGTCCCTCTGATGTATTTCGTCATGTTTAGCGTTTTGGATGTGCGACTTACTATGCCATCGATATGTGGCTTCCAAGTTAGTTTTGAGTCGAACGAAAATTGGTCTCTGATTTGAATTCAACTTTTGTTCCGTTCATATTTAAATCGATTTCCTGTTATTATCAGCCGGGTGAAACAGTATTGCTACCGTTTTCCCCTCTGATATTTTGAAACCCCGTTCATTTGCCCACTTGGAGAATTGTTCTAGGTTGTATTGAAGTGTGCTGTGAGGGAAATTTTGCCCGAATTCCAACTGCCAAGGGATCTTTTACGTGCATTCCAATGTATACACGGGACTTTCGCGGCCAATGCAGGGATCGAAGCCTTTGTTAAGTCGACGAAAATTGCACAAAGGTATTGTTTGGCTGTAAATGCTTTGGAGATGTCATGTTGCAATCTAATGATATGGTCCTTAGTAGACCTGTCGGAACGGTAGCCACTTTGCTGATTTGTGAAGATATTATTGCTTTCACAATGATACCTAAGTATGCTTGTAATTATTGTTTCTAATGCATAGACTTGATGTAAGACTGACTGAACGATACGACGTTGTTTCATTTTTGTCTTTGTTGTGTTTATGCAGGGGAATAACTGAGGCAGTCTTCCATTCTTGTGGTGTTTTTCCTTTTGGCCATGAGAGATTAAATATATCTAGGACTAACGTCAGTGCTTTCTCGGGTAGATTTTTTAGCATTGTGTATTTCACACAGTCTAGCTCTTGTGCACTGTCAGTTTTAGCCCACAATGCTTTTTTCAGCTCATCTATATTAATGGGACTATTGAGATCTAACTCATTGTCTGCGTCTTCGTGCACTATTTTACGTTGGGTTTTTTTTAGGAATTTGTTTTTATTTGCTTTAATTGTGCTAGCTGTTGTACAGCCTGGTATTTTCTTAATATAATTACAGGAACACATTGGTCCTTTGAGATTTGTCGGTTATTGCTAAATGGTAGACTTGATATTGACATAAAACACAAAGGATGTCTGTTTGCCGATTCGGTACCTGAATCTGAGCTGAATGAAGAAGACTCACCCAGAATTATCAACACCCACGTCAGATTTGATAGACTCCCGTCTGATGTGAAGACAAAGAAACCAAAGATAGTATATATTAGAAGAAACCCTAAAGATGTTGTTGTGTCTTCCTACAATCATATACGAAAAACTGAACGCTTTCATTATGATGGAGACTTTAAGGATTACCTCCCCTTGTTTAGTGATGGCGGTATGTGTGGCTTTAAAAAAATTATACCTATAATAATTGCTTTAAAATTGTAGTGGACAGCTATTTCCGCTAAAACGTGTGTTTTGAAAAATGTCAGAGAATGGCTGCGTCAAAAGCGTAACCGTGACCTCCAACGTGTGCCGGACAGTGGCTTGCAGAGGTTTGGTGACAGCCAAAGATTAAGTAAAAGGCCTAATAACTAGAAATCTGAGAAGGAAAGACATTTGAAATATGTAAAAACAGATAAAATAAATAAATTAACTAGGGAAGTTGGCACTCCAAGTTAACTACCATAATTTTAGAAAAATTAATTTTTTGTTGCCCCCCCCCCCCCCCACACACACACACACACACAATCGGTCCGGTGCTGTCCCAACCCTATGTGCATCCGGACGTTGAATTGTCTATTATAGTTTGTATGAAAAAGTGGGAGATTGGTGATAAAGTAATTATATGCGTATTTACTTTTTAGTTGCCTATGGATCCTGGTTTGAATATGTATTAGAATGGGAACAGATCATAGCTAATAATCAAGAGTTATCTATTCTTGATGTAACATATGAAGATCTTAAAGAGGTAAGATAATTACTATGGTCTGGGGCCTGTTTCACGAAAATTTAACTAAGATAAAATCCATATTTTAGTAATTTGATTGGATAATATTAGATTGATTTTAGTGCTTAGCCAATCAAAATTGACGTATCTACTAAAATTTGGTTTTTATGTTCAATTAAGATTTCGAGAAACATGGCCCTGGTTTCTAGGGTATAATTTGTTTGATGTAAGCGAAACCGATTGAATCTTGTCATTTTATAACCCATGTCTGCACCATAATATCGTGTCAAATTAAAAAAAATCGTATTTTAGAGAATTGATCTGCACGGTGCATTTGTGTGATCATGGAAACTTTGTTCTCAGATTTACCTATTGTTACATTCCGAATTAAAATATTCAAATGAAATTTACAATCATCCATTTCATTGCATCTCAGAATATTATTATTGGGTCGATATTCCTCTATTATTTCCGTAAAATTAAATAAGTAGAAGTATTATCATATTGTTAATTTTTACCGAAAAGGTCTTATTGAATTTTGCATATTTTAAAAAACGGACATTATGCAAGAGCTAAATCTACCTATTGCAGGTCTTTCTTTAGGCCTTAAATGTTGTATAAATTATTAGACATTAACTTACCAAGACCATACTTTATCGTATAGTCTAGATTTTCAACAGATTAAATCGGATCTGCGGTTCAACGGAAGTTGATGATTAACCGTAATAATGGATAATCGAGACTTTGTTTATTATTATCGTAAAAACGGTAGCAATGACAATCGAGGCTACAGTATTATTACATTATCCTTTTTTTAACAATTATAGTGAGAACCGCCTGCTCTTTATCTACCGTTCGAGTGATAATCTTCTAAAATAAACAATAGAGTAATTAGAATTGTTTAAGGGGGTGGAGATTAACCACTTTGCGTAATTTGTTATTATCATTTTAACTTTATTTAATAACCTATATTTATTTCATATATTTAGTATAGTACTTTGTAATACTTGATGTATTTTCATTATAAATATCTTATTTTTATTTACTAACTATAAACTTATAAGAGCCTTTACCAGTTGTTCCTACTTGCAGGATCCTATCCAGGAAATTAGAAGATTGTCAGACTTTTTAGGAGTTCAAAGAAACGAGAATTTTATCGAGGAAATAAGCGATTTTTGTAATTTTTCCACAATGAAAGGCAGATTTAAAGATAAAATGGGGATAAAAGATAAACATAATATAATTTACAGAAAAGGTAACAGCTTCTAAAAGAGATTTAATCAATAAATATCATACTATAGATTATATTTTAAACAAAGGTATTCAAGAACAGCAACTATCGACGATCTGCCAGAGACCACGATCTGCCAGAGTACATGCAGATACGTTTCGATACGATCAACACGATTGCTACAACTGACCTCGATATATGATAAGACCTGTAGGTTCACCACGATTACTCCACGATTAAAACCACGATTTTAATCGTATCACGAATTGTGTTAGTGGGAACCTAGATATGCCATTGTACCTAAGAATTCGCATCTACAAGTATGAAATCAAATAGGCTGGCCATGTGATAGGTCTCCACTCTAAAGGGGGGGGGGGGGGGTCTCAGATGGGTTCTGATAAATTGACAGTAAGTGGTGCTTTCTGGTGTATGCCCTTACTTTTCTAGCTTGTGCATGCACACATTGTTTCCCACTATCACGATACGTGCAGCGATCGAAATCGTGGTTTTAATCGTTGAGTAATCGTGGTGATCCTATCCGGTCTTATCATATATTGAGGCAAGTCGTAGCAATCGTGTTGATTGTATCTGCACGATCGTGGACCCAATATTAACATTCCTGTCGTATCGTATCGCATCGCACGACAATGGGAACCTAGCATTAAGCAAGGCTGACACTTGCACGATTCCGTGGCACGCATTGGCACGACTCAAGTCGTGCCAGTGCGCAAACTAGTCGTAAACTGGCGTGAAGTGTGCGTAAACCCGTCGTGACTGCGTACCATGTCGGGACGAGAATTTTGAAATGTTCAAAATTTTGGTCACGACAAAATTTAGCGACCGGGTCGTGAACTATGCGCAAACTGTTCGTGAACTCGTCGGGACGATGCGGGAGGATGCGTGCCAGTGGGTGGCAGTGCGCGCCATGCCACGACTGTCACGAACTGCCACGAATAGTTCACAGTGGCGTTCGCGTCGGTGCAGGTGTATATATAGGGCTTCCTGGACACTGCTCGCCACTCCAGCTGTTCTCTTCTACAGCATCATGCAGGGAACAGTTACTCCATGTTCCTCCATCCGACGCACCACCCTCTGCCCCAACATCCACATAGAGGAACTTGTAGGTAGCATCTGCCACTGTCATCAGAACAATGCTGTGGAAGCCCTTGTAGTTGTAGTAGTAAGAGCCAGCAATGGGTGGTTTCTTCATGGCGGTGTGCTTGCCGTCCACAGCCCCCAAACAGTTGTGGTAGTTCCATCTGGAGCTGAACCTGGCAGTAACTTCCTTCCACTCCTCTTCCGTTTTGGGGCAGCGCAGCACTTCGTCCTTGTAGACCGCGATGATGGCTTTACACACCTCGGGTATGAACTTGCAGATGGTACTTGCTTCAACCCTGAAGCTGTACTGCAGACTTGGATAGGAATTTCCAGTGGCTAGGAAGCGGAGGATGACAGCTAGCTTGAGTCCAACTTGAAGCGGTTCCCTCATGAAGGTGGACTGCTTCTGGAGGCGAGGGGTTAACTTCTCAACCATCTCTTAGAACAGGTCAGGTGTGATTCTGAGGTAATTTTTGTAGCCCCTTTGATCTTCCTTGTGGAGTTCAGTCAGTAAACTGTCATACTGTCCAAACTCTTGCCTTCTGGTCAACCATTCCCTGACCCACACTTTCCTTTGTGTCTTTCTTCGAGGTGGGGTTGCCTTTTCTTGCTCTTCTGCCTCTTCCAGCCTTTTCTGCTGCTCTTGAACAATGACTAGAGCAGCTGCCAGGTATAGGCATCTTCTCTTCCCTGCAATGATTGTGTCTCTGACATTCAGCATGTTGTATCTTCCACAGTCAATCCAAAAATGACCAGGGGTTGGGGAGGCCCCCTTTTTATATGGCGTGCCGAAGTCGGCACGACACCGTCCGAATTACACAAACTCGTCGTGCCAATGCGGGAAATGCGTAAACAATGCGCAAACTATGCGTGAACTCGTTGTGCCAGTTCGTGTCAATGTGGACACTGATGGGCAAGCATTCGTGAACTCGTCGTGAACTCGTCGTGGACTATGCGTGAACTAGTCGTGAACGGTGCGGGAGCCTCCCAGTTCGTGCCCCAAAATGACACGACTTGCCACGACAAAATCGTGGCCAAAAGTCATGCAAGTGTCAGCCTGGCTTTACTATTGCATCAAAAACGATGTAAATTTAAAATTCAAGACTAAACAGCCCCCCCCCCCCTTCTCGATGTGCTAGATACAATATATTAAGAGCATTAATTACATTTGATTTTGAAGTTACATACCAAATATGCATAAAAGAACAACAATATTTTAAAAGTGGGAGAATTATTAAGGAACAAAGACAACTTGTTTCTCTACAGGTGAAGTGGGCGATTGGAAGAATTGGTTTACTGTAGCACAAAATGAATGGTTTGATCAACTCTACAGGGAGAAAATGGCTGACTCGAAACTGAAATTCAAATTTACATTAAATGAAGATTAATTACTCATGTTACTTATTAATTAATTACACTTAGTATTACTTAGTAAAAAGTATTACGTATTTGATTAGAGATTTGTAATAATAAATATACTTCTTATCGTGATTAATTGTTAGTGATCAGTAGTTACACGATCAATGGATCTAAGTTGATTGACCTGAAATTGATAGTTCTATCGTCCGTGATTTGTTGCCGTTGTTGTTTTCTTTTTTGGTTTGTTTTTTTTGTTTGTTTTAGTGATTAGTAGTTACACTTTTTGATGTTTAAATAATAAACTATTTTGGACATTGAATATTGGCCTTTATATGATTGGGATTTCTCTGTATCATTGTTATTTTAATTTGTACTTCTTATTAAAATCTTTTAACTTCATAATATATATATTTTTTTTTTTTTTTAGTGATTAGTAGTTACACTTTTTGATGTTTTAATAATTAACTATTTTGGACATTGAATATTGGCCTTTATATGATTGGGATTTCTCCGTATCATTATCTTTACAACTTCATAATACAATATCTTTCAAAAATTATCGAAATGTAAGCGAATTTACCGTTTATATACGGGAGACGTTCGAGGGAAAATATCGCTCTGACGTCACGCTACCAGAGATTTTCCATCAACGCGAATTGCTACAGCTCACTTTATTGGTGAATCCGCGCCTTAGTCAATTTGTATTTCTACTTTTTATCGAAATAAACAAACTATAGAAATTCGACACCCTCTACTGATATAGTAATACTGTAAAATTTAATATTGGTAGATAATAGTGTAGAAACCTATTTGACCGTAAGAAAATCTTAGGGGAAATCGTATCACGAGGAGTCAATATACACCGGGTCGATAACGGTGTGAGTTGACTCCTACAACTGCGCATGCGCTAAACGGTAATCACACATCAGGAACCATCTCACACCGGGATACAAAATACGTACCTAGTTTAAAATGTACATACTGCCTGTCAAAATGCAGTTCAACGACTTATCTTATCTTATCTTATTTTACCTTAGTCTTAGATGTTGTTCCTAGCTAAGCCCCCGTTCCTGCACCACTGACATGGTGATCGTACCTAGGAGAGTACCGCTCGATTAGTAACGAATTGCCTTACACGTTATAATAACGAAATGGGATTTAACTTCAACTTTTCTGTTCCAACCAGGCTTATGGAGAAGGATATTGTCCCATGGGAGAACTTTTGCTTGGACAGCAATCGAATTTCAACTGCCAAGAGTCTTTTTTTACGTGCACGCCAAGGTGTACACATGCGCAGGTGTCGCCAAAACGTTTGCACTATAACAAGGATTATCGCAGGACATTATCCAGCTATAAAATCGTGGAGGGTAAAGATATCCAATTGACGCACGTGCAATTAAAGTTATTCGTTTCATATTTTTGTAATCGAGAAATAAAATGAAAAGGTTTAAAGTCTTTCTGCTAATTTCGCCCTTATGATGACTTTGCTGTACACAATACTTTGCTCTAATAAAAGATGCAGGACGACCACACCACATATATATAAAACTCATAAGACAAGCCCGCAGACAAGACGCAGAATATACACAGAAATGGGCAAATGAAGATCGACATACGCCATACAGTGTGTTATGGGGCAATTTTTTCCCGGACAGCGATAGCAGCGGTACGGCCTACTCTTATATCGAATTCCAGCTGCCAAGGGATCTGTTAGGTGCACACCAATGAGTACACGGGACCTAGGATTTTTATTCCATCCGAACGACTAGATGTTGTCCCTTGCCAGGCCCTAGCTCCGTCCTGCATCACTGAAAAAGTGGAACAATGCGGACAAATCCCGATGAACTAGTGTACATGTGCAATAATAAATAAGCAAAGATTAAAATATGTCTACTCGTGTTATCTCCTTAGCTTACTGTAGATAAAACTGGTCAACAATAATAGTGTAATAATTATGCATGTGCCAACACGGCTGTCATGATAAGCCTACTATCATTTATCCCCTCACGTCAGTTAACATACCAAGATGTCGGTTGTATACATTCAAGATGCCGCTGGTAAAAACATTACCGTACAAGATGTGGATGGAAGACTTTATCCTAGCTTTAATCCGGATGTCATCAGAGGGGTGTCATCATTAAAACTTAGGGATGATGACGTCATACTATGTTCTTTTCCTAAATCAGGTAAATAGCGATTTCTTGTATTCCATCGTCTAATAATTAATCAACATTATTTTATTAGTGTCTTTATCCATAATTCAGTGTGATCCATTGCAGATTTTAATTGTTCTCTATCTTTGTACATTTTTTACCAACACTGCACAACCCGAAGTGCAAATCGTAGGGCCAACGTGTAAATGGTATCAATTGCGTCACAATATATCGACGCGACATGATTATCCCGGTCGGTGCAGAAAAGTAGTACGATAAACCCCAATTTATTCATTCATCCCTTTGAACATAACCAGATTAAATCTAAGAAACAAATAAAACGAATATATTATGTGCAAGAAAGAAGGGTTGTTACTCGTGTAAAATGTTTAGAAAAATAGATATGTGTACATCACTGTGATTATTAAAGCATTTATATACGCCTGGTATTTTCTTAATATAATTACAGGAACACATTGGTCGTTTGAGATTTGTCGGTTATTGCTAAATGGTAGACTTGATATTGACATAATACCGAAAGGATGTCTGTTTGCTGATTCGGTACCTGAATCTGAGTTGAATGAAGTAGACTCACCCAGAATTATCAACACCCACGTCAGATTTGATAGACTCCCGTCTGATGTGAAGTCAAAGAAACCAAAGATAGTATATATTAGAAGAAATCCTAAAGATGTTGCTGTGTCTTTCTACCATCATACACGAAAGCTGGAACACTATCATTATGATGGAAAATTTAAGGATTATCTCCCTTTGTTTTGTGACGGAGGTATAGAAAACCTAATGCTTTATTTTTATACACACCCGCCACATATTGAGGTAGTTGCCCGATTCAAGCCCATGGAATGAGACTGTTTTGCTTGGCAAAGACCTTAGTTTCAAAGTAACAGAGTCTTGATTCTGCCAGTAATACAGAATCAACCAACAACATACTTTCGACTACATCTCGACAGTAAATCCGACGACTATGAAAAGGGTACAGTCGTTTACAGTGCCGTCAGTGGTTTGAAAAAGTGGGAATTTACAGTGGTTTGAAAAAGTAAGAATTTAAAAACCAACAAAGCATTAATAGTATATATAAATGATTGTATAAAGTTGTATAATTGGGACCCTTTTAATAATATAAACCAAATGTACTCTCTTTTTAGTCGCATATGGATCCTGGTTTGAATATGTATTAGAATGGGAAAAGATCATAGCTGATAATAAAGAGTTATCTATTCTTGAATTAACATTTGAAGACCTTAAAGAGGTAATTACAAACTTGTAAACATCGTATTTCATCGATATTTGGGACAGAACCTTTACGTCCTAGTGTTCTGCATCAGTTGGGCTAATGAAGACGGACATGTGCCAGGCAGTATGCTATTGGAGAAATGTTGCAGTCTTCACCGAATTCTAACTTTCAGGTGTTCTCTTACACGCAGGCCACCGTATTAACGGGACCTTTGTTTGTCGTCTAATCTAATAAACTAGACGACGTTCTTTGACATGCACCATGCTGGAAAATCCTGATGAACTTTCTCGACAAATACCGGGATCCAACCCCGGCCATCTGGTTAGTGAGTCAGCGCCTTACTCACCGAACCACCGTCGTTTACGTCACTCATGTAACGGAAGCGTGGGATTACTTAAGGCTTTTGATTTGCATACTTAAACCCATGTAACTTTGTCAACCCATAATCTCTGAAAAAAAAACAGCTCCTTTAAAAAAGGGTATATGGATTCAGATTCACCGATGAACACAACCTAAAAAGCTAGCAGAATCATAGATTTTGAGTGCAGAATACTATTGTTATTGTAATATTTCTCTTCCGTTTTAGGATCCTATAAGGGAAATTAGAAGGATGTCAGACTTTTTAGGAGTTCAAAGAAACGAGGATTTAATCGAAGAAGTAAAAGATTTTTGTAATTTTCCCACCATGAAAGACAGATTTAAAGATAAAATGGAGAGGCATAATATATACTACAGAAAAGGTAACAGCTTCTAAAAGGGGTATCACCTTTAAAGAAGATGAACATTGAAATGTTTGTCCTTATTCAACATGGAGCGAAGTATTTGGCAGACTTTGCATGCCTTTTAGATTGACAGACTACAGTTTTATTGCTTGCGCGTGGGGCTCTTTTAGAAGTGAGGTTGAGAAGGTTATCCTAATCTTTTAGAAGTGATGTTGGAAAGGTGACCCTAGTCATTTAGAAGTGAAGTAGGGAAGGTGACCCTAATCTTTTAGAAGTGAAGTATGGAAGGTGACCCTAATCTTTTAGATGTCAGGTAGGGAAGGTGACCCTACTCTTTGGGAAGGGGACCCTAATTCTTGTCACGTGGAATAATAGGATCGAAACCACGCCTCTTGACAGATCTTATGATTTAAAGCGCATGCGTTAGACCACACTTGACCCCCCCCCCCCCCCTCTAGATTGAACATCCCCGATATTACGTTATCATTTCTTTGATTTTAATTGAATAATGAAATTGGGTAAGTTGATGCAGCTTCTATTTCTGTGCAGGTGAAGTAGGCGACTGGAAGAATTGGTTTACTGTAGCACAGAATGAATGGTTTGATCAACTCTACAGGGAGAAAATGGCAGATTCCAAATTGAAATTCAAATATACATTAAATCAAGATTAGGACATGTTTCATTTATTTATTTATTTCCTTGTTCCTTGATAATTCTTTATCATTATCGTTAGTTAATTGTGTTGTATGTTCAATTAAGCTACAAGTATTGATAGGTGTCCCTTGTCCGGCCAGTTGTTCCGAAATTTCGCTGAAACTTGATAAACTGAGGAGCCTATGGATAGAGTAGGTTAGGGGCGCATAAAAAGTTAATGTTCTCACGATGTTTGGGAGCCCTTTCAGTCATAAGTATAACAAATAACAAAATGTTATACACAATTGGAATTATTTCTTTATATATTCAGTCTCTGGAGGGGTTTGGTACTAAGGAGAATGGGCTTACATGTACAAATCATCATTTACAGCCACTTTTTCCAAACTTTTCTCACGTCCGGGATGAGAGAACCACCGTGGACCACCGCTAGATTGTGGGACCCTCCGTTTCCAGTCTATCACTGCTGGAAACTACGGTTCGCATCACACGTAGTAGTCATGGCGCTTGTACAGGAACTTTGCACTTGATGACCCCTTGCACTGTAGGACCCTTGACATAGTTCGTCGTGACCTTGTACTGGATGACCTCTGTGACCTAGTTCGCGATGACCTTACACTTGATGACCCCGATGAGGTAGTTCGTCATAACCCTGCACTGGATGACCTCTATGACGTTTATAAATAGTAAATGTGACACAAAATATGAATGATAAAAATACATTAATTAAAAGTATTACAAAATAATATTAAATATGGAAATACATTAAGAAATTAAATTAAATGAAAATAACAAATTTATTCGTAGAAACTTAGATATACAAAATGACTTGATATTGAACCTATATTACACATACCTAAATACGAGAACAACTTGTCAGGTTGCTAATAAGTGTGTAAATAGTAAACGTGAGTATACAGGTAAACCTAGTCGAAACGTCGCTCAGTTATAAGCAGTAATTGTATTCCACAGAATTGTGACCTGTATAACTAAATGCCATTGAAACAAGTTAAACGTAAGTAAAGCATTGACTGTTTCTTGGGTTTATATAATAATATCTTTGAGTTGTTAAGCTGCCGAAATCTATAGAAACACGTTAAGACAAACTCACTGCCCGTCGTACGTGTTTTGATACATGCGGGTCGTAAGGTTTGGTAGCTCGCAACCCAGCCGCAAGAAACAAGGTGAAAATTTTGTATCTGCAGGACCAAAAGTCTCTACGGTCAGCTGCGATCTTCTACGGTTCCGAAGTAACACACACACACGTGACGCGAAAGTCTCGCGTACGGACGGGTTTACTAGAATTTCCCACGTAGACTGCCCGTAGTAGCACATACGGCGGGTTGTGAACTAGGCTTCACACTTTATAAACAAACCTACCAGCTGCCTCACTACCATTAAAGTGGCTGATCTCCAACAACGTATACAATTCTAATCACTATATTGTTTAGTTGATTATCACTAGAACAGTAGTTATAATACTTAAATATGCAAATTTTAATTAAGCCTTTTCGGGTGAAAATGTAGTTTAGATATATTACTAAACAGACAACGTAAAAGCATTCCCGATTTTCACAGGTATATAATATTTAAAATTGTTTTGGTTATAAACAAAACATATTTTATACAAAATTGAAGTAAATATATGCAAATTTGTAAATAAAATCATATAAATATAAAGTAAAGCATTTAAAGAGAACAACAAATATAAAATGTAAACAAAGTTTTTGATTATGCCACCAAAAAAAAGGTTATCACAGATACAATGCTATGTGTGTTTTCATAGAAACGCCCAACAAAAACTGCTGGCTATGTGAACTTTTCCAATATACGAAAAGTGATACCAAGTACTCTTTATATGAATTGTGTCTTTTCAACTTGGCTTCTTGTTCTTATTAAAGCATAGCTTACTCACAAATCCATTAAAACTGAATAAATATACATCATTATTAACCCTTTCAGTTGAAAACAAAAATGTATTTTAACATTTTTACAATAAATTTTATCCATTCTTTGATATTAAATAAAGGTAAAATTACAATTGTCTCTTTTGACCAGACTACAACTTAAGATGGTGGGAAGTGAATAGCAAAAGATATGTAGAGAGGTTTTTCAGCGTTTTCAACAGTCAGTGTCTCACTTCTGCTTGTTCTTTCGCCAAGACCAAATTTATTGGAAACTACCCCGGTACTAATTTCGTGTAACTGGTGGGAGTTATCGTAATAGTTAACGGAGATATTGTAACGAACAGTACGCTCTGGTCGCATTGAGAAGGTGTGACGTTCACATTGTCTAAAACTCAGAACAGGGTCACCAGGTTTTAACCTCTGAAATGAAAGAAAGGGCATTGTAAGTTATTTCGTCGTATACGAAATGTTTTCCGGCGTGGTTTCCCCTTGTCAGTGGTACAGGACGAAGGCCTGACAAGTACAGCTATCTAGCCATTCGGATGTGACGAAAAACCAAGGTCCCGTGTACACATTGGCGTGTACGTTAAAGATCCCTTTCTGCTCCGACTAGGCTAATTAAGACGGGCTTACGCCATACAGTGTGATATAAAATAAATTTTGCCATCGGTTTTTCGTCCCATCCGAACAACTATAAACCTGACACGCGGTATTACACGCCTGAAGATCCCGATGAACTTTCTCTGCCAACACCGTGAAAAAACCTCCAGGTTAGCAAGACAACGTTTCGACATAAATCATTGGGGGGGGGGGGGGGGTAAATAGATGCACCAACCGGCATAATGAAGAGGCGTATATGCAATACTGTATGGTATGCCCGGACAGCAACTGAATTCCAACTGTCAAGATCCTATTACGTACACTAGGCTACGGCTGTTTCTTGCCACTGACCCCGAGGAACTTTTTCGGCCAACACTAGGAGTGAACCCAGGACCTCAAGGCTAGTGAGCCCGTGCCTTACTCAAATTCAAAGGCTCCCCTGCCTAACAACCCTAAATAAAAAATAAATGTATTTCAGTGTCTCTAAATAGGATAATGTGCGTCCTTTAGATCTGTATATTTTACTGTTGCGCAGAAAAACATACAAAACTCAAGAAATACATAAACATACCTGCAAATAAACTACGTAAGTCTTAGACGTTCCTTGTTTCACTGCCTTCAATTCAAAGTGAAAACCATGAAGTGAAATGATTTCAGAATGATAATGAGGTTCCTGAAGAAAAAAAAAACAAGATTAAAAAAAGATTTAAATTTTCTTTGAATTTTGATGAGATTATGTAGCTAAGTGGAGCACTAAATGATTGAAATACTTTATTCTAAGCTCCATTAGAATATAATATAACAGATGGAAGAACATGCAGGTGTCAGATTCAGATTAGCAACCAAATTTTGTTCAACTTATTTAAAGGGACAGTCACAGATGTCACAGGACACCATGAATAAATGGGTGTGTAAGTGCATATATGAATGGAAGGCGCCGGGGTCGTAAATCGAATGTCAAATAGTTGCCGTGTCTTAGAATTCCAATTTAAAATATTGACCTGTTCGGAAATGATTTCTAGGTTTGAATAACGGGGATGACTTACATGGCATGGAATTTGGGAAAGTTTGGATTTTTTTCTAAAAAGTATCTCAGAGCATCAGAGAGTTCAGCAGGATGACAGTATGATCACATGAACCAACAACTGTCCTAATTGTAGTCTCTCAATCACGAGATGCCTGCTGTCACTCAGGACGCCATATTTTGGTCCACCCTTGGAATTACAAATTGTTTCTGAAAAGAAATATAACTGGTAACTTACTGTATCTATAATAAATCCGTATCTTACAGAAGCTTGTTGGAAACTCTTTAAAGATGCCATATCTCCACCTGCCTGTAACTGTAAATATGACCAAAATGAATTAAAGATTGCAGAACTCAATAGGAATACACAGTAAAATGTTTGCAATTAAACTAAACAATAAGTTCCTCCCTGGTTGTCCTTATATATCATAATTTCCCATTGAAATTGCAATTATAAATTTAATATTAAATCTAATTATTTGCTTATCCACTTTCAACAATAAGTGTATACGCCATATCAACAGATTCCTGAACAATACAAATAACAAGTAAACTTACCGAATGATAATGTTGAGAGAGTAAATCTATCAACCATTTCTGTGGAACCACATTCATCATCTGCATATCTTGTATATTACTAGCTATAATACACATATTTACATATATCACATATATCACATATATTTACATATTATCACATATCTTGTATATTACTAGCTATGATACACCTATTTACATATTATCATATACTAGCGATAATACACATTTTAAATATTATCACACATCTTGTATATTTCTAGCTATAATACAGATATATATTTACTTATTATTGACGTATGTTGACAGCCCTGGATTAACTATGCATATTAAACATGCATTATGCAAGAGCTAAATCTGCCTATTTCAGGTCTTTCTTTAGGCCTGAAATGTTATCTAAATTATTAATTAGACATTAATTAACCTATCCAGGCCATAATCAACTCTAGATGGCAGCGCTAGCCTGCGATCTTTAGTGGATTGTAAGCCGATTTACTGCATAACTTTCCTTCTCTATTAAACGATTAAATGGATAATCGAGACTATGCTGTTTATTGTACTGACTTTAGTAATGATGACCGAGGCTTATGGGAAATTCAGTCGCTTAGTTCTCGGTTCATAGTGGATCAATTTGAATGAAATTTTCACCAAATTGCCTTTACATTATCTAGTTTTTAACTTATTATAGTGAGAACTGCCAACTCGTTACCGAATCTCCCATAATGTATCTTTAAGTACGGACCCGTGGCTACAATACTGGAGTTTGCGGAGAATGACCGTTGCGAATTGCAGCCATATTTCAACTTATTGGTGTGCACATGCAGTGCTTCGCATAGGGACGAAAAATAGTGTTTCTGTTTCATTGGCAGCGCACGTAAAAAAACCCACTGACAATTGGAAACTGAACAAAAGACGACAGAAAAACCACTACAAGGCCAATATTTTCCTCTCTAGCATTCTACGCATAACCTCAGAGATACCACAATTATATACATGTCACTACGTAAGTACCAAAAACGGGTGTTAAACCCAACTGCATTCAATCCATTCATTATGAAATGTAATAGGATTTAACGTCCTCATGTCGTGCGACACCCAGGCTAGCGAGAACGCGGAGACGCCATGCATCCTGTGAGATGCATGTTGCCTAGACAGCGACGTTTCCGCCTACTCTTCGTCGAATTACTACAGCTAATGGGTCTTTTACGTGCACGCCAACGTGTACACGGAACCTCGTTCCTCCCGTTCTGCACCACATGGGGAAACCAAGTTGAAAATTCCGGAGGAATTTTCTGAGACAACCCCGACTCTCATCGTTAGTGAACCGGCGTCTTACTGACTAAGCCATTTTGATACATGAAGCTACTTACTGTCTGTTATGCCATGAAGACGAATAGCCGAAAATAATGCGGCATAACTTTGGCCCTCTTCTCTTTCAATAATGCACGAGGTTTTAGGAAGACTGAAATTGAATTTAATAATTAGTTTAGAAAACCTTTTCATAAGCAATTAAGTGAAGAGAAGGACTTTACTCCTACAGATGATAAATTTAGCATTTATATCCCGAAATTGTTTTTTAAAAACATCAACACTGTGCGCTTGTGTTCGTTGATTTAAAGACACTGAAGTTCGTCTGAAATCAAAACGATCAAATCGTATCCAGGAAGCAGAGATCACAAATCTACCAAATTACTATGAAGAATCTGTCATAAATAATATTTCAGTACATCGTTTACATAAAAAAAAAAGCCAGATTACTATCTAAGTATTAGTAAATGATAATTAACAATTTACCAATAGAAATATAATACCTGTTAAAGAAGGATATAATAGTGCTCTGTGATGGCATCAACTGTAGATCAGGGTTTAGTTGAAAGAATAACCAATAAACCAGAGCTCTATAAATACTATATTCATTATATACAAACAACCTGTAATAATAACATGGTTTTATAAATTCTATATTCATTATAATATATACAAAACCCCTGTAATAATAACATGACAAATACAAAATGACAAATTCAATGAAATGGAATGATGTTTAACGTCCTACTTTTCTGCGCCAACCCGTCACGCAATGTGCTACGAGGATTATTTTCCCGGGCAGCGGCAGTATGGCCTACTCTTATTTACAAATCCAACCGTCAAAGGTTCTTTTACGTACATGCCAACGAGTACACGGGACCTCGGTGTTTCGTCTCATCCGAACGACTAGACGCTGTTTAATAGTACTAGCGTTTGGTTGTCAGTAATATCCTCTAAAAAAAGATGTGCACGTTCTAGCGTATCGGTTCAGTCGAGCAATGTATTCGTGCAATTGATTGGGTAAGTAACGATGGGGGAATTAAGAACGTCCCTTCAACTAAATCTTCTAGATTTTACCCTCGAGCCCCTTCATTATTTACACAAGTATTTATGTAGTTCTACAGTAAGATTGTACTAATGTTTATAGACGGTTTTAACTAGGTATATAATATAATACCTATATCGACATGGAATATTTTATAGTTCTTACCTGTTAGATTTGAGAATCTTTTGTATAAGTTCCATTGGTACTTCTCGTAACTGTATTTGTATAGCAACTTGTGGTATAAAGTTTAATTCTAACCATTTCTCACAAGCCCCGACCAGTTGATCTTCATTGTACTGAGATAAATAAATTTTAAAAAATTAATTTGGATATAACTCCTTGTGAAAGATGTTTGTTGGGGATTTTTTGGTTTGAAATAGCAATCGATAAATTAAGAGGACAAGTGTTTAGTAGATTTAATCAATAGGCTCATGGTAATTCAGCCCGTATCCATGATCTATGGCGGCACTATTATGACAGATTGGTTAACCATGTTTATCTCGAATATAAATAGACATTTCGAATCGTTAGCAATATATAACTGCATGAATTTACCTGTGACGCAGCTCTGTGGTATTTACAAACTGTTCTAAAATTAATACTTCTCAAAATAATCTCTTTACAGCTACAATTTAAAAAAATCCAAGTAATTACAAAACACCCCTGAAATTGGGACAGTACAATTTATCACAAAGGTTAACATAACAATAATCTAATATTTCATACGTAAAGTGGCAAACTCCATTATAAACTTGAAATATCATAGTTACAATTAAATTTATGTCTTTCAACGAAATGATTTTACGAGATTGATATCATATAACAACTTCTTACCGATCAATTAACTGTTTAAAACCTAGTACCGAAGCAGCTGCTAAAACACTGGCAGCGTCGTCCTCCGATATAGTAATATCATCTGTATATAGGCTACCTAGAGCTAATGCCAAGGCTGTAATAATACATATTAAGACATAGTATCAATATAGTTAAAGAGAAACAACTTTTCTCTCCGCTGACTTCAGTGGTTATCACCGGACAAATTAAATTAAACATACATTATGCAAGAGCCTATGCAGGTCTTTCTTTAGGCCTAACATGGTAACTAAATTATTAATTATCCAGACCATAATCAACTCTCGATGCCATCGCTAGCCTGCGATATTTAGCGGATTGGAATACATTTTGTGAAGAGCTAAGAGCTGAAATGTTATCTAAATTATAATTTAGACATTAATTAACTTATCCAGACCATAATCAACCATAGTCTGCGATATTTAGCGGATTGGAATACATTTTGTGATGGATAATTAAACGTAGTGGATAACCGAGACTTTGTTTGTTTATCGTATCGACTTTAGTAACGATGATCGAGGCTAGCCTAAAATTGAAAAGCTAATATCTCGGTTCGGAGTGAGGGCAATTTGACTGAAAATTTCAGCATTTTATATTTACGTTATCTATTTTTTAACTATTATAGTTAACTCTCCATCTAATCTCCAAAACAGTAGGACGTTAAACCCCATTTCATTTCATTTATCTAATCTCCCAAAATGCCCCTTTAAACTAACTTGTAACCTAGCATGATACAGGGGAGGTAACTAAAGACAAAAGCAACAAATAACCGATTTTAAAATTATATTAGTGGCGGGTTTTTAAAAAACAGCGTTTCAATAACATATAAACAAACTTACCTTTTCTGGTTACCATCGCATCTCGAACAACCAGTGATATAACAGTCACTGAATTACAGCGTTTTTTAGAGTAATGAGAGGGGTTTGAAGAAGTTAGCGGCACTTCATCATCAAATTCTTTATCGGTGTTCAATTTATTTATTTCTTTTGGATAATTCTTGTCATAGAAATGACTACTACCAATAAAATCATCTACAACTTCAGATGGTAGTTGTTTATAATATTGTTCTGTTGCCTCTTGAGGCGCACCTTCAAGTAATTGTGCTAACGTATCTGATTTCTGCAGAAATGGCCGATGTAATTCCCAATCTGTTTTCAAACAGTTTAGTAAAACATCTATAATAAAAATAAAAATAATCTAAAACATAGCAATTTTTTAAATATCTAAAATCATGACTATTGTAGTAATGTTTTCTTTTCAATCTTTTTGTCTGTACATATGTATTAATTTGACGTTGATGAACTATATAAGAACTTTTTTGGTTGATGAACAAATATATTAGAAACAAATAAGTTAATCGATTTTACCAAATCTTTCTTCTAATCGATATTGGGTATTATCATTTTTACTGACTGTTTCAAAAATAGACTAACAAAACAATTGAGATTTGGATATGCACGTCTTGGTCTGAAATAAACTATATATGTAAAATAGTGCATAATAAAACATATAACCAAGTTCAGAAAACCCCGGTATGAGTATACGACAGTAACAAGATGACACAAAGAAATAGTGAGACAATGATAAGATGACACAAAGAAATAGTGAGACTGCAGTGATGAGAAGAGATAAAGAATGACTGGGACAATGCCGAGATGAAATAGTGAGTCAGTGATAAGAAGAGATAAAGAATGGCCGAGACTATGACAAGATGGGGCAAAGAAATAGTGGGGCAATGATAAGATGACACAAAGAAATAGTGAGACAGTGATGAGAAGAGATAAAGAATGACTGGGACAATGCCAAGATGAAATAGTGAGCCAGTGATAAGAAGAGATCAAGAATGGCCGAGACTATGACAAGGTGAGGCAAAGAAATAGGCAATGATAAAGATCGAAAGGGAACGACTGGGGCTATGACAAGATGAGACAAAGAAAAGGTGAGACAATAAGAGGAAATAAGGAATGAAGGAGATAATGACAAGATGTGAGACAACAAAATAGTGAGACAATGATACGAAGATATAAAGAATGGCAGGGTGAGACAAAGAAATGGTGAGATAATAAAAAGAGGAGATACGGAATGGTGGAGAAAATGACAAGGTGAGATAAAGAAATCGTGAGATAATGATAAGAAGAGATATGGAATGGACGAGACAATGACAAGGTGAGATAAAGAATGGTCGGGAAAGTGACAAGATGGGACAAAGAACTAGTGAGACAATGATAACAGATAAAAAAAATGGCTGAGGCAATGACCAGATGACACAAAGAAATAGTAAGACAATGATAAGAAGTGACAAAGGAATAGTGAGACAATGATAAGAAGAAATAAGGAATGACCCAGTCAATGACGAGATGAGACAAAGAGATAGTGAGAAATGATAAGAGACAAAGAATGGTCGAGACAACGGCAAAATGAGACAACGAATTAAGGGCGGTAAGATAATGTTCGGCAAAAAGATAAAAATGGTGTTCTGAGTTAGATAAAATACAGTGCGATCTAACAGTGAAATTAATACAAGATACTATGTGAAGAAGTCCTAATGATTAGAGTTCCTTTAAATCTACGTCCGTGCTGAATGATTATATAATCTAAAGAAATACAACATTGCTAGTGAATTAATATCCTGTGAAAGTTAAGTATAGAGTTTACTACTATAGCCTTTTGCTCCACTTACCATGTTCTCCTAATTTCTCTAAACCTAATTATAGATAAAATATACAATCGTTTTATTTTAGTTTCTGATGCTCTGGCTTCTTTAAAGACAAACAGTTTTATTATTGAAGATTCATTATGTAAGATTTATATAAAGAGCTAGCCATTCTCTCTATAATGGTTCAAAATGGATAATGAAAAATTGAAAATTTCATTCAAATTACTTTATTCTGAGTGAAGTTATGACTGTTTGAAGATGTAGCGAATTGTTTATTATCGGAGCAACGGTACTTGAAAACCGAGGTGATATCTCAATTATCCAATTTATCGTTAATTTTTTTTAATCTCCAGGCTGTTCTAATCCATGCAAATCATGGTCCAATGTTCTAGCTAGAGATTTGATTATAGGCTTGTCATGTGAATAATGTCTAAATAATAAGCTATTAAACATTTGAAGGCAAAATAAAGAACTGCAATAGGCAGATTTAGCTCTTACATAATGCATCTTTAGATAACGTTTTGAAAACCTTTTGTTATTTTTTTTAAAATACGGATAAATTAAATATGGCTTCAGTAACCCTAGAATCTTCATATTTTTCTCGGTTCTGGTCAGTTATATTTTCCAACATATCCCGCTTTCTGTGAAAACAAAATTTTAAAATGGTAAATGAAATACATCATATCAAAAATAAGTACTAACCCGGTCTTGTGGCCCCAAGAGCTTTCTTAGAATGGTAAAGAAACGTTTCTTTTGGGGTTGGATTCAGGGCCGTTTTAGGAGTATAAGTCTTCAATTCGCTTAGGCTATTTGGCGTCCTGAAAGTAGATTCATGACATGATTCAATGGCATTTTTAAAACAATTGAACCGGATATACATGGATAATTTATCCTGGTCGAAACCTCACTAAGTACTAAACACCAGTTGTAATTCATATAATTGTTTCCTCTGTTTACATTCTTGGTATTTTCATTCTAGAAGATTAGATACCACTTATTTGGGCGACTCACTAACCAGTGTTGCCCGAGAAAGTTCCTCATGATTTTCTAGCTTGGTTTCCCCTTGTCAGTGGTGCAAGAAGGAAGGCGGAACGCCGCTGTTTGGGCAAAATTTACCTCATAGCCCGTCTTCATTAGCCAGTAGGTGCAGAGCAGTAGGATGTTAAACCCCATTTCATTTTATAATTTGGGGATTTCCTAACAATTGGCTTATGTATTTTTCTTTAGATATTGTTTCTGGAACTAAATCTCACAATAACGCAAAAACTGAAGGTTTCTGTGATAAAGTATCAAAGTCGTCGCTGCACAATAAAGCCCAAATAATAACGTTTTTGTGGACACAGGGCAAAAATAAGGGCAAATACTGGACAAAATATATAGACACGGCTAAAAAAGGGATCCTCAGAGGTGCGATATAGTTTATAAAATACTTAAACTAAATAATTTTCCTCTAAACCCATGCTTGTGTGACCAAGAATCATTGTTTTATATTCCCAAGCCGTTAATTGACATCCCTGTGTCTTTTGGAAACAAGTGGCATACCCAAAGACAACAACACAAAGACCACAAGAATTATATTAAACGGAAAAACAACCCAACTTACGTTTTTGATCTATTTGAAGATAGTGGTACATTTGTAGGACTGGTGGAATATCTGGCCGATAGTTTTGAAGGATAATTAGCACATACTGGACGATAAGGTCTATCATCAGACAAACGATAACTGTAGGCTCTGTTTAAATCAAACTGACTTGACGGCATTGGACTCTCAGCTACAATTAAAGCAAAATAGTTCGTTATAGGTTTCAAATTTATGTTTATTTGGTACATGTATCACCGGGAAAGCCTAGTGAGACAGAAATATCCACAATTAATTGTACTGCAACACATATCACCATGTTACGTTGGCTAAGTGGGTGAGACGCTGGCTCGCTAGCCTTGACGTCGTGTGGCAGGGACAGTTCATCGGAATTTTCCGACGTGGTTTCACCTTGTCAGTGGTGCAGGGCAGAGGGCCCAGCGAGGACAATTATCTAGTCGTTCGGATGGTCCCGTGAATACATTGACGTGCACGTAAAAGATCCCTTGGCAGCTGGAATCCGATATGAGTAGGCTATAGTGCCGCTTCCCCAGCAAAAATGTCCCTAATAGCACACTGTGTGGCATATGCCCGTCTTCATTTTGAAAGTGGTCGTATTTGCAATCACCACAGACTGTGCGTCAGTCAAACATCTGTATTCTTTTTTTCTCCGAAGTTGTATTATCAGAATTTCTACCTCAAACTAAGTAAGACATGTCATTATGAAAAATACAGATGATGCTTAACCTTTTTCTTGGTGATTATTTCCAATAAAAGTATGGCAAATGGGGTATATAAGAGTAGGTCATAGTGCTGCTGTCCGGGAAAAATTCCCCTCATAGCACACTGTATGGCGTATGGCCTTCTTCATTAGCCCAGTCGGAACAGAACAGTATATCTCCATGTTAGTCTTATGTTAGGAAATGCTGGGGTTTTTTTTGTTTCTTTATAAAATAATTGTGTATGTTATCTTAGACCATTTGCGTGCATTTTCTATCAAACTTCAAGAATACTCCGGCATTTTATGCGAGAAAAGCCAGGTTTGGATAAAATAAAAAGGGTCAAATCTCTGATTAAATAGGATAGAAAAAAACACGTTAAATACAATGCAAACCCCCTTACACCTATATGGAAGGGGTCGGGTGGCCGAAGGTAGCAAGGTCTGTCAATGGCCCAACTATAAATTTTAACATCTCGTCAACTCAAAAATTATTTTCCTGTCGATTGCCGACATGCTTTAATATTTTGTTTTTCGAACATATTGAGATCTGAATGGGTTATATTTTGCACATCTTTTACAGATTTCTAATTTTGATACTCATTTGGTACCTGAAATAATGTTCATCATGCTGTTATTTATAGGCATGTGTATAGATTTGATTGCTTGGGAACTTCCCAAAAAATCGCTGTATAACGATTCTGGTAACCTCCATCGATTTGTTGTTCCAACTTGCTTTCTGACTCGACATCTTGTTAATGCTGGATGCTGAAATTGAACATATTCGACTATAATATATTAGAATAATATTTTTATGTGTCCATTTATTTTTTTATGTAATCTCCTAAATTTAGCAATTGTTTTTTTTTTTATTTTAGTTCAAATTGCTATAATAGTTCGAAAATATGAATACATTGAGAATTTCAGTCAAATTACTTTGATCTGATGATGTTATGTCATGAATGTTTGAAGTTTTGACAAAAATAAATTGTCTCCGAGGATTCCTGTTTGAGACTATTTTCTCAATTGGCAAGTACCATTGTCACAATAATAAACGCTATCTCGACATTCAGTCATTATATCAAGAGGTTCCATGCCTGTCGGTTATATTAGCGTTTAACGCAGTTATGGCGGATATATCTAAGCCATCCGATGTTCTAGGGGGCTGATTAAGGGCTTGTGTGAATAAATGTCTAAATAATAATGTATGAGCCTATATAACACTAGAGGTCAGAAAAACGCCTGGGAATAGGCAAATTCGGCTGTTACATAATGCCTCTGTATTTAGATACAAAATAGCCCCCCCCCCCTCTTAAATATACCACAGTGGATATAACTCTTTGGCAGATTCCCATTTTCTTTACCAATTAGAGTTGGTATTCACAAAGGGGGCGTCCTAGGTACATTTTAATAAAAAAAATAAATCGGGAGTTAATTCGGAGTGAAATACCCTTAAAAACGTTTAGCTAACTATTTAGTCATTTTTCCTTTAGATATTCGTATTTGATAATGTTGGGAAAAGGGGTGGGGGGGGGGGTAACTTGATGTAAGTCCATAAGTCGTATAATGAAGTAGCTGTCATGCTGCCAATTGATTAGATACAATAACCCTATACTTTATCTACTATATTACAAACTATCCACATAGAATGTCAGCATACAGGTGATCGATTGTTATACTTGAATAAACATCGTATATCAATATCTACTTGATAGATATACTATACAATGAGTTATATACCCATTTGTAAGGGAATGTCTCACAATCTCACGAACAAAATTTTATTTCATCGTGGAGAACGTCGCTTCGTAATTTTAATGGGTCTTTTCTTTTTAAACTTTAATTATTATATGACCGCTATATGTTTTAGAATATCTATATTTGCATAAAGATAAAGCTGTGATTGCTTTTGAAAAGAAACTGACTATATCCGAACTTCCCTTGACAACTCTGCAGAGGTTATATTTCTCTGCAGGGAATACTGCTCGTGATGACTCACTTATATGTTAATTAGTCTTGATAGTCGTGTCTTCGTATCGCATGAAATTTTTAATTTAATTTGGAATAAAAGTACCGGTAAAATAAACGTATTACTATGGAAATTAGTTTCTAATCCAGTTTTAATTATATAAGCTTAGTCATTAAAGGGATTTGAGGGGGTTAATCCGGTCAACTTTATTCATGGTAGGCTTTGGGGATTATCCGAGATCTGTCGTCTAAAATCCACCACTCGTTATTATGGCTGTATCGAAAACGTGTGTGGGATTCATTGGGGTTTTTTTTGAGCTATAAGTCGAACTCATGTCAACTATATCAACCGAACAACGACTACGATTATATGACAAAACTATAGAAACATCAAAGTTGATTAATTCGATACCGTAGAATAAATCGCCTACTACTAGTCCGTTGCTTGGCCCCATGCGGTTTATTTATTTGTACCTGCACATTAATTGCCCGCGAAATGACAATATTACTCGAAAACACCTGCCATATTAAGGTAAAGCGTAAAGCTGGTGAAATTAACTTATGCGATTAAGTGCAAATATAACTGAATGTCAAGATGGATTAAAACCCCAGCCTGAAACCCGAAATGTTAGATGAACCTCGGATGCTAGGAAAATAACAAATTTAAAATGTGCTTTCCAAAACGTTCGATTTACCAAGATATCCTAGTATTGTCCTGCATAGTTTCCTTTTGGGTGATTGAGGGTAGGACTATATGAGACTGGAACCAGTTGAATATTTTTTTTGTAGACCTTACCTTCTCTGGTATTCTTCCATCAACCACAACACCAGTTAAAGCTGAATATGGAGCTTCTTTAATATATCTATTACAAAATAAAATTTATCATTAAATATGTCCGTTTTATAATAATGATTTTTTTTTCTTTCTTTTTTTTCTGTTCGTTTTTCATTTTTGAAGGCGTGTGCGCCTAGTTCATTTTTAATTGATAAAACCGGCTCAAAAATTAAGACTTATAAGTCTACACACAAATCTGAAACTTGATCTAGCTAATTTAAATTCTTGGCTGATCTAGATTTAAATTGTTCGTCTAAAACAAATGAACCTGCACAAAAAAAATTTTATAAAGAAGTGCTTAGCTAGGACGATAAATAATTAGGCTAAAGGGGTTGAAATATGACAAACTTATCAGAAAACAACTCCGAAGAAATAATATATAGTAAAGACTGATGTCACCATATGATATACATATCAAATAATCGAATTTATTATGCTATGTAAATATTTACATAGAATTTATTTTATAATCATAAAACTTCTAAAATGAGTTCATTGCCGGAATTCGGGACGAATTATCAAATTCTACGCGTGACAATTTATGAAAAAATAAATAGCAAAGTTTTAAAAATGTTACCTTGGATATGAAGAAACAGAACTTGGTACTTTTGGTGGAATAGTGGGGAAATAGGATGGTGTTATAAGAGATTGAGCCAACACGCTCGATGTTCTCTCGGCCATTTCTGTGTTACCACTGACGCCTTGACATATAAATATGCCTCCGCTAATAAAAATAGTCCAATTCAATTATTTAACTTGTGTCTACTTCAGAACTTATTCATACCACCTACAAATCATTAGTCTGTAACAATAGACCTGCACAACTGAACGCTTACATTGAAAATGTGTATGTTTCCTCCAGCAGAAAAGCGGAGTGGTATGTGTTGCTATGTAGAAATTCGTCTGCTCGTCCTAAGTTAGTAATGATTTTTATCTGATATCCGATTATAATAATAATCCGATTAAATGTATTTGTGTGGCAGTACCCCAATCACGTAACTTTGGCTTATTTAGTAGGAGACCGTGTAGAATTCCGAACAGGAGAGGGTAAAATAATAAATTCATTTGGTAATATGATTGCGACTGGGAACGTTTATCCTGAACATGCTGATAGAAAGTTACGAAAAAGGTCAAAGGTGATAAAGAATGGCACGTCTACTTTCATTTTTCGACCTTCACCTTGCCCAACCTTGAAGTTGAAGGACCACCAATATGGCGACGACGGTGCAGATTTTACGATGCAGTACTCGAGGTATAATATGGAAATTATGTTGAACTATTAGCCTTCCAAAACAGCTTTCATTGTTTAGCGATTTTATTGCAATCTGGGCTTAACGAAGGGTGAACAATTTTAGAAATTCTCAGCATGGAACTTGTCATGGTGCCCAAGTATGAAGTAAACAAACTTCACTTCAATCAAGTCTCAAGAAATGAAAGAATCAGTTTCAGTGTCCATGCAGTTTTTAACAAAAAAGAGTCTAGCTCTAATTACAGAATTAATTGCACACTTTGACAAAGAAACATGTGATTCGATCTTATCTGATGCCAGGACCACCAACGGCTTATAAATTTGTTCAAACAAAGAACATCTTTTGATCAATCATAATAATGTCAATGCAGGATCAACATGAAAATGAACTGATCTCCTTTAGATCTAGTCCATTTCATGCCTAGTTGAACATGGGGTATTTCTATCAGTTAGGATGTAGCAAGCTGTACATACGCATGCTGAGGAAAGCCTTCTTACAACACACTGAATGATGTTTATAGCTCTGCCTAATATTTCAGGATCAAGGATATTGTTCCAATCCGCTCTTCTTCGTAATACTTCAGTGGGAACAAAAACTACTTTCGGAACAAGTTCAGCATTAACCAATGTGTTTGAGGCAAGGCGTGGTCCATTTTCCCCAGGTTGGTCAATTATTCCTTTTGAATGTTTTGATTTTATTTTCAATTAATTATTGAATTGATTATGCCAAATTGAGATTTCTTGGAACTAACTACAAAGGTGGTTAAATCTTAATAGGCCTATCAAACTAAACTTTTATAAATCGTAAATGAGGGTTTACAAGGTGGAGGTCTAAATCATTGCATTTGCAGTCTCTGTTTCATACTACAGAGGATTAGAGACAATGCAAAACCAAATAGTAACATCTAATAACAATTACATGAAGTATAAAAGTGATAAAATTACAAATTTATGTTCCATCTTTTACCCCCCCCCCCCCCCCCCCCAAAAAAAGGAAATCTGTTCATTTTCTGTCGAATGAACAGATATTAAGTGATGACTTTTGTATTTGTAGAGGAAAAAAGAGGAAAGGGACATTTAATGTCAGCTTCAACACATTGGAAGGTAGAGAGAGTTTTAATGATTAGTATGATACCTCTCATGCCAGCTGCTCTTTTCTATCAAAGTCCTTTTATTGACCATGCTATCTGTACTGCAGTCTTTCTTCATGGATACTGGTATGTATAAAATTTTTATTATGCTCCCATTTTAAGATCGCATGTATATTGCACTCACCCCACATTTGAAAGTCCCTAATAGCACACTGTGTGGCATATGCCTGTCTTCATTTTGAAAGCGGTCATATTTGCAATTGCCACATACTGTCTGTCAGTCGAACTGCTGTATTCTTTGTTTCTCCGAGGTTGTATTATCAGAATTTCTAGGCCAAACCTAGTAAGACATGTCATTATGATGAATACGGATAGTGCTTAACTTTTTTCTTTGTGCACATATATATGAATACATGAATTCCCTTGTTAACAATATGTCCTAATAAACACTATAACTTAAACATTTTTTACCTTTTAAAGATACGTTGTCCTGAAAGTATTTATCAGGTGGTTATTTCCAATAAAATTATGGCAAATGTGGTATATATGGAAAGTATAGACACCCAGTCTTACTATAAAAATACTGGATTACCCAAAAGACACCCATGGGGCAAGCACTGGGCAAAAATGTCAGGGTATCACTAACTAGTAACCCTACTGTTTGCCAGCATATTATGTGCTAGCTTGACCGAGGGAGCGGTTATTATTTATTGTTTAAATGATTAGGCGGTTTGTGGAACATTGAGGGGTGTCATTGTACAAAAGACTGCAATTAAACGGCGGAAAAAGAAGTTGACAGAAAATAGTTAAGAATTTACTTGGGTCTCAATACGTATGATAAATGGACAGTAAGTAATGAAAAATACATTTTGAAAAATGGACCTGCCCACAAAAAGAAGTAAGGTGACAGACATGGCATCTAACAATAGTTTATTTATAGCTATATCCTAGTGAATACAAAGTTTTGAGAGGGATTTGAGGCAAATTTCCGATAGTTTGTATATGTTTTTAGTCCAAATATATCATCAAATCACACAGTTTGTAGGGGGAAAGTATCTTTAATGTATCGGCAGTAGTATCATCAATACCGTTAATATTATAATTGGGTTTCATTTCAGGGGAATGGACGGTGTATTAACAGATTATTTGGAGAAATTTGTTCCTTGGGTTAAACCATTGTGGACCGTTCTCAGTATCATAGCATTTGCTGGACTTGTAAACTTTAATTATAATGATGTGGGATTGTGTAAGGCTGTTCAGATGTTATGGGCATTGTAAGATGGTAGTTTGAAGGACTCAAAGCGCTAAAAAATGAGAGACTCAAGAAAGAATAATGAAAAAAGTGGAATATGTTCATTTAGAATGATGTATTTATAGATCTAAATGTTTATGTATCTTGTTTTATTAATAAATGATTCTTATAAATCTTAGTTGATGTGAACGTGGTATATCAAAGACTCTTAAAATGTTCATGGCCTGCTCCTTGTGACAAAATAAAAACCTTCCTTCGGCTTCAGATTTTTAAGGACCATATTTTTGTATGGTCTAATTTTGTTTAAACAAATCTGACTTAAGGTCTAAAAGCTAATGTCTACTGCAGATTTGGTCATAGGGCACAAGATGTAAACCGGGCTAGCCCTTACCCACAATTTCGTCAACAATCAGGTGCCAACCCCATTTAGGCCAACATCTCGTGACCCATGGTGAAATCTGCAGTAGGCCTTGACTTTGACTTCCCTTAATTGATATACTAAATTTACTTCCCTTTTATCTTATCCTCAACATTTTCATTCAGCACTTCAAGCACTTGTGTATCAGCCAAGCAATTATTCTTCTATGTCAACTTGTAATCGGTGACTTTTGCCCAAAGCAGCACCTATCTCCGTTATCCGTCCCTTGCCTTTGCAGTTTCTATTTATTAATCTTGTTCTTCCCCAATTTCCTGTTACAGGCTATTACTATTATCGTCATCCTATTTGAGTTTGGCAAAATCAAGCATTTCCGTGATAGTGAACATTGCAATATCAAATTATATGGATGCATATTAATCCTCACCCAATCAACGTGTCTTTTTGGTGAATACCTTTCAATGCGTGGGTTTACTAGAGACCTGTTTATGAGTGTTTCACCTTCAAAAGGTTTGGCATACAATAACTTTTGTTCGAAATAGTAGATGGCTTCTATTTTTGGTGCATTTTCCAAATGGATCTAATGCAAGTAATATCGGTTATTTCTTTGAGACTTGTTGTTAATAAGACAATGAATCTGGTCATCGAAGTGCTTTGAAAGCAAGATTCTCCCTTTTCTTAAAAAGTTAACTTGAAAAATGCTTCCCTATTTTGATCCAAACTACAATTTTTAGCTGTTGTGTAGCACTGGCTATACATATTAAACAAAACAAAAAATATATGAACACGTAAAAGAAAACTTTATCAACACATAAAACAACAATATCCTGTGACCACATGATCTGATTACATCAAATTATAGTCTTATTCAATTAAATACATGTTTTGATTGCCAGGAATTCAAATCTTGATTCTTTCTAGACACAGAATCCATTATTTTTCTTCTGTCCGGGGGGGTGGGTGGGTTAACCTCTGTGCTTTAGATCATAAGATCTGTCATTTAGTCAGGTGATGTGGTTTCAATCTCAAGCTTGTATGTGGCAAGGAGTAGGTTTCTTCACCAAACCTTGTTGGTTTTCTCAGGATGATCCAGTTTTCTTCCACTGCTAAATACCCCTACACACAAACAAATTTTTAAAATGAAATTTGACCATACGTTAGTGCCGAAATGACCTAGTTTTGTGTAAAGTGAATTTAAATCCAATCTCTCACTGTCTCTGAATCTGCCCAATTGTGTTAATTGTTTGACTGAAAATGGCAATCAAAAACAAGTTAACAAAAAAATTAAGGATCTGGATTTGCATTCTTGGTAATCAAACTCGCATTTATATTTGGTATTGTTATTAATTATAGCACTTCAATTTGAGCACATTAATATTAATAAAATAGTTTAAAATATAAAATATCAACTATGTACATTCTGTTTCTCTTAAGAATACTACTAACCTAGAAAGTTTTAAAACCACAATTTGTTGCAGTTTACATCAATAGTGTTATAATACCTGGAATGTTTAAAGTGTATTATATTACACTTACATACCAGAAGTGGTAACCAATTTCTTTTATCTAGAAACACTTTAGCATATCCTGGTAACAGTTTTTTTAGGACTCTGCCATGAACAGATAAATTTTATACAACATTGCTAGTGCTACCCAGTACCCACACTATGGAACTGCTTAATTCTTATGCAAGAGGAAAGCAAAAGAATGGGTCGGTCATTCTAAGACAAAATTAGTATATAGCAATACATCTACAAGAACTTTTTGCCATCTAAGAAGAACAAAGTGTTACCAACTAGTAGTTATCTATCTTTGTTTCGCCAATTTATATATATATATATATATTTTAGTTATAAATCAATTAAATTCAAAAAAAGTAAAACAAAAAAAGAATAATGACTAGATTTACATACTTATTAAACGTTTTGGCATGGTTTAAGCCATGAAAAATTAGATGTAAAAAAATGGGATCTATGACTTTAAATCATCAGTTGGAGATGAACATTTGTAAGCATTATTTACATCTACAATGTAGAATTTGGTGTGGGTACAGGACAGAACCAGAAAAATTTTGCCTGAACAGTTTTCTACTATACATTATCAAAGAATGCTAACATTAAATTCTAAAATTAGCAAGCTACTGTTGTTTTACTAAAATGTAAATTCATTGATAAAAGAAATAAAAACTAAGGTCACAACAATTTGAAAATATGTTCTTTCAGAGAACCTATTGAAAAATGTTCTTCCCGTTTCTTTGCAAAAAAACTAATTTAAAAAGATAAGTACTTGGTTCAAATTTTTAAATAAATTAAGACTCTGAAGAAATAAAATTAATAGTTTGGCCTAATCCCGTTTCTTGGCAGAAAAAACTAATTTAAAAAGATAAGAATTTAGTTCAAATTTTTAAACAAATTAGGACTCTGAAGAAATAAAAATTAAATAGTTTGGCCTAATCTGTGTTTACGAAATTACTCAATATGTAGTTTTACTGGCATGTTTGAATATTATCAACAATTATAAACTATATATAGGGTACTGGATATTAAGTAGTAAAGCCAGTTTGTTCAATCTTGCACAATTAGTCATTATACAAGTCTGTTTTCTAGTACCCTTGTTTAGAACTATTCGTATTTGATTTTAAAACTCAAATAGTCAAATTTTGAGAGTTTCTTCTCAACGGCAGGAACATCACAGCCAAATTTCCACTAACTCCAATTATCTAAAACCGGCATTTTTACACAAGTCTTATAAAATACTAATTTTTATATGGAATTGAATCACTTTTCTCTGATGGTCTTATATAAGAGTCAATATACAAAATAAATAAAAGACTACAGATCTACTAATAAAATACTAAAACAAAACTATAATGAATAAGAAATGAAATTGGGTTTAACGTCCTACTGTTCTGCTCCAACTGGGCTAATGAAACGGGCATACGCCATACAGTGTGCTATGAGGGAAATGTTCCCCGGGCAGCGACAACATGGCCTACTCTTATATCGAATTCCATCTGCCAATGGATCTTTTACGTGCACTCCAATTGTATACACGGGACCTTGGGTTTTTTTTTTTTGTCCCACCTGAATGACTAGACAGCTGACCTTTTCATGCCCTCTGTCCTGCTACTGACAAAGGGAAACCAATGCAGGGATCGAACACACGACCTCCAGACTAGCGAGCCAGCGTCTTACCCACTTAGCCACCGTGGCTCCCTATAATAAATAAGAATGAACAGTACTCGGCACTTAAATAATATTTTGAACATGGAATTGGGTTTAACATCTTATCAAAACATTGCATAGGATATTTTAGTTTACCATCGCTATGTACATTTACATTTTATGACATTATCAAATTCAAACTGTAATTAAATCTTTCTTATACATGAAAGCTCAACTTTAATTCTAAAGAAAATTATTAGTGAATTATTGTGAATTGAATATTCTGAATTATCTAAAACAATTCATTGATGATTTCATGTGATTTAGAAATTTTATTTTTGATTTAAAAAAACAAAAATGGCCATTGACTGATCTTGAGTTGAGCTTTCTGTCAATGTCAAGGATCATTTCTTATTTACATAATATGCTGTGAATAAATTTGATATGGCAACCATATCTTCTCAAAATTCTGACAAATTTAGTCAGTTTAAAAAATAATACTGGCTTTGTTTGGACAGTCGTAAACAACATGACTGGTCTCTCCACATGATGTACAGGTTCTTGCTCTTGGATTCCAGGTTCGTTGAACAGGTTGATATGTAGGAGCTTTGTTTGCATCCATCTGAAATTTGTCAGCTGGTCCACTTACGATAAAATTATCTTGGCTATCATCTGATTCCCATTCATCATCACTATCTTCAAAGTAACTACGGGAAGTGCTCGTTTCTTCACCATTTACATCTGAACTACTGTCAGAATTATTAATCATCGGTACAGTAGAGTGACCTCCCTTTACTTCTTCACTGGGGATGGGATTTTTTATGTTGTTTGATGTGCAACTGCTGAGTTTTTCTTCATCTCTACCAACTTCTGTAGAAGTAGGTGTTTCTAGTAAAGCAGCAGCTATAGATTTTAACGATTTTGAACTGGTTGTGTCTTTGGTTTTTTGAGGGGGACTGACTTTCGGTTTCAGACTTGGCCATTCTGAAAATTGTAGTTTGGATCAAAATAGGGAAGCATTTTTCAAGTTAACTTTTTAAGAAAAGGGAGAATCTTGCTTTCACACTGGCTATACATATTAAACAAAACAAAAAATATATGAACACGTAAAAGAAAACTTTATCAACACATAAAACAACAATATCCTGTGACCACATGATCTGATTACATCAAATTATAGTCTTATTCAATTAAATACATGTTTTGATTGCCAGGAATTCAAATCTTGATTCTTTCTAGACACAGAATCCATTATTTTTCTTCTGTCCGGGGGTGGTGGGTGGGTGGGTTAACCTCTGTGCTTTAGATCATAAGATCTGTCATTTAGTCAGGTGATGTGGTTTCAATCTCAAGCTTGTATGTCGCAAGGAGTAGGTTTGTTCACCAAACCTTGTTGGTTTTCTCAGGATGATCCAGTTTTCTTCCACTGCTAAATACCCCTACACACAAACAAATTTTTAAAATGAAATTTGACCATACGTTAGTGCCGAAATGACCTAGTTTTGTGTAAAGTGGATTTAAATCCAATCTCTCTCTGAATCTGCCCAATTGTGTTAATTGTTTGACTGAAAATGGCAATCAAAAACAAGTTAACAAAATAATTAAGGATCTGGATTTGCATTCTTGGTAATCAAACTCGCCTTTTATATTTGGTATTGTTATTAATTATAGCACTTCAATTTGAGCACATTAATATTAATAAAATAGTTTAAATATAAAATATGAACTATGTACATTCTGTTTCTCTTAAAAATACTACTAACCCAGAAAGTTTTAAAACCACAATTTGTTGCAGTTTACATCAATAGTGTTATAATACCTGGAATGTTTAAAGTGTATTATATTACACTTACATACCAGAAGTTGTAACCAATTTCTTTTATCTAGAAACACTTAAGTATATCCTGGTAACAGCTTTTTTTTAGGACTCTGCCATGAACAGATAAATTTTATACAACATTGCTAGTGCTACCCAGTACCCACACTATGGAACTGCTTAATTCTTACACAAGAGGAAAGCAAAAGAATGGGTCGGTCATTCTAAGACAAAATTAGTATATAGCAATACATCTACAAGTACTTTTTGCCATCTAAGAAGAACAACGGGTTACCAACTAGTAGTTATCTATCTTTGTTTTGCCAATTATATATATAAGTTAAAAATCAATTAAATTCAAAAAAAGTAAAACAAAAAAAAAAGAATAATGACTAGATTTACATACTTATTAATGACACTGATGAGAAATTTTGAATCCCTTGCAAATTACAATATTGTGAAAGTAGAATCTCTAAAGAAAATATTACAAAATGTTTCAATTACATTCAGTATTTATAAGTGTTGAGTAAAATACTTTTTCTATTTGCCTATTGTTTTCTTAATTAAACGTTTTGGCATGGTTTAAGCCATGAAAAATTAGATATAAAAAAATGGGATCTATGACTTTAAATCATCAGTTGGAGATGAACATTTGTAAGCATTATTTACATCTACAATGTAGAATTTGGTGTGGGTACAGGACAGAACCAGAAAAATTTTGCCTGAACAGTTTTCTACTATACATTATCAAAGAAGGCCAACATTAAATTCTGAAATTAGCAAGCTACTGTTGTTTTACTAAAATCTACATTCATTGATAAAAGAAATAAAATGAAATAAAAACTAAGGTCACAACAATTTGAAAATTTGTTCTTTCGGAGCACCTATTAAAAAATGTTCTTCCGGTTTCTTTGCAAAAAAACTAATTTAAAAAGATAAGTACTTGGTTCAAATTTTTAAACAAATTGAAGAAATAAAAATTAAATAGTTTGGCTTAATCCCATTTCTTTGCAGAAAAAACTAATTTAAAAAAATAAGTACTTAGTTCAAATTTTTAAACAAATTAGGACTCTGAAGAAATAAAAATTAAATAGTTTGGCCTAATCTGTGTTTACGAAATTACTCAATATGTAGTTTTACTGGCATGTTTGAATATTATCAACAATTATAAACTATATATAGTGTACTGGATATTAAGTAGTAAAGCCAGTTTGTTCAATCTTGCACAATTAGTCATTATACAAGTCTGTTTTCTAGTACCCTTGTTTAGAACTAATCGTATTTGATTTTAAAACTCAAATAGTCAAATTTTGAGAGTTTCTTCTCAACGGCAGGATCATCACAGCCAAATTTCCACTAACTCCAATTATCTAAAACTGGCATTTTTACACAAGTCTTATAAAATACTAATTTTTATATGGAATTGAATCACTTTTCTCTGTTGGTCTTATATAAGAGTCAATATACAAAATAAATAAAAGACTACAGATCTACTAATAAAATACTAAAACAAAACTATAATAAATAAGAAATGAAATTGGGTTTAACGTCCTACTGTTCTGCTCCAACTGGGCTAATGAAGACGGGCTTATGCCATACAGTGTGCTATGAGGGAAATTTTCACCGGGCAGCAACACTATGGCCTACTCTTATATCGAATTCCAACTGCCAATGGATCTTTTACGTGCACTCCAATGTATACAGCTGACCTTTTCATGCCCTCTGTCCTGCTACTGACAAAGGGAAACCAATGCAGGGATCGAACACATGACCTCCAGACTAGCGAGCCAGCGTCTTACCCACTTAGCCACCGTGGCTCCCTATAATAAATAAGAATGAACAGTACTTGGCACTTAACTAATATTTTGAACAAGGAATTGGGTTTAACATCTTATCAAAACATTGCATAGGATATTTTAGTTTACCATCGCTATGTACATTTACATTTTATGACATTATCAAATTCAAACTGTAATTAAATCTTTCGTATACATGAAAGCTCAACTTTAATTCAAAAAAATTATTAGTGAATTATTGTGAATTGAATATTCGGAATTATCTAAAACAATTCATTGATGATTTCATGTGATTTAGAAATTCTATTTTTGATTTAAAAAACAAAAATGGCCATTGATTGATCTTGAGTTGAGCTTTCTGTCAATGTCAAGGATCATTTCTTATTTACATAATATGCTGTGAATAAATTTGCTATGGCAACCATATCTTCTCAAAATTCTGACAAATTTAGTCAGTTTAAAAAATAATACTGGCTTTGTTTGGACAGTCGTAAACAACATGACTGGTCTCTCCACATGATGTACAGGTTCTTGCTCTTGGATTCCAGGTTCGTTGAACAGGTTGATATGTAGGAGCTTTGTTTGCATCCATCTGAAATTTGTCAGCTGGTCCACTTACGATAAAATTATCTTGGCTATCATCTGATTCCCATTCATCATCACTATCTTCAAAGTAACTACGGGAAGTGCTCGTTTCTTCACCTTTTACATCTGAACTACTGTCAGAATTATTAATCACCGGTGCAGTAGAGTGACCTCCCTTTAATTCTTCACTGGGGGTGGGATTTTTTATGTTGTTTGATGTGCAACTGCTGAGTTTTTCTTCATCTCTACCAACTTCTGTAGAAGTAGGTGTTTCTAGTAAAGCAGCAGCTATAGATTGTAACGAGTTAGAACTGGTTGTGTCTATGGTTTTTTGAGGGGGACTGACTTTCGGTTTCAGACTTGGCCATTCTGATTCAGGGTTAGTTTTGGGTTTGGGTTTGACTGGAGTTTTACTACTTGAGATGGCGTATGCAGATTTGGGAGCAAATTTCATCATAACTTCTTTTTCTAATTGTTCCTCTAACATTTCTCTTGTAAGTTTAGCTTTCATTGGTAAATCTTTGCCCTTCAGTAATCGTCTGGACTTTGCAGTAAATGTTTCAGGCCGTTTGGATTCTTGAGCTCTTCTGGGCTGTAAAAACTTTCCTTCAGGTACCAGTCGAGCTTCGGGTTTGGAAAAAACAGGTTCTGGTTTTTTTTTCCATAGTACACCAACATCCTTATCTTTTTTTAGAGTTTTAATATTATTTATATCATTGTCTACACTAATAGGCTTACTTTCTTTATTGTCTTTACAATGTTCACGATTAGATTTAGTCACAGGCTTTGACCTAGATTCTTTGGAAGACATGACTTTGAGTTCTTCAGTTGATAGCTGCCGCCGTGCTTTAATATTTTTACCTTTTAGCACACCTAATTGGAGGGTTTGCATGGCGAGATGTTTCAAATGATCGGCTTGAAGATTCTCTGATGATGACTTTTCTAATTTTACGCATTCTGCCCAAGAATGGTATTGTTTTGGTTTAGGTGGGGTATTTTTGTGTTTTTTCTTGACTGGTAACTCTTCTTTTTCTGGCGTTTTTGTACTTTTGCTTTTTGTATTGAAATGTGAAGGCAATGGAGAAACAGTGTCTCTTTGGTTATTAACATTATTGTTCACTTCAGAATGAGAAAATGGTTTTGAAATTGTGACTTCAGAGGAAACAGACTCTACATCCATTCTGTTTGAATTTTTATTTGTTTCCTCGGATTTTACTGGTTCTTGCGAAGCACTATTTACAGAAAAAGTGGAAGAATCACTTTCATTCCCACTTTTTCCATGGTATTTTTCATTTTTACGAATGTCTGAGAAACTGATAACACGTTTTATTGTTACCGCCTCGACTCTCTTATCAATGATTTCATGTTTACGATTATTGTTATCACCATACCCAAAACCATCGTCATGGTGATCAAAGCAGGGAGATTTATCTGAGAATTGTTCATTTTGATAACCACCATTACCAAAATCAAACTGAACGTCATCGAAATCAAAATAAGAAGAGCTGATTTCGTTTTCTTCTTCTACTTGATATGGTACTTCAAATGTTGAAAGAGTTTCTGAAAGGAGAAGAGAAATATAATATTTTTTAAGTCTTGTAATCAACACCACCACTATTTTAAAAACAAAATATGTGGTTTAACATCCCACTGGTCTTGACCAATGAAGACAGCCATATGCCATAGCCATACAGTGTGCTATGTGGGAGATTTTGCCTGGACAACAGTGTTACACTCAACTCTTATTTCGAATTCCAAGTTTCAAGGCTACTTTTACATGCTCGCCAATGTGTACACAGGACCTCGGTTTATCATCTCATCCAAACAACTAGACACTGTTCCTTGTCAGGCCCATGGCAGAAAATCCAGAAGAACTTTCTTGGCTAACACCGGGAGTGAACCCAAGACCTCCTGGTTAGGATGCCAGGGTCTTACTCACTGAGTCACTGCAGTTCCCAATTTCAAAAGGTCTGGTGTTAGATTTTGATCTATTTGATTTAAAAAAAGAAGAATTGATGTTAGAGTTGAAACAAATGGAAGAAACCGGTAAAAGCCAGGTCATAATGAAACATGAAATACTTATACAAGGACTTGAATGGTTGGTCGTCCTGGGTTCATTTCTGGTGTTTCCCTATTTGTCTTTTTGATATAAATACAAGCAAAGTGTGAAACTGATGTGCCCCGCCTTACTCTAGAAATAATTATTACCTAATAAACATCTACACCAATTTGGAACATTGTAGCTCAATAAGAAGCAAAGTTATTATTTTTCAATGTCTGGACCAATAAGAGTTATTGTTTTGCAATGTCTGGACCATACATTATGTGATAATTTGTTCTGAACAAAGTCTGTGACAGGTGCCTTATGTCTAGGCTGGTGTGACAGACAGATAAACCAATTTATAATAATAATGATTAATTATCAAACCTTTCATCCAGTCTTTTATGTCTAAATCATCTGTGTTGGTAGATTGTGTGTCTTGTAAACAGGGACTAGTCTGAGACGAGGCATCAGATTTCAGTTGTGCCTTAGTGATGTAAGAATCAGCTGAAGTTACATTGGAATGTGCTGACTCTGTAGTCTTTAATATGTCTTCTTTACTGACCATATACAGTTTAAACAGTCTTGTTCTCACATTTCTACAGCAAAACACAATACATAGATAAACATTAATATACACTCAAGAATATTTCTTTAAACTGACTAAACCTCTTGGGGCAAAATGTCAATTTCATGGGAATCTATGTGTTCATTTGTTTTGTGAGGTGACAATCTATAGATAAAGCCAGCAAATTAGTAAACAAGACATCTTCCGTTTAAACTTTCGAAACAAAAATTTAATCATAAAGAGCGTGCCTACAAGTAATCAGAATAACATAGGCTTGTATATCCAATCCACCCAGTTCAATACTTTATTTGGAACTGAATCAAAAATGTTTAGTCCTGTAATATTTTGAAAATTTTCTTTTTCTAATTTTAACACAATCAATGTCTTTCTTCTATGTTTATCAGGTAATATTCTGGCCGTCTTTGGAATAAAATTAATACAGTTTCATCTATTTTATAAAACAAGATCAGGCAGTGACAGACAGTGAAACGGTACTACTTTGTGGCGACTAAAATTTCTCAAAATGAAAGAATTACAAACCATTTAGAATTAAGTTCTGTCATATCTGCAGGTTCTGCTAACATAAGATAGAGAGAAATGGGGTTTAACATCCACTCGACACAAACTGTCATTTTGGGACTAACATATGGTTCAATTTCATTTCAATAACTTGCATGCGCATATGGAGTCTTTGCAGTGGGAGAAAACCGAGGAGGTTGGACAGGTGACCCTACACTTTATCATGTTCAAGCAGGGAATCAAAACTATGTCGCTTGACTCAATGACAGACTTCACAAGCACACATTAAACCACTAGCCCCCATCCGCCATGTGATGTAAGAGAATCTTTATGTTATGTTATTATATATGGTGAACATGTTTCAGCAAATGCTCACTGTCCCGTATTCCCATGTTTACTTTGATTCTAGAACGTTCTATTAAGTAAAACCTTATACATAGATGTCTACTGTGTATACCATACCTTGTAATTTTATCACCTAATAATTTATCAAGTAAATCTTTCAGGAACAACTCATGTTTATCAGGATATAATTCATATATTACAGTAGACAGAGTTGACCAGACAGTTTCTAAACAACTTAAATAAAGCTCACATGATTCAATGGCTTCTTTACCAACTTGTTGTCCCTAAAAAAAAACAACAAACAATTTTTAAAGAAACACTATTACTATGACAAAGATAAAGTCACATTTAAGACACATAAGATACAATAAAAGTGCTATCAAATCAAGTGAATGGATTTACAGGGACCACAGCAAATCCCCACTGCGCTGTACAGTCATGGGCCAAATAACCATACCATTTTCACCCAACTTCTTATTCCAAATTCTGAAGTTTTATAAATTATTTGAAGAGAAATATACTCACTGATTTGTTAAAAATAATCCACTTCCATAGTGTAGAAATAATAAAATCTTGAACTAAGCTAGCAACCCTAAAACAAACATATATTAAGAAATAATCAGCCATATTATATATGTTGATGTAGCAGGTAATTACCCCACGACAAACAAAGGGATGGACATTGTTATGGGCTACATCATTCCAGTTGAAGCATAACCCATAAAACGTTCAAATCAAGACATCTTTAAAAAACTATGGACACATCAAGGAGATTTTTCAAGATTGGTTCCTCCACTCAACTTTAATATATCATACCATACATTAAATATGAAGGGGGTTTAAAATCCTGCTGTTCTGCACCAATTGGTCTAATGAAATTTTTCCTCGACAGCTGCACTACGCCCTATTCTTGTATCAAGGGTTCTTTTACCTGTATGTCAATGTGTACACGGGACCTCGATTTTTCATACCATTCGTATGACTATAAATTGTCTATGACTATGACTATAAACCATCCCCAGTTTACATACTTATTAGTTCAAGTATATATTTTTCATTTAGCACGGATATATATCCAGGCAAAAACTGGCTTATTACTATTCAACAGTTACACAATGTATAAACAATTTCTACTATCTATTAGTCAAGTAATATTACTTACGCTACTGGCCAGTATTTTGACATTAAAAACAGTTGAGCAAGGATATGACTAAAATCTGTATGGACTGTTCTACGTATTGGTCTCTGCAATAAACAATTGTACTCTTATAATTACAAACAATTATAAAAAGACAACAAAAAAATGAACAGCGTCTAAAGTCTCAACCCAATACTTTGTTCATTTTGAAATGGAGCCAAGAACAGAGGTCTGCCCTCTTCACCCAATTTAAACTGCAGAGGGCAGACCTCTGTTCTTGGCTCCATCCTAACAATTTTCAAAACTTAAATGTCAGACCGAAAGGTGCTACAACTAACAAGTGGCAACCAGAAATTCCTTAGGTTTTTCTATACCCACATTAGAAATATAACATGGGACATTCTAGCCCTGAGCTCAATGACCTTATCACTCGACTCGACCACCAAACTCCAAATATATGATATCAAGTGATTTTGCCCCCACCCATGATCAATCTGTCATTACTAAAAGCTGAGCAGTGACAATTTTTCTGTTTATACATGTAATTGTATGTTAACACAAGTCACAGTTAGTAAAAAATAATAAGAATATTACATCATAAACAAGAAAGCAATATGATATTGATAATGAGATCATTTCTAACCTTTATATAAGATCTTGTAAGTTTCTTTACAACCCATTCAATACAAGCACCAAATATATCACAGTCTAATAACAAATAATTTACAATAACAAAATTTACACAATAAAATAAAATATTTGCTATTACCGTCACTCACGCCTTTTGAGGATAAAATATAAATGTTGCGCTGGGCAAGTACTCTATTATTTACATGACTTGATAGTGTAATTTAAATTCTGTAAAACTAAGTATGTGTGTGATATATATACAGAAATCCATTTTAAACAAATAATTACACAGTGTTTGTGTGATCTTCTGATAAAACTTTACTTTAAAAGCGATGCCTATTTAGGTTTACATATTTAAGCAGATTTGGCATTAATAAATTAATTATTTTGGTATTAAAACTCAAAACAAATCCCTTCATATTCTAAGTCGGTCTTCACAATATATAATTTGTATATTGGATATATATAGGAGAAAAAACAACAGTACACAAAGATAAATTAATTGGATGAATAACTTACGAGAATAGGAATCAAGTATTTTTAATATGGCATCTTGTGCTGCTTTATTAGACATAGCTTCATCTATTAACATCTCTAAACAAACTGATAAAACATTGGCTTCACACGAACCATCTACGAAAACAAATTATATACATGTAAACAAATGAAATTAGATATATTTAAATGAATGAAATTAGATACATTTAAATGAATGAAATTAGATACATTTAAAAGAATGAAATTAGATACATTTAAACGAACAAAATTAGATACATTTAAACGAACAAAATTAGATACATTGAAACGAACAAAATTAGATACATTTAAACGAACAAAATTAGATACATTTAAATGAACAAAATTAATACATTTACACAAATGAAATTAGATACATGTAAACAAAAAAACGAAATAAATGTTTCCCTAGAGAATTGTCTGCCAAGAAAATGGACCAAAAGTCATAGTTTTGAAAAGCCCTGGGTTGGTTTTTGAAGAGTAATTTCACTAACCTGGAGGTACAACTTGATGAATTCTTTCACAAACAATAACAGGATCTTCATTTGCTATATTCTTTATTAACTACAATATTAATTAACTAATTTAATGTGAATAAATAAAATATACAGGTAAAGTGAACCAAGAGCACTATAAAATGTCTACTGAAATCAAAAACAAAGCTATGTGATCTAGCCAAATCATTGAACAATTACACATATTTTGAGCTAAATATGTCATAAAGTTGCAGATGTGTATGAATTTTTTGTACAATGTTTAATTTTTCAAGGCTTAGATCATGCTAAAAATTAGGCAGAGCAAAATTTGCCTAACGCATGTCTTTCTTTAGGCCTTAAATGTTATATAAATCATTAATTAGACATTTATTAACATGACAAGACGATAATAAACTTTTGATGCCATAGGATACTCAAGATATTAACTAAATTAGAAATGTTCGGCCATTTAATGATTTAATTTAAAAATGGGGAAGCGAGGCTATTCATTTTGTATTATCTATTTTTGAACTATTATAGCAAGAACGACCAGCTCGTTATCTAAATCTTACATAATGTATTTTTAAGAAAACAAAGCAAACATATCTACAGCAGAGAATCACAAAAAGACCCAACAATCAAGGAAATTTTATCTACCTTTGCAAGTTGTTTTGAAAACTTATATTCAGCTTCCTCAGAATTTTCTAATTTCAAAACTGGGACAGAATCTTGTTCTACTCTTCTGAAAATATAAATATGAATTAATAGCGAAAAGTGTTTTTTTTTTTTTTTACATTCTTTGAGAACGATAACAAATTGATTAGAACTTTGCAAAAAAAAAAATGATGAAATCAAGGCAGTTCTAGACCAACAGCATGCAAATACTTTGGGATTTTGATTGATTAGAATTTGAGTTTTTAATATTTTACTCACCCTGTGGTGGTAGAAATTGCATCTGGTTGTCTGTGACTATTTTCCCAGGCTAAAAATAAACCAGAAACAGGTTAAAAAAAAATGGAAATAATTATCACATAATTTTATGATGAAGATGATGATTTATGATAACATAGTATGGTAACATAGTGTTACTTTCAGATCATAATGTTCCCAGAAATGTTTAATTAAGAAACAAAATTTAGAATAATAGATACCTGTTTGTATATATTGATGTTTTGGCTGTATAGCATCTATCTGTGATCTGATATCATCTATAACATCATGTGACTGTCCTGAATCTACACTAATATTCAAATCCGACATACCTACAATTAATATATTAGAACTCACAGTCATGCATTTAAAACATCCATGTTTATTACTTCTATGTATGCTGATATTTTAAAACTTGTTAATGTGAGTTCTTATCATATCATATATTCTTTAAAACTATTATATTATAATGCGATACTGCAAATTTGTTAAAGTCAAAACTGTATTTTGGCCATTTTCATGACAAGGTATATCATAACAATGAAGATAAACGCAAAGCGATTAGCACCCCCAAAAAAAGAAATGAAATAAAGTTTAACGTCCAACTGTTCTGCTCCTAACCTGGGCTAATGAAGACAGTCATACGCCATACAGTGTGCTATGAGGGACATTTTGACGGGCAGCGGCGCTACAACCTACTCTTATATCGAATTCCAACTGCCAAGGGATCTTTTACCTGCACGCCCATGTGTACACGTGACCTCGGTTTTTCGTCCCATCCGAACGACTAGACAGCTGTCCTAGTCAGACCCTCTACCACTGACAAGGGGAAACCACGCCGGAAAATCTGAATGAACTTTCTCAGCTAATGCAGGGATCCGCAAAAAAAGAAGAGTTGATACAAATTTATGACCAAAAACTGTAAATGCACAAAGTGCTGTGATCAAAGCCTCGCCAATTGATTCAATAACAGGACTTATGATCTTAAGTGCACTTAGTATTCCCAACATACCCCCCCACCACCACCACCATTCCCTATCACTGTATATTTTACAAAATGAACTGACCTCATGGCTACTAATTCTAAGAATCTTATTTTTATCAATTATCTAAACATACATGGAAAGGAATGCAATGGAGTTTAACATCTTGTCAACACAATATTTTGACCATGCGGAGACATAACTTATGGTTAACAATTTTTTCTATGGTCAGAGTTTTTCAAGGACAGCAGCGTTTCTGCATACATTTCATACATGTACATGAACACAGAAAACAAGAAATGAAATATTTTGATAATAAAACCTACCCCAATGTATATTATTAAAATCATTATTATATTCTATCCGATCATATATCTGTTCCATATTATCAACTATCTCAGTTTTAGTTGTTACTCTTCTATGTACATCTCTTTCTTCCTGAAATATAACCAACCCCAAAATGTTCATATTACCTAGTTTTGGAGAAAAGATTTTCTAATGAATAGATAAAGTAAAACAAGGTTTATTGTGAAGATATCTATCTGAATAATGTATCCTTGAAATGAAATCAAAGTATGCTATGGGAGGGGGGAGGATTTTGCCTGGACAGCAACATTTCCACCTGTCCTTCATCAAATTCCAATTATCAAATTCTCTTTTACGTGCATGCCTTAGTTTGCAGTTTGCAGTTCACATGACACAAGGAAACCAGACTGGAAAATCATATGGCCGATTTTTGGCCATCCCCAGAATCAAACCCTGAACCTCCTGGTTTCTGAGACATTGCCATATTCACCGAGTCGCTATGGCTCTCGGTATCCTTGATCTTGGAATCTTTACTTCTGAAGAGTTTGTGATCACCTTTTTAAGTTTACCTATTGGAAATCTGGATTTAATACTATCGATAGCAATATCAAGCCTTTCTACAAACATCCTTTAACATTTTTCTTTTGGAACATTTTAAAAAATTTATAAGGCCATACAAAAAGAATATTCTGGTTCTCAGATAACCCTTCCAAAAAATCTGATATGGGAGGGAGGTTTTTATTTTTTTTTTGTCAAAGGATCATTACTGGGCTAAATGAATTCTCACATCACATTTCAAGACACTATATTACCATAAACACTAATTAGGGTTGCATACACATCCAATTTTTCCTTTGTCCCTGAGAGAAAATATTTACAAGAGGTAACCAATGAGAATTTTTTTTATATGAAATAAAAACAGGTCATGCAGCCCTTTTTAAGTGACACAGGAGAATCTGAGAACCAGAACGATTTTTTTGTAAGGCCTATATAACAACACTACCTGTAAATCTCCAGCACACACACTCTTTGTTTTCATGATAGCTGACAGATTAAAGCCAGGTATAGCCAAATCAGGAGAAGGGGGTTCTGTTCCTGAAGTTGGGGTTTGAGGTTCTGACCAAGAATCTGTGTATAATTTACGGTGGGTTGGTGTTTTTACCTCTGGAGAAGTATGATTTGACTGATTATTACAGGGAGTTACTGCCCCTGATTGATGTTCACATGTAGTTTCAACATTATTCTGATTGTCTTTACAAGGTGTATGATCACTCTTGTCATCAACTTTGGCAACGGTCACATTTAAATAATCATGGTCGTTGATGTAATTCTCTGGCTTGGCCGAGAACTTGTTCTCTAAATCTTTCTGAACTGACTGAGTGGATCCGAAATTACTGATATCAATGTTCAAAGTTTCTGGGTTGGATGGATTATAAAATTCAGCAGGACTGTTAATAGCTGATGTAGGATTGGATGGATCTGTTGAATTACTGGCCACTGATTGGTCAAAAGGAAGAGGACTGTAGTTATCTGATGTCTGTGTTAACTGATCGTCTGAAAAACAAAATACTAAGATTACTGTTGGAAAAACCAATCCAGTAAACCATTGTATTGTCATTCATCCTCGGTATCCTCAAAGGTATCGTTCCGTTCTACTCCACTTACCCATTCGAGGGGGAGATACATAGTCAAATTATCCACCCTTGATAAATGTGCTATTTGTATTGATCAATCAAAAAATTCAATAAATACAAAGCTAAGGTAAGCAACTCAGATTATATTGCAACTAAGATTGCCAAATTGTTGTCAAAATATTTTAGGACATCGTTTTGTGTGCATGTCACTTCTTTGATATTAAATTTCTTGCAAACCTTCTCATAATGCTACTGCATTGTACTGAACATAAACAATGATGGATAAGTAACCCACTCAATTCTTGCGCGCAATGTTTTTTTTAAATATTTGGAACTACCGGTAAAAGTTTTTAAGAGGAGAAACTAAATACTTTTTGTTTATAAATTATTTTTTTCCTGAAGAAATTGGAGGCAGACTTTTTCATAGATGTTTTTGAAGAATAGAAACTCAAATTGGTGTAGCCTTAATTAAGTATTTTTAGTAAATGAAGACATTAGTATAATTACAAGTCTACTGTAGACAATCCTCAAACTTACCTGTATCATACTGAAAGTCTTCTAGGTAAGACTCAGGTAAAGCTGATCTCACATCTCTTGCAAACTCGGGTACATTCACATCACTTGGCTGAAATTTGATATTATAACTTGACTAATATAGTTATTAATAAGGATTTTAGATAACCAGTCGACCTTGAACAAGAGTCAGTAACCATATGAATTGGGTGTCACAGCAATTTCACTTCCCAGTTGTATAAATGTCAAGGTGGACTCTAAACGCTTATCAAACAACAAAAACTATCGGTTATTAATCCTAACATAGCGCCTTTAAATCTTAAACAGCAGAAAAATTATTTCATATAATGTGAGCACTATGTTTCTAGTCAAAAGTGTGAACAGTCTGAATAATTTTGAAATTGATAATCCTTTTGGAGATTCAACTCTCACAATTGTATTTTGAAAAGGATTCAAAATCCCTCAAATGATGTTGAGTTGCTTTAAGGAACCATTACAATATATTTGTTTAGGTATAAATGTATGTATTTACCATGCCTATTTCTTCATCTATCAAATCATAAGCTAAAGATCTGCCTTGGTCATTACTAGAAAAACAATATAAGTCAAGATGATCAACAACAAATGGATAATGCACAAAATATTACAGATTCATAATTTTCACTAATTTTTACATAAAATAAAAGCTGTAATTTCTATAATGCTGATTATCATGAATGGGCAGTTTATTTCACAAAGAAAAAGAGAGAGAAATGGGGTTTAACATCCACGCAAAACAAGCTAGGTCATAGTGGTACAGTTTTATCTCAATAATTTGATTGCACGTAAGGTTCTTGAGCAGTTAGCAGAAACTGGAGGACCTGGAGAAAACCCACGAGATTAGGCAAGCGATTTTACTACTTATCACGTGTGGGAATGAAACCATGTCACTTGAAAGTCCTTACAATCTGAAGCACAAGTGTAAGACCATTTGGAAATCGACCCACCCCTTCCCCTCAAAGAAATAAATTTAGCTTTAATTACCTGTAGTAAAGAGAAACTCCTGTGAACATAAACTGTTGGTCAATAGATACAATAGCTGTCTGAAATAACTGATCTTTTGTTCTATTTTTAAAACATTTTATTCCTCTATTTGTCCAATTATTCGCCAGCTGTAAACAAAAACAGATGGTTTGTTATCAATCACTAACCTTTAAAGTCGCTCATCGATATATGTGTATTTTTGGAAAATATCTAATTTTTCATGGATTAACCTATGCTAAAATATACTTAAATTGATTACTTGACATTTAAAGGTACATTATGGGAGATTAGATAAAGAGCTGACAGTTCTCACTATAATAGTTAAAAACTAGATAATGTAAAGGGAATTTGCTGAAAATTTCAGTCAAATTGATCCACTCTGAACTGAGATTTTAGCAATTGAAGTTTTGGCCTAGACCCGATCATCATTACTAAAGTCGGTACGATAAAAAAACATAGTCTCGATTATCCATTTCATGATTAAATCATGAATGGAAGTCGAAAAGCAAATCGGAACCTAATCCAATAAACATTGCCGGCTAGCGATGACATCAAGAGTTGATTATGGTCTGGATAAGCTAATTAATGTCTAATTAACAATTTAGATAATATTTCAGGCCTAAAGAAAAACCTGCAATAGGCAGATTTAGCTCTTGCATAATGTATGTTTAATTAAGAAAACAAAATCAGAATATCAATGGTAGATAATCTCCTTGCTCTGATTCAAAAAGAGGCCCATCAAAACATTTCTGTGAGAATAAGAGGCAGCTTGTGTTAAATATATTATATCATCTACCATGGACATGGATATTGATTGAAGCTTTTTTAACTAAATTGTTTGATCAGTATTTTATTGGACAATATTTTTGTTTGCAAGATATTCAAAATCCATTAAATGACAATCTGTGCTAGTGGCTTTAAAGATACCTTCCCATGTATAAACTTGGTGATTTGATGATATATTTGGACTAAATATTTTGCTTCAAATCCTTCTCAAAACACCGTTTTCACGAGGGCATACCCTTACTATAAAAAATCTACTAGCAACGGATGCGAAGCCAGAGGAGAATTTATTGTATAGATGATGTTGTCTTTAATCGCTGTCCATTTATCATAAATATCAAAGCCTAACTAAATTCACAGATTATCCACTACCCATGTCTTTTTCTGTGTTTTTTATCTCAGAAATTGTTTTACGTTTAAGCTCTTCATCAAGTTTATCAACATATACATCAAGTGCTCAATAACGCTGAGAGATCAGACAATCTTCACATGCAACCTTTGATGTCACGCGAGCAGACATTCCTAATCGTTGGGCTGCTGGTAAGGGAAATCCTTACATTTTAGTGCTGTATGCATTCCATGGGTGTTTATCAAGGAATCCAGTATTTTTCTAGTAAGATTGGATGTTTCTACTTTCTATATACATGTTTACCAAAACTGCCATATTTTTATTGGAAATAACTACCCGATAAATACTTTTTCTGGGAAAGTATCTTTAATTATGCTTCAACTTTCAATGCCTTATAATACACAGAGATTGGAGTTTCTAAAAGTTCCAAACTATGAACAACGTACTGGTTTAATTCCTACTAGTTGACATTTGACAGCTTGAGGTTTTAGACTGTAGAATATTCTTGGACAGGCGACACAGACATTATTGATATGCACCATATCAGTATCACCATGATCTACATAAGACACATCTAAACGCTGTTTTAATCTAAAATAAACATAAAATATATCAATATATTACTACATATCCAAAATTCATTTCATACAATAGAAGACGATGAAAGGGGCTAATGAAAATGTGACACCATTTACTGTGTTTAAGTGTAAATCTTTTAAAATGACCAGTAAAGACTGGTGAATATGTTGTTACTTACTCATCAACTCTGGATACTTGAGCTCTATGCCACGATTCTCCCTGTTTTACTAGAACATAACAACCACAATCAACCAGACCAATATTACTGTCTTTATTCAATACACCTACTGATTCACAAAATATCTTTAATTCTTCTTCTAACTCCTTAAACATTTCAGTATCAGATTCTGTAAAACAATATATACATGTATTCTATTAAATAAATAATAAAACTTCAGAATCCGTCTCTGTAAAACATAAAATATATATATTCTATTTAATAAATAATAAAACTTCAGTATCAGAATCTGTAAAACATAAAATATATATATTCTATTTAAAAAAAATTTCAGTACCAGATTCTGTAAACATAAAATATATATATATTCAAGTTTAATCAATAATAAAAATTCATACTACATGTAATCATAGTTTATTAAAATTGTATGTGAAATATTAAAATAGGTTATACCTATTTATTTCACATACAATTTCTACAATTACATTTTTGTTTTGAGCAATTAAGTGTTTGTTTATATATAATTTAGGTTTAATTTTTGCTGTCTGTTCTGTGTCAACACAGGAACACACAACCGATTATTCTCAATATTGTTTTTTCCTATAAAAGTAATATTTTTAACAAGAAAACAAAACAAATCACTAAAAATCCAATAAAATCCATAGTTTTGAATGAAAAACAAACTGTCAGTATACCACAAAACACATCAACATACAAAATCCACAATTTCACTTTGACCTAGGTGAAAGAGGTCATTTTTACGACAGTACATTAATAAATGACATTTACATACATGTATTAATACTTGTACATGAGATTCAGTGTACATACATGTAAATGACATAATAAATACTTGTATATTTGAAAGTAAATACATGTAAATGGGTTTAAGTCTCCATAACAACACGGTTAGCCAGATGTTATTTTGAGACAAAGTAATCTTATTTTCTATACATATGTTAACAGTGTATGCCTATACTGTGCTTTTGAGAGAGAAGACATCTTTTAACATTTAAAGTAACATAAATATTTCATTTGGTAAACAGTTTAAACAATCTAAAATTATAGATTTCTGTGTGTTACATGTACATATACATCGCAATTCTCAATAAATGTGAGTTTATTTAAATTACCTGTACCAATCTGAGCCCAAAAATTAGATGGATCAATAATATGGGTTATCTTTCCTTGGAAGAGCTGTGTTCCAATGCTATCTGACATAATTGATGATTCTGTTTGGATCTGGTGTGTGTCTCCAGTATCTGACATGACTGATGACTCTGTTTGAAAGTTATGTGTATCACCAGTATCTGATATGAGTGATGACTCTGTTTCATACATTGTTCTCTAGTAATACGTACCTCTCTCATGTAGAGATCTATAAAAATAAAAATAGTTTTAATAAAGAATATCAATGGACTAACATTACAAATAATCCAAGATCCAATATAATATCACGACTGGAAATAATATTAGTTGTACATGTACCTGACAATATGTAAGGCACTATCTTAAATGATACAATACATTATTCTATATAAATGGTGAGTCGCAGGGTTCCTACTATACACAGATCTAAGTACATAAATCCATCAATGGGGAATCGTTATGGAGGCAATCTGTTAATTCTTAAAAAGATATTTCCATTTATTTGTGTATAATTCTGGAGATATCTCAATCTCCATTTTAGCATGCTCTACTAAAAAGCTTTCATACTTATTAATATTGAGCATTTCGTTTCGTAGTTTAGCCCGATATATATAGAATTTAGTTAAAATAATTACATGATTAATGAAAATCCATTCAGTATTACTTATATAATTTGATTTGTTAGTTAGACCAAGGTGTATTATATGTGTTTTTATATTTATCTTAATATTACCACGATCTAGGATAGTATGAAGATGATTCCATATTATTTGTGAAAATGGGCAAAGGACAAAGAGATGTTCTACATTTTCTATATTAGATTCACAGAAAGTGCAGAGTGTGTTATCAACTTTTCTAATTTTGAATAATTTATCATTTGTGAATATAATCCTATGGAGATATTTGTATTCAAAACTCCTCAGTTTTGTACTAAGACATACAGTGTTTATTATTTTGAATATATTTTCTACGTCTAAATCACTTAACTCGGTATCTAGAATGTGTTCCCATTCTTTAATGGCTTTTGGCCTGCTGAACTTTGCTTGTATTCGGCTATCATAAATATTTTTTAAGTTTACGTTGTGAAAATGGGTATTATATATTTTGTAAAAATTAGTAAGGGAGTTCTATTACAATTAAAATTTGTATGTACCGCACTTTCAAACTCGCTCGCTTCCTGTACATACTGCAAGATACACTTTTCTATTCCTTTTAAGATAAATTGATGTTTTTCTAAATATTGATTATCGATCTTATTTATTTTATCAAAATATTCACTAACGTACCGAATATTATTGTTAAAAAGAAAGTTTAAAAATATAGTTTTATTATTAATCTTTATATTTGTATTATTCCAAATAATTTGATTTTCAGTGTGGGCAATGTTCTTTATATGCGTTGTGTAGATTGTATACCAGTTGGCATACAGGTTTTTATAAAAAGGAATTTTTAGATTTAACTTATCTGGAAAGTTGGAGGCAGGTAATAAATTTCCACCATATTCAGCCATAATGAATTCATATGGTATGAGCCATGTTTGGATTGGTGACTGATATATTTTTTTAATCCAAAAAATGCTATTACATATTAGGAATTCTTTTAAGTCAATCATTTTTAATCCGCAATTTTTATTTTTTTGTATAAGAATGTCTCGCTTTATTCTGTCAGGACCGTTCCATATAAATTTGTAAAAAATTGTGTTTAGTTGTTGAATAGTAGAATCCGGTACTGGATTAACAGTGGCCGGGTAAAGAATTCTTGGAATGCAGAATGTTTTAATTATTTGTATTTTTCCAATTAAAGATAATTTATGTTTATCCCATACTTTTAATATTTGTTCTATTTCATTTATTTTATTTCTAAAGTTTAATTCACTAGTAATTTGAGTATCTTTTGAAAAAAGGATCCCGAGGATTTTTATAAATTTTTCGCATAATACTATACCGGTTGATTTTAATTTTTGCATTAAATTCATATCACAGCTATTTAAATCTATTGCTTCTGTTTTATTAACGTTAATTATAAGCCCCGAAACTAAACCGAAAAGTCGCAAAACCTCAAGCAAATGTCGTGCAGAGCTAAAATCTTTTAATAATGCCGTTATATCATCAGCAAAGGCTACAACTTTTATGGATTTTTGACCAAATTTTATTTCATTTATATTTATATCGTCTCTAATAGCGCATAACAACAGTTCTATGATCAAATTAAAAAGATTGGATGACATTGGATCGCCTTGTCGTACACCCCGTTTTACATGAAAATAAGGGGTTGTAAATCCATTGTTTATTACACAACAGGTGATATTTTTGTAAAGGGTTTTTATCCATCTAATAAAGTTACGTCCGAAACCGTACGACGATAAAGCTTGTATTAAAAAGTTATGGTTTATGCTATCGAAGGCTTTTTGGAAATCTATAGCCAAAAGAAAGCCTATTATTCTTTTTTGTTTCGCAAGATCGAAACAGTCGGAGATAATACGGGTATTTTCATGAATGTGGCGACCTGGTATAAACGCGGATTGATTTGGGTGTATTAATTGGTTCAAAAATGGTTTTAATCTATTAGACAAAACTTTGCTTATCAGCTTCACATCGACATTAATAAGCGTAATGGGTCTCCAGTTAGTTAAGCATGTTCTATCTTTATTACCTTTAGGAATGAGTTTAATAACTGATTGACGTTGTGTTACAGATAAAGATTCTTCTTCAAAGCTACAGTTATACGAGTCTAATAATAATACATAAATATCTGGCCAAAAATGTCGATAAAATTCAATTGTGATACCATCATTTCCTGGAGATTTATTTATTTTAAACGAGTTTAAGGCCTTCTGAAGTTCGAAATAGTCAACTTTGAATTCAAATAAATCCTTCTGGTATTCAATTAGCCTTTCTACGGGTCTAAAATTTGTTATAATATTGTTTTCCTTTTTAAAAGACGTATCTTTCGACGCATATAAATTTTTATAAAATAGAAATATTTCATCCGAAATTTCAATGGGGTCAAATATAGCAGAATCGTCTGATTTTTTAAGCTTATTTATTGTCGTAGCACATTTTCTATCTTTTTCTAAGTTTAAAAATAATTTTGTGTTTTTTTCACCATTTTCATACCAGTTTTGTTTAGATCTAATAATTGCTCCTTGCGTCTCATCAATGTAAATGTTATCTAATGATTGTTTAACTTCAGTATATTGATCATAAAGTTTTTCGATAATTTTGTTGTCACAAGGTTCCTGTTTACTGATAAGGGATTCAATCTTGACCAGTTCTTCAATTAGACTATTTTTTACAGCTTTTTTAAGTTTTTGTTTCTTTTTGGAATATCCTATAGAAGATTCCTTTATCTTAAATTTAATGAAGTCCCATAAACCATTTTTATTTTGTTTGTCAAAATATTTACTTTTCCATATCGGTATTGATGATTTTATCATTTTAGTATATGTCTTGTCTTTTGTTAGCGAAGAGTTAAATATCCACAGATTTGGTCCGCGTGGATAATTGTTTATTTTGATATGTAAATGAATTGATGAGTGATCAGTAAAGGAAGTTGGCTTTATTGTACATGATTTTATACAATCTTGAAGTTTTTCCGATATCAGCCAAAAATCGATTCGACTTTGTATCAAAGGCTTCCTTTGTTTCCAAGTAAAACGCTTATTATTTTGATTTAGATTTCTGAATATATCTAAGAGGTTAAAATAATTAATTATATTGAATATGGCAGTTTGGCCTTTTCTTTTCAGTTTATAATTGCCGCCATATCTATCAAGTTGAACATTTAGGACATTATTAAAATCTCCGCCAATTACCATTGAGAACGTGTCAAGTTCACTACATAGCTGTTGTAAAGATTTAAGTAATCTTGTATAATAAATGTACTGGTCATTGTCAGATATAGGGCTATATGTATTGACTAAAACTAAGATATCATTATAGACACTTATTACTAAAATGTTAAAATAACCTTTTTCATCGGATTCGTTTTTAATAACATTTATGTTATTGTTACTTTTTAAAAAAATAGCTGTCCCTGCTGAGTTGGTTCTACTATGTGAAAACAATATGCGATCAGCCCATTCGTTCTGCCAATCGGTTTCATCGCATACACTGCTGTGAGTTTCTTGAAGAAAATTAATAGCACATGATTGTTCGTTTAACCAATTAAATATCTTTTTTCGTTTTAAAGCATTTCGAATTCCTCTTACATTGATGGACAGAAGTTTAATTGACGTCATTTAATAATATTTAAAAGTAAATAAACAAATTTAAAGCTATGGAGGAGATAATAGATCTGTGTGTATGGAAGCCCATTTTGAGAAAATAATTGTATATTATAATAATAATAATACAGTATTAACAATAAACAAAGCATAGTATTTACAATCATAATTACAAAACATGTTGAGACTGAAACAGACTTTTGCGAAGCTTCGCTATGTACAGAACGAGTCACAATTAGAAGAGAAACATATATACAGACACATGGTAGACAACAAGTTAAATAACTTGTGAGCAGAGTAATGCTCATGTATTACTCCTTTGGCAGAAAAGAGAAAAAAAAAAAAAAAAAAAAAAAAAAATGTTTAAGTCAAACAGCTGTGGATGTGTATACTGTGCTGGTTGAGCGTACAATTACTTTAAATAATAACAAGTGGTATTATACTGAGTAGCTTTACTGTATTCACTGCAGTGATAGACCTATTGAATGCAAATATCATATTATGATTTTCATACTTTCAGAGCTGTACCTGACAATTTACAGGTAGCTCAGTATATGTATATGGTTCAGTAGCTACGTAATATTGACATGATGTATTGTAATATCAAAATTATATATATCATATATCTAAGATAAGCCATCGCTATGTATAATACACCGTAGCTATTGGAATATTTATAGACTGACGTGCTAAGTAGTTTTATAGTTATATATTAACAGCATTTATCAAATTCAATTACCAGACATATTTTATGCAAATTATATTTTAATTGAAGTGTCGCCGCTTCGTTTGTATGAGAAACATGACACTGGAATATACTCTACACACCTTAATACCAAATTTCATAAGAATAACAATGTGATAGTTATATTATTAAATGCATCGTGTTGTAACAAAATATCAGGAAGGTAAGATAAAAGTAGTTTCCATTTATCATTATGCGATAATTTCTTATCGAATAGATGTAGGAGTTAGATACATTACTAGGTACCAGTATTCACTGGACAAGACAATGAGTATATGATTTTCATATTGAGAAAGATTTTATCGTGCTGGAAATCTAATGAAGATTTTACTTTTCAGATTTATGAAATGTCTAAATAAATTTATAAGTTTACAGCATCTGATACCATTTGATATCTATTTGAGTTTTGGTTTACATTGCCGACTGTGTCACTTAATATCGCCCCTTTAGGTGTAGATGTTAAACCCATATCCATCAGGGACGGTTGTCTCATATGATGCGTGCTAATATCCGGTAGATAATAAGTGTTATTAGGGTGTTCACGAGTTGCAGACGACGCTTCTGGGCGACCTTGACCTTCTCGCTGATCTGCGTGTAGATGTCGTCTGGGGTTTACATTGTTTCTAAATGATAGCAAATCATCTTCACGTGTAATGAGATGTTTGCGGCCGTCAAAATTACTAACAAATATCTTCCCGTCGTAGGTCCAACAGTTTTTGATAACTTTATCTTTAAATAGATCACGTGTTGATTTGTATAATGCTGAGCGGGTTTTAGTTAGCGCCTCATTTATGTAAACCTTAGTTTTGTTCTGAATATTGTACTCCTTGAGATTTTTTTTATTTGCATATACTGAAGCCCTATCACGATAGCTAATAAAGCGTACTATGATATCTCTGTGAAACTTGCCATGTTTATCTCCAACTCTGTGGGTACGCCCAATATGTGACTTGTCAAGCTTGGTAGCACCATCTGGTAAAACATGATCGTTTATTAAAGACAAAACAATATCATCAGTGCTTTCGTCAACTAACTCGCTGATGCCACTTATCTTCAGACACGTACGTCGGGAATATTGCTCTAGATCATCAATTCTTGATTCCAGATTTTCAACTTTTTCATTAAATTCGGTTAATATTTGAGGTTTAATTGAGTTCATTATGTGGTTAACAAACACGTCACGTTTTAGCAACTCAGCCAAGAAGGATTTTATTGAGTTATCATCCTGGAGCATAGTGTCTAAAAATTCGTTTATACTGGTTGATATGTCCTGGTGACTCCGTTTTGTCTTTTTAGCTTTGTGATTCGCCATTTTAGATATATTTATGTAACAAGAAAAACACTTTACTAACCAGTGAAGACTGACTGTAATATCAGAAATGATTTACTATGAGTACTGTTTATGTGACACAGAAACAAATCTTCATCAATTTCCACATATAGTCGGAATATTACAATGTTAATCTCGTAAAATCCATCATAAATGTCGAGAAGAAATAATTCACACACATCTAGGAATATTGATAAGACTGACTGTGACCAATCACTCACCCACACTTGACACTTAGAAAGTACTACTCAGGTGAACAGATTTAGAGAGCAGCTTAAATTGACACAAAAAAAACTCACGTTTTAACAATATCGCATAATTGTAATTTGATAATTTACATCAGAAATGGCACAGTATAACATATCCAGAAATATCACAACTTTTTAAGGCTCTATGCATGAGAGTATCACTAAGAAATACATTTTTCTTCTCTGCCAGTGGAGTGTGTCAACTTTAAGCCGCCATGTCTACATTACTGGTAACAACAGGTTTTTTTCCATTTTAAATATTTTTTATCAAAATTTACCTTTGCCGCTACTGTGATTATTCATGAAACACAAAGATACAAAAATTCAAACTAAAGTCACTGAAAACCATTTATCTATGTACCAGTAGGTAGAATTTAAACTCCCAGTTTACCAACCAAAACTGACTAATGACCATCACACACAAAATTCAGCCAGGGTAAGCACTATCTAGTATTATTTGTTGTCTCTCATCATATAGATCAACAGTCATTAATAATTACTGTAAGCAACCAATCAACCTAAGATACCATGTATATGTATATCCCCCGCTTTTGTTTACAAGAATTTCAACAGCAAGGTTTTGATAATGATCTACAATGTATATAATATGGTTGCAGTCCCAAAGATACTTTCACAGTAATAGAGATCTTTAATGGTACCATCTGTAACAGCTTACACTATACCCTTATTTTTATAATAAAATCTTATCTTAGGGTAGGTCAGCTTAGTCTCAGCAGAGCTGAGGTACAAATACTCATGATGAGGGAGCTTCTTTTAGCTCAAAATAAAGTTTTTTACTGACTTTTATGTATGTATTTAGTGAATTATAATGAATCTGACATTTATATAAAAGAGAAAGTTTGTTTCTTTGTTTGCTACAGAAATGAAAATGAAATAAAATGGGGTTTAACGTCCCACTGTTCTGCTCCAACTGGGGTAATCTCATGAGAGATTCCCACAACACCAGCAATATGATGAGTCGTCAATCGGAATCAGCCATAACCATGTCATGCAACCGGGTAACGTTTTCTTGAATGGTTGTTGTTGATGATCATTAATGTCAAGGCTCTCTCTGCCACGCTTAAATTCCACATCCCATTATTTTACTGTGGAAGAGGAGGGGACATCATCCCCTAAAGTGGACACTACATGTATATCAGCATGCATGTGCCTGTGTGGGGGGTAAGGGGTTAGTCGTTTCAGTTGCAGGTACTTGATGACTGCCCTATTGCCAGTTTTGTCTATTTCTGTTGATTTCAATGGGTAGGTTCACAAGATGGTCTGGTATAAAGACAATAATAACACTACAGTTGCAGTTCTTATGTCTATAATTCATTCAATGATTGTATACTTGTTGGTGACAGCTAGAAGTTTGTTTCAGCCCAATTGATCTATCATTTTCAGGCTTAGAACTTTTCAGCCAGCCTTCGTATCTTATCTATATTAATGACTTTTAATATGAAACTTGTGTCTAATATATGTGTGTATAAATTATAATTACTATTGATTCGATATGTACCAAACATTTTGTTTACCGTACATGAATTGTATTCAGCTTAAAATGTGCCTTGAGATACAAGAAAATCATATCCTACAGAAGTAAAATATAATACAGACAACATTATAGATGTCATTCACAAAGTTTATTAACTGCAACAAGGCAATAAGGACATTGAACACGTATAAAAGGTAGGCTATGACTAACGGTTTTAACAGGTTATCATGGTTTCTTTGATTGGCTTTTTGTTTTTGTTGATACGGTTACTGTTACTCAAATACTCATATTGGAACAGTACAGTAAATAAACTTTATAGTGAATCAAAGTGAATGATATGATAATGATGGATCCACAAATTTGTCTATATTTTAAATTGATTTCAATTTCACTAAGAAGTGAAATATTTTGATAAAATATTGTTTATTTTCATTACTACCATGTTGCATTACTTACGTAGATGGAGTTTACTGATAAGAAAGAATTAATCCGAATATAGACTGTATAGAATGTATTGATTGAAAATTCTAAAGACAAAGTCAAAGTGAAAGTAGAATTCTAAGAAACAAAAATTTTCCATTTTTATGTTGATTCTAATTTGATAAAACATTAAATACTTGAAAAATTGGGTTCTCTGAACCATGTCCCAAACTAAATATAGTTGAACGACTTATTGTATGAACTAAGTTAATTTGTTCACTAAAAAAAAAAAACTTTCAAAGTTACGGCTAACACTAACAACGCTTTTTTTTCTTACCTGACTATGCCAGGCCCACTTCAAAGTTTCAATTTGACCAGTTAAACTTGCCAATCTAATTTGACAATTAAAAAGTACATGAAGCAGTCATTACCACACTTAATATACTTACCATGCCTACGGGTTAATTATTCGATATTGTTTTATGTACATTTAGGTCAAAAGCCAGCTAAGCATTAAAAAGAGAAGTTCTAATTTTGGGAATTACCCACAGCGACTGATTAGGGCGCCACTTCGTGGATTATCTCCCCGTAGTATTAATCATCGGGATGCAGACCACTAAATATTCCCTTGACTTGAATGAAATGAAATAAAAGTGGTTTTAATGTTTTACTTTTTTGCATTGACTTTAATGGTGGTATCTCACACACAAAATTAGCACAAAATCCTATGTAGTCGACATTTTTATTTTTGACCCAAATCAAAGAGGTCTACTGTTAGTTATTTCGATAGTAAGTGCGCAGGAGAACCACACTACAAACTACACAGTCATTGCAAGAATTAAACAACAAATATCAAATCAAGTGAATGGATACAGGAGACAGCAATTAGTGTCCACATGATGAAAAATTCTGAACTTATCAAATTGTATAGACATGAAGATATCCACCCAAATTTTTTTTCTTAAGACACATTCCCAGGAAATTAATTATCGAGTAATTATTTCCAATAAAAGTATGGCAATTTTGACTGAAAAACACCCATGGGGCATGTGCAAAACAAAAATGTGAGGGCATCCCTAAAAGGCTACCTGTCTCCTTGAGTGATCTAATGGCTAATGGTTGTGATGAGAACATTGAGAGAATTAAATGCCAAGTAAACTCTGTGATAATCCAGGAATTTACTTATGCTTCAATATTAATTGTAAATTGACAGCGTCTAATGACAAATACAAGCTAAAAATGCATAAAAGAAAACAATAACAAATTTATTCGAAATTCAAAAAATATATAACTTTATTTTCCACACCCATAAGCCGGTTACACATGTAAAAAAAACTAAAATGAAAAGTAATTTAATGTACTGTTAATTAAATAGTACAAAATTGTCAATGTACCAAAAAACCTAGAATTTCTTTTTTAAATTCAAGACAATTGATCAACAATTAAATGTGTAAATATCAGTATATGAAAAAGCTCAATTGTTTAGTACAAATATGTCATGGAAATAAAATTAAAAGAGTAAAAAAAGTTACAAGATTTCACCAAATGTTGCCATTAACATTACTAACAGCTTTAAAACTTGTTGTCTATATTTGACATATAAAACATGTGTAAATATTTTTTATACCAAAAAAAACAAAACCAGAAACAAAGCACTTTTTCTCTCACTGTTTATATAAGTCATCAATCAACATAAAATTACTAAAAATAGACATAAATTTGGAGTATTATATTCAATGGCATTATTCAAGGCGACCTGGGGTCATCTTTACTGTGTCAAAAGCTTGTGACTAAGCCCAACATTACAATCAAGGCTCATTACAAATCAACAACACTGACCTGACCATAATGATCTTCAAATAATTCTTTATATTAATTTACATTTTTGATGCACCAAATCAAGGATATTTACATAATTTATATAATTTCAAGTAATGTATTTAAGATACTCATAAATTTTGACGGTGAAAAAAAGCTTACAAAAAGGTAAAATTACAACATTATACAGTAAAATAATATTTAAATTTTATACATAAACGTAACAAACTGTCCATGCTATAACAATGATATCTGTAACAATTATTTTAATTAATAAATTCTCTCTCCTGGAATACAAATATATATAACTTTCAACTTTATAACAAGAGACATTCTCCATCAGTTAAGATATAATTTCTTCCAAAAGAATCTTAACCATACTCACACAACAAATCAATTGTAAGAAAACTGATTACCAGCACTACAAATAATGAATTACTTTGTGTATAAAACAAGAACATTTTTTGTCTAATTATGCACTTTAAATTTCTGAATATCAAAATTTTTATTATAACAATCAATTTAATTAATGTTTCTAATCAGATTCAATAATAACAATATAATCAAAGAATTATGCAAATTAAATTTCTGAATATCTAATTAAATTTATTTAATGTTTCAAATTCACAACAAGTTTTTCGATGTTTAACGAATAAAACAGTCTGTATTATTCTAATTGTGATACATATATGTAAATCAACCATTTGAAAGACTTCCTGTCTTTGCTAAATGTTATTTTCTTGATGAGTTTTTATTATTATCATGCAGTGGCCAATTTCAAGGTAAATTATTCTGAGACAATTAATCAGACATATATTTTTAAATTTAATCTCTTTGCTGTTAATATATTATTTCTATAATAACATCATTATATAATATACAATCAAATACAGTATAATTAAAATCAATTACAAACTCTGTAATTTCGTTTTATTTAATCAATATACATGTATACAAATATTTTGCTATAAATACATTTGTATAAAATAACCAAAACAATTAGGTTGCTTGATATGAATTCCAAAGATATAGGTTGCTTGATATGAATTCCAAAGATAGTTGCCAGGCAACGAAATATATGCCCACAGCAGCTAAATCGTCCGAGCAGTCAACAAGAGTTGTCACATATTTTTACTTTTGTCGGTAATGAAACATTTATAATACACTAAAATCTGATTTTAGAGTAACAACTCATTAAGTAATTATCAGAAAATCATTAGAATTTGTTTGGCCCATGCTAACGTTGAGTATACAAAACATTTAATATCATGGATTTAGCTGTTCCAATTATCAAAAACCATTGAAAATCAATATACTTATTCGTTTCAAGACCTTAAACTCTGTGTATCAAGCCAAGGTCAATCTAAACAATTATATATAGGCGTAAACACAGTGTATAAATATAAAATCAATCAGATGATAACTATGGTCATAAAGCATCCCCAAGATTTTTCAAAGTGATCAAGGGCCATAACTCTGGCAGTAATAATTGGAAATTGTTGAAAATCAATAGGCTTCTTTGTCTCATGTCTATATATTTAAAGTCAATCGGATATTAACTTTAGCCTCTAGAGCATACACAAGATTTTTTAAAGTGATGAAGGGCCATAACTCAGGCAGTAATTATCGGTAATCGTTGCAAATCAATAGGCTTCTTCGTCTCATGACCTTAAACACTGTATAAATTTAAAGTCAATCGGATATTCACTTTAGCCTCGAGCTTCCACAAGCAATTGTGGACGCCGGACCAACCGACGGCTGAACAGCCAGACCGACAATCGGACTAACAGACGGGGGCAACGACAATATACAAACACATTTCAATATGGGCGTATAAAAATTGTAACTCTCTTTTATAAAAGAATTGAGATTAGCAACCAAAAAATCTCTTATTCTTAGTAATATCATCTACTTAAATGATAGTACTAGAACAGGATAATCAAATTCTAAAATTTTGTGGATCCTTTCTTCTATCTCTGATAAAAATTTTGCTTATTTTAGTATTTTGATAATGTGCCTTAAAATTTGATCCTGTTATTCTTTTGTTTTTTGATTGATTGTGTATGTATCAAATATAGCTTGTATTTTAGATATGTATTTCTTGTGACTTAAAGCCATTTATTGTTCAATTATTACTTTTCTATCTTTTGTTTGCGTAATTTCTTCAGCAGCAATACAGGTAAAATGAGTAAAATTCCTCCACTAACATAACAAACTTTTGCTCCTAAGCTCCAGTATACTGTAAAATATAAATACACATTTAAACCTTTAATAAGTATGTGTTTTTTGTGTATTGCTTTAATACTTCGTTAAAGCTGATAATAGTCATTTGCATTTTTTAGATAATATCTAAATTTTCATTGCTTGATCGATTACAAATAGACCAAAGATTTTACTCAACACTTACAGGTGGCATTGACTAGTTTATTTCGCTTACACATGATGTCAGACGTTGCACAAAATCTATAATTCATATATTTGTAAATACTGAACAGCATTTAACCACTTGGACCGATATTACTTTTAGAGATCCAACTTTCACAACACGTAGTTTGTAAGGGTTTCAAAATCCCTTAAATGACAATTAGCAGCTTTATCCTTCCTTTTATATAAATTAGTGCCATATTTATTATCTTGTCTTTTAAAACAAACGACACTTTGGATTCCTCAGTAGTTTCCGTTACAACACCCCCCACCCCCTTATCTTAGGTGTCATACACAGTCATTACACTTCATTACACTTGGTATTAAAGACTTCAATAAGTAAAATAGTCCCTTGGCTTTCTTACAGTCAATATTTGATAATCTCGGCTACAATATGACGGAATGTGTGAATTACCATTGTAGATGACCATGTGATTAATTGATAGCCTAGATTTGCACATGAATAATAAAATGGTGAACGGATGATTGATAGCCAGGACTTACACATGGATAATAAAATGGTGAACGGATGATTGATAGCCAGGACTTACACATGGATAATAAAATGGTGAACGGATGATTGATAGCCAGACTTACACATGGATAATAAAATGGTGAACGGATGATTGGTAGCCTAGACTTGCACATGGATAATAAAATGGTGAACGGATGATTGGTAGCCTAGACTTGCACATGGATAATAAAATGGTGAACGGACGATTTCGGTAATTAGCTTGCTATTACTATCACCTATTTGTAACAAGGATACAAACAAAATGTTAAAATTGAATTTTGCTGGTCATATTTTTTTAGAGAGAATGAATTAAGAGCAATATATATTATACCTATTGAAGCAGCAACTGGACCTACAGCTCTAGCTAGAGCACCTAGAGATCTAAACGTTCCCATTATAACACCTTTCTGTTCGTTTCCACCATTAATAGATATCATAGTTGTTAAACATGGTACTACTGTTCCTGATGCTGAAATCATAAATAACATAACTCAAATTATATTAGACAAACAAAACATTTTCCTTTATTTTATCTCATATTCAATATTTTAACTTCTAAAATATACAGTACACACAACTTAATTATATTTCTATTTTGTTTTGTCTTTACAGTTTTAATTTTCTACACTATATACAACATATATTTGACTCATGAGTTTGTAAATATATCACTGAACAGTATCCTGAAAAGCAGAGATTTCACTGGCTGTTTACAGTACACAAGTAAAAACATAATACCATGATAACAATTGTCAGTGTAAGTAAAATAAGGAATGTAGAACGAAAGAAAAAAAAAAAAATTTGATTTTAATGATACCGACTGTGCGTGGAAAGCTGTAAATAATGCAACAAATATTTATATATTAGTGCAAATAAAAGGAAATGAAATGGGGTTTAACGACCTACTGCTCTGCTCCGAACTGGACTAATGAAGACGAGCATAGGCCATACCGTGTGCTATGATGGAAATTTTGCATGGATAGCGGCCTACTCTTATATCAAATTCCAACTGTCAAGGGATCTTTTACGTGCACACCAATGTGTACACAGGACCTCGATTTCCGTACCATAGGAACGACTAGATAGCTGTCCTTGACAGCCCCTCCGTCCCAAGTAAAAGGTCTTAACCAGAAAGAAAACAATTATTGCTATTGACTGTTTTGTTTCAAGTCTGCTTCCACGGGATTGTGACATAGAAGTCCTTCGTAAAACCATAACCTTCAAAATACTTGTATAAACTTACCAAAAGAGAAGAGAACAAGGCCGATATACATTAGTGTTGTAGAAAAGGCAAAGGCCATTATTATAAAGGCTGGTATTAATATAATCATTCCTTGAATAGCAACTTTCTGTTGTTTTTCTTGTGTAACTCTTCGTACATAACCGCCTGGAGAAAAATAATGCCAATATTTATATTTTGCAGAATGTGGATTGTATAAATAAAGAAATGAAATGGGGTTTAGCACCGTACTTTTTCACACCAACAAGGCTAATGAAGCCAAGCTTACGTCGCATATTGTGTGTTCTGAGGGAGTAGAGGTTTTTCCTTGCGAGACCCCGGCCTGCACCGTAACTCTTGTGACCAACACTGGGATTGAACCTAGGATGTTCTAATTACCATACTTAGCCGACACCAAATTCACTGAGCGAGATAAAATTGAAGAAATTCAGCAAATTAAAGATTTTATCTGACATGTATGGTTATAATATAGTAACAAATAATAGCTAAAATATGCTACGATTTATTACTCTGCAGACCTACTGTTAGAAATAAGTATCGGTGCACATTTTATAATTATTAATCTCTCTTTAAAAATATTTAAATTAACATATTCCGCACCTTGAACAAGGGCCATAACTGCACCCATAAAGAAAAACATTTTTCCTTGTTGAATACTGAAATAGAAGATATATAAAATTAAGGCTTAAATTAGCTCTATTTCTACCACATGTGCATATAAATTACTGTTAAAGGAATCAGAAATTGAAGGCATACAGATATTAATCAGAACTTCATCAAAGGTTTCTCACTTATTAATATTTTTTTAATATAATTCCAATAAAATTAGAAGTAGTGGATTTCTCTTGTCAATATGACCAGCAAAAATCTTAGAATCCTAATATATTAATAGTTTATGATACCTACCTGTCATACTGGAATCTATTGTGACAGAGAAAAGGTAAGGTGAATTCCAACCCAGAATATAAAAACATGTAAATAAAATATAAACTTCCAATTCTCTGTATATTTTTAGAATCTGAAATATGAAACAGATGATTCAAAATCTAGATAAAAACTCTGAATGGCAAAGAAACAATATGCTTGACTTGATCTCTCTTTAATGACTAGCCTATTTAGCAAGTTGCTTCGGAAATACTTGCTTGTGTTCAGTAATATCACTCTTGGTTAAAGAGGTAATTTACTATTAACGCTTCTGATTGTCATTTGGGGGATTTTGAAACACTTCTGAATTACAATATCGTGAATTAACATACATTTTCAATTTACATATATTTTAGTGTTTATTAAAGATACTTTCCCACAAAAGTATTTATCGGGTGGTTATTTCCAATAACAGTACTGTATTTTTCGATGTATTAGGAGTATGCAGTTGATAAGGCGCAGGGCAACTTTGGCAGAGGTGTTTCAGGAAAAAAATAAAAATGCATGGTTTAGGCACCTAATCTTACTAGAAAAATACTACATTCCCTGAAAAACACCCATGGAGCGCATACAGAACAAAAATGTAAGGGTTTCCCTAACTGGCAACCCGACGATTAGTGATGTCTGCTCAAGTGACATCAAAGGTTTCACGCGAAGATTGTCTGATCTCTCAGCATTAGTGAGCGCTTGATGTACGTGCATGTTGATAAACTTGATGATGAGCTTAAACGTACAACAGTTCCTGAGATAAAAACCACAGAAAAAGACGTGGGCAGTGGATAATCTGAGAATTTAATTAGGCTTTGATTTTATGATAAATGGACAGCAATTAAAGACAGCATTGTGTTGTATATGTAATGAATTCTCCTCAGGCTTCGCACCCGTTGCTAGGATCCGCAACAAACATGACCTCTTTTAATATATATTTTTATAGCAGGGGTATTCTCTTGCGAATACAATGTTTTGAAAAGGATTTGAAGCAAAATTTTGATAGATTAATTAGTTTGAATATATTTTCAGTCCAAATGTATCATCAAATCACCCAGTTTGTACGCGGGAATGTATCTTTAAGATATGAAAAATAAAAATTGTCCGAAAAGTACAAATGACGATAAGCAGCATTAAACACTATCTAAAATCAAACAACTTTTATGATGCTTCTGAAACATAAATCACATAACATACCTGTCGATGAAATATTTTTTACTGTTGAAAATCTGAATAATTTGAAAGGGTTAACATAATCTGATGCACTACTTAAACTTGTTTTTTTATTCTGAAATAAATAAAATAAAGTAGATATAAAATAAAAAACAATAACCCTCCTAATTCTAAGTATATCAAATATAAGGCCATATTAGTACATGTAGCTCAAGCTTTCATACAACTTGTGTGAAATATTCACAAAGACACCAGATACAACAGAAAATTAAGAAAACTCTTTAGAAACAGCAAACTTCAAGAACAGAATACAGAAATAAATGGTCAAAAAGTATCAATACAATCTAAAATCTAATGAACCATTGTCAATCAAACAGCATGTTTAAAAATCATGTAAGATATATTAAATTGAAAATAATTTCATGTTTGATGTATACACTTCAAAATGCTATAGAGAGAGAGAAATGGGGTTTAACGTCCACTCGACACATCAAAATGCTATAAGATTTTGACTTTTTTAAGACCAATTTTGTCTCAAAAATAAAAAATTTCAGTGCTCAAAATGTAGCAATTTTAAGAAGCTTTCAGTTCTGATCCAATTTCTTAGTTTCTTTTAAAAATTATATATGTAAATATGTTTAATTGAGTATAATTCACTGATTTTGTAGTGGAAACTTCACGTACAGAATTTCAGTCTGTTCTTTTGAAGAGTATACAATATTTGGTTTCATACTTTTAAATCAAATTTATCTGATAATAGTGCTATTCTGTGATTTTATTCACTTAAATATTTAATTTATGGTTTCATTTTCATTTTTATAAGGGCTGCACCCATCTTGGATTTTAGGTGCCATTTTGAATAAATCAAGATTAACTAATAGGATTATTATTATATTTCATTGTTCTACCAGTCATTTATGATCTTTTGAAACTTTGGTTATTTCATCGTTTGCAAAATGTTCAGTAGATTTTTGTGAAATGAACTTTCAAAACAAGTTCTGCTTAAATTAGTCATGAATTCCTAGTATTTTCCTCTACTATAACAAATAACAACATGGCTGGAAAGTTTTAATCTTAGAATAATCTTGACATCCAAACCCAAGGAATTCTTAGAGTCAAAGATCTCATTTTCATGACAAATATGAGCATACACAAAAAATACTACTTACTCGTTTAGATTCTGGTAAAGTTTCTTCTAAAAATAAATAAACAAATAAAATATCTCCAATTGCAAGAGTGAGTGCAAATAATGCTGGAAGTAAAAAGATAGATCCTCCACTGGATTTACCATATATAGAAAAAATAGCACCAATGGTTGGTCCAAACACAAAACCTACTGAAAATGCCACTCCTATCCATGCCTGAAAATAAATAGAAGATTGAATTAATTATTAATGTACATATCATGCATCTTGTAATTTTGTTAGAATACTGGAAGGAAAAGATATCGGAACAACAACTAAGGCAAAAGGTACTGCTACCTTGAGGAATGCTAAAGTAGTTGAAACATTAATTTATAGTTTATGTAGCATTTCCAAGAGAGTGAGAAATGGAGTTTGATGTCCACCTGACATAAGCCAGGTAATTTCGGGACATAATAAGGTACAATTTTATTTCAATAAATTGGTTGTGCGTAGAGGTCTTTGTCAGTGGGAGGAAACCAGAGGATCCGGAGAAAACCCATGAAGTTGGGCAATCGACCCTACCCCTTTGAGTACTTTATTCGACTCATTGACAGACATTATGATCTAAAGTACATGCATTAGAACACTTGACCACTGCCACAATTGATCATAACAGCCAAAACATTTGTATAATGGCCAAAATATTTTATTGGTAACGGTTTAATTAACAAAACATTTAAAAAACATAAGAATAAAACAATTTTAAAATATGTTTGGCCGTTATGACAAAATTTTGGCCGTTATGACCAAATATGTTTTGGCGGTTATGTCCATAACCCGTTCTACCAGTCTGTCCAGCCTTTCCTACTCTTTTAAGAGAGTGTTGCTATTCCTCTTCTCATATCTAATTTCATATGACATAAGTTTCTTGTTCCTACCATTCCTTTTCCACGTTTTTCAGGAGTTGAGACATCAGTAACAATGGCCGTACTTAAACTGACGTTTCCTTTACTAATTCCACCAATAATACGAGCTAGTACAAATAACGTAAAATTAGATGATATTGCCCATAATGCATAGGATGCTGCCACTCCCACCTAAAATAAAAGGAGAGACATGAAGCATGGAGTTTATTGTTCATATAATACGGCATGGAGTTTATTGTTCACATAATACAGACTAACATACAGTATTCATTAATAATAGTTAGTACGCACTTAAATCACTAAGAAAAACTATGAAGTTGGGAAGTCAACTGTTTTCATTGACACTATACAACAATGGGATCAAAACTACAACACTTGCATTGAGGACATAATTATGACATAAAATATTAATTAGATCCCTTGACTCCCCACATCCCAGTTGTCAAGAAACACCCACACAAAAAAAGAAAGAACATTATTATTTGCTGGTACTGTCCCTGCACATTGGATTAAGAATCACAATGCATTTTGGTTCACCATATATAATTTCCAGTTGCTTCATTTGCATTTTTTGGACAATATTAAATTTTTCCCGGCTTCATCCATGCTAAAAGGTACTCAAATTCATTCTTTAATCCTACGTAATAGAAATTCCTATGTCTTACCATACTCAATAACATCAATGGTTTTCTACCATAAATATCACTAGCAGCACCAATAACAGGAGCACTCAAAAAATTCAAATATGAAAACAAGGAACCAATTAATCCTGAAAAAAAACAAGAACACTGTAATTGTTTCACTGTTTTTTATGATTATTCATCAAAGTTAGTGTCTGCTCCCTTCATTCGACCTCCTTGCTATAGGTGCCTAAGCAGAATTGACACTGTCAAATTTTAGCACACAGTTGTTCGGATGGGATAAAAAATCTGAGGTCCTGTGCACAAGTCGGCTTGTACGTAAAAGAAGCCTTGACAGTTGGAATTTAAAATAAGAATAAGCCGTAGCATTGCTGTCTGGACAAAATTTCCCTCATAGTACTCTGTAAGGCATATGTCCATCTCCATTACCTCAGTTGGAGCAGAAAAGTAGGACGTTAAACCCCCTTTCATTTTATTTACAATTTTAGCAGAGACTATAAGTTTGGTATAATCATCAACACGTTAAGTTTATACCAGATTTGTATGTAAAATAAAACCTAAAGATATTTTTACAAAGACTCACCACCAAACAGGACAGAATTCCATCTTGGAGTGTCCGGTGCACCAACTAATTCTCTAAAGTTACTGACTGATGTTTTTAAATATGTATATAATCCCACCTAAAAATAAATTGATAGAAAAATTTTTGAACTGTGTATAAAGGGAGGGAGAGACAAATGGAGTTTAAGGTCAACATGAAACAAATAAGGTCATTGTTCAATCATAAAGTAATAAACATAGAAATTTGGAATCCAAAATTATAAGAAGTTCTGATATTATGCTTACTATAGTTTAACAATGCATAGAAGAGGAATAAATATAGCTCAGTAAAGTGATATCCACAGCTACATGTGCAAGCATGAGTATACAAGATAAAACAAACAAGAAGGTATTAAATATCTACAATTTCATCAATACTTATATTTTCTCTATATCATTATAAAAAGAAAGTTTCTAAGTAACATATGTTTAACACAAATAAGGTTACTTTGTAAGATTTAAATAAAATATTAAGATCCAGTGAAATGTCTTTAAATTTGTTTTTGTGTGTTTTAACTTCTATACTCATGCTTGTACATTATTATTATTAATATGCAGGTTACCAGTAACTAGATTTTGGAACTTGTGGACAATTTAGTTTTATTTTCTCAATGAAGTGCGTGACAAAACTTTCATAAGTTCAGCAAAAATCACTTTTGTACAGATGGGCATACAAATGGTTCAAGGTCAACCAGAGTTAAAAACTTCTATGACAGACATGTCATACACAGAGTACATTTCAATTACTGCACCCGGTTGACAGAAATTAGTTATATGAAGTAAACCCTAATTGACATCACATATCACAACACTGTTCATTAAACTAAATAGACCTACATTATTTCCATAAGTTACAGTTTTCAGTTACAACTGAACATTGACACTTGTTTTATTTTAAAATACTCTATAAATTTGACAGATTTCTCAGACAAAACAAATCACATTGCACTGAAACAATCCCTCACATCGAAACTAGTCCCAATACATTTTAATCTCGAAGGACATGTTAGTAGATAATGATGACAAAGACTGATCCTGATAGTAACAAAAATAATGCCATAGTGATTTAATATATGTACTTACTATATAATTACTACTACGATAATCTAATATGTTCTTACTACTTACTGTATCATTATCTATTAATCTAATATGTACTTACTTTATCATTACTACCCTACTAATTCTAATAATATACTTACTTTATCATTACTACTATAGTAATGTAATATGTACTTACTTTATCATTAATACCATAGTAATCTAATATGTACTTACTTACTTACTACCATAGTAATCTAGTATGATATTTGTATTTACTTTATCATAACTACCATAGTAATCTAATATGTACTTACTTTATCATAACTACCATAATAATCTACTATGTACTTACTTTATCATTACTACCATAGTAATCTAATATGGATGGCAGTAATGGTAGAATCACTGTGAATGCCAACAGATCTAAAACAAGGGAGATGAACACAATAAAGAAAACACGATTCATTTTTTTCAAATCCTTTTCATTGCCTTTGCTTTTCTTCGAAACATCTTCATACCGGCTCTGTGTATTCTTAGTGCTAGCAGACGCCATTGTCGAAGTTCAATGTCACGTCCAAATAATCTGAAATAAAAAACAAATAATGTATAATTCATATAATGTTTCAAGCAGCAGAAAAAACCCAGTTCTGTTTTGTATATATCCATTGACCAAATGGAGCATAGTTGTTTCATTTACTTTTCATAAAGTTAAAATGATGACATAAACAATAAAATGTACTGACTTTCAGGAGATATTTATGTGAGAAAATCAATATTATGAATACTGTTAGTCAAACAAATATGGCACTTCTTTCAATCATTATCAAAACATGTCAGAAAAAAATAAATAAAAAAAATAACATGTCACATCAACTGTTAAAGGAGATTACAGATAGCTGAACATTTGTTTATGAGGTCTGTTACATTGTCAATATTGCATAGCTAAATGTTGGTTACATGTCATAAAATAACTATTTGTTGTCAATCAAAGACAGATAATGCGGTCTTTCAAATAAAACCAGTGACTGCCAGGCAAGATACGCCCACATTTTGCAAGAGATGGATAGAGAACAAGCTAAACAAAAAGCGATTATTCATACAATCAAGGGCCATAATTCAATAAGTTACGATCTGATATGCACGAATATCGACAGGAACCAAGATCTTTGGGTTGTAAAGATATATTTTAAGTTTCATCAAAATCTGATCAACCTTGAAATACCATATATTTACACAATTTGCGTACAAGGGGCGACTATTTTGGTCCCATTTTCAGGAAATTTGAAGTCAGCAATCATTAGGGTGTAATGGTGAAATAGTAGAACGTTTTTTTAAATTGGATAATAATTGTGACCTCTAGAGGGACCACAAGCTAAATATGTGATTTTTCGTACAATCAGGAGCCATAATTCATGACGATACAATCCGACATGCGCAAATATCAAAAGGAACCAACATCTTCGAGTTATAAACATGCAATTCAAGTCTCATAAAATTCAGAAGAAAATCGTGACCTCTACAGTGTCCACAAGCTAAAAACGTAATTTTTCGTACCATCATGGAGCATAATCCATGAAGTTATGGACCGATATATGCCAATATCAAAAGGAACCAAGATCTGTGGGAGATGGACTTATATTTTAAGTTTCGTCGAAATCGGATAAAAATTGTGACCTGTAGAGTGACAACAAACAAATTGTGGACGTCCAGACGTAACAGGGGCAACGCCAATATACATCCACATGAAAATGTGGGTGTATAAAAAAGATTGGTTGCAAGGCATCAATAGATACAACAGCAGCTAAGTTGTCTGTCAGTCTACAAAAGTAGTTGCATTGTTAATCTTTAGGTGAATAGAAAGCAAAACCTTTATAGTGTATAATATCATCTGCACTTTGATTGTATGATTTAATCAAAAGTGATAATCAATAGAAGTTTTCATATCGCAAGGTTGTAAATACTGAAACAAGGGCGAAAAGTTCAGAAGTCTTTTACGAAAAATGTTGGATTTCAATAGGTGTCTTCATTTCAATAATTTCATTAAAGCATAAAAATTTGAAATGAATCGAATGACAACTTTTGTTCTTCGAGTGTTCACAAGATTTTACTAAGTTACACAAAACTGTTGAAATCCAAGACTTTTGCATCTTACTCATTTGAAAAATGCATATAAATGTCATTAAAAAAATGCTCTTGTTGCTTCTTTTCAGTGATTAGTAGGACTGTCAACTAACAAAACCCCCAAAATTAGTTTATGTGAGCACAGCGGTTTAATCGACCATTCAGTCATAAAATGTAGATCTTCCTCTTTCTATGAACACTGCATCCACGTTTTAAATCTCCAGTATTTAATTTACTTCCCCTAAACTTAAAGAGAATTGAAAGAGGCTTAATCTGCATAACTTTCTGCTTACTTACAGTTAATTTAATGGTCTTATTTGTTTATTTGAAGTTGTGTGGCCTAAGGCTATGATCGCATGATTTAACTCATTGTAATTCACGGATGTTGAGATATTTATATCCATTTCATTGTTTTGTACTAAGGATAACAATCAACTACCTTCTCATTTAAAAATCTTTCATCAATACAATTTGGTAGACATTTAATTAAACAAGAATACTGTTGTGTAAATAGTGCAAATACAATGCGATGCCATGAAAACATACCAGTTTTATAAATGGATAATTGTAAATCTGGTTTAAAAGACACATTTTGATCTTGCAGTTTTAAAGAACAACATCAGATCCCGACGACAAAATGAGAGGATGATGTTTTAACAATCACTTATACGAACCACAGATCAATTCTCTCAAACATAAAAAATTAAATTTGATAGAATGGGAATGCTGAAAAATGCGATTTTATGATGCAGAATATGGGGTATAAATTTGACTTTTAAAAAGCTAGGTGGGTACAACTCCTATACGACAGGTCTGTGCAGGGATCTAACAAGCCTATGTGGCGCCCCAGGGCAAAAAGTTCAGTGGTGGCCCCCCCCCCCTTCAATACTGTAACTGCTTTGATCAGTGCCTGTGCTCAGTTGATTTTTTATGATTAAAGAAATTTGAAAATACAATTTTTCTACTGTTTAACACTTTATCTTAATAACTGTTATTATTAAATCAACTTATATGTACAATTTTGATGTTTATTTTCCCTTTAACTCTCCATTTGGTCAAAAACCCTATAATATATCTTGGAAAAATCATAATTCTACCCTCCCTATTTGCTGAAATATGAACTGGTTTAAACAGGTTGTAGGTTTAAGGGAAGCAAAGGCCGGTGATATGCTATCTCAGCCTCCAAGGAGGCTAATCTATAAATATTCAAATTTGTCACCCCTCCAAGAAATGTCGCCCCCAGACACATGCCCCCTCAGCCCCACCCCCATGTGAGGGCCCTGGGTCTGTGAGAGACACAATGATATGTCACGGTAGACAACTGAATGCCAGCACAAAGCAGTGGTGCATTTCCATGGTGTATCAGTATATATTGTATACCTACATGAACATATAGAGTTGAGGGCTTAATTGAGCATGCATTTGTGTTTTTTAAATATACACTATTAATAAATATACACTATAAATATTATCATCAAGCCTGGTCATAAGTAAGGCATCAGTCAAAAACTTTGTCAAGAACAAATTATCACACATTACAACATACATATATACAAGCCAGGACATACATGTAAGGCGTCTGTCGAAGACTTTGTCAGACACAAATTATCACACAAGGTATATATTATATATTGCAATAAGTATGTTATATCATTTAAAGTCTATGACCAGTGCCTTATGTCCAGGTTTGATTATCATTATCAATATAGTATACTGGTAATAAACGGTATAAATTACAAAGATTAGATGATATATTCTCATCTTCAAGATGACTTTTAATATTATTTTAAATTAGGTGTTTACCTCTATAACCCTCTACATTCATTATGTATATTAGATATGGAATATACATCTCTCAATTTAATATTTTTCACTTGTACTTTTACTAGTCTAGGATTAAGGGTAGTATTTATAAACATAATGAAGTTGTTTTTATTGATCCATGTCAATGACAACAAAGGAAGTGGCAAGTCATGATCATAAGCAGACCTACCAGTATAACTAACCACCATTCTATGGTAAATAAACTCATAAATAAATAGGGGGGGCTTGGATGGCTGAATGGTTAGCATTAGGTCTGTCATTGAGTCAACTGGTGTGGTTTCGATTCCCTGGTTGTACATGACAAGGAGTAGGGTCACCTGTCCAACCTCGTGGGGTTTTTCCGGGTCCTCCGGTTTCCTCCCAATGCTAAAGACCACTACCTGCAAGCAAATTATTGAAATAAGATTGAACCATGTGTTAGTCCCGAAATGACAGTAAGCAATTGTTTTGTATTTCAAAATTTAATGCATAAGGAGCTACTAAATTTCAAGTGCTAAATCTTTGTCTTTGACACCCACAGAGATTTGCTATTATCTATTTATGAATATGATCTTATTTTGAATAAAATCTTGTAGTATAATCAGAAGAATTTTCCATGATATTAATAGAAAATATAGGAGAACTGCACAACAAAATGCAGACATAATCCTTGAATGACATTTAGCGACACAGCACATCAACGACCATTTATTTAGAACACAATCAGTGGTTTATTATATATACATGCATGCATGGTGCGACAATTCAACACGTTATCTTATTGCGCTTGAAAATGATAAGAGAACACCTGTCTATCTGTTGTATCATACGATAAATCAGTGATTTTATTCCTATAAAATGCTTAGGTTCTGTCTTAAAAAATGTAGAAAGGAGAGGGAAAAGCTGGCAAAGCAAGGTGGATGACAAACTCATGGTCCTATTTTCAGATAAAGAACCATTGACACATGACAGTTGGAATTCAATTGCTGTACTGGTAATAATTCCACTCATAGCGCACTGTATGTTGTATGCCCCATCTTCAATAGCCCAGTTGGTGCACAAAAGTAAAATGTTAAACCTCCTTTTATTTTTAGACAAGGATATAAACTGCTTGTCAAATATAAAGAGTAAATTATCACTGAATATCCTGTTTAATAAACTTATGCACTACAAAAGATCTCTATCTCTACTACAAGCAATAAATATGATAAACTCCATCAATATACCATGTCCTGGACAATATATTAACATCTACATAGTATTAGTATACCTATAGGTCTTATTCAAAACCCAAGATATTATCAGTCAAAAAATAATATATCCTGTTTTTAATAAAGGATTATAAATAGAAAATAAACCAGGAAATATATACACATATAATTACATACTGTATATACAGTACCTATTTTTATGACAAATTGTACAAGAGATGATTTAATATGAAAGATACCTTCAAATCCCTCTCAAAACATTGTATTTGCAAGGAAATACCCCCAAGCTATAAGAAATCTATTAAAAGAAGTCATGTTTGTGTCACATGACTTGGCTGTCGCAGTATCTAGCATCAGGTGCGAAGCCGGCCGGGGAGAATTCATTGCATGTAAAAAACGATGTTGTCTTTAATCGATGTCCATTTATGATAAATATCGAAGCCTAAGTATATTCTGGGATTATCCCCTGCGCAAGTCTTTTTCCACAGTTTTATCTCAGAAACTGTTGTACGTTCAAGTCTCTCACTTTTTTCAACGTACGTTCACCATCAAGTTTATCAAGCGCTCCACAATGCATAGAGGCAGACAATCTATGTGTTCAACCTTTGGCGTCCCTTGAGCAGACAGTATTTAATCGTGCATTAATTGACAGCCTCTTATTTTTGTCCTGTGCACGCTCCATGGGTGTTTTTCAAGGAATCCAGTATTTTTGTAGTAAGATTGGGTGTCTCTACTTTCCATATATACCAAAATTGCCCTACTTTTATTGGAAATAACCCCCCGATAAATACTTTTGTGGGAAAGTATCAAGTCTTAACTCGGCAAGTCTATCGATATAAAAGCAACCAAAGTTGTACCAACAATCATTATATGCTAGTAGAATTCTGTCAGTAGCTTCCATAAAAGAAATATTTTGGAAGTTGAATCTGTTGATTGGCCCTGATTTGAACCAGTGTGTAGGCCTACATATAATTTCATAAACACAGTAATTAAATTAGGCTATGCTAACAGTTAAATGTTAAATCAAACAGGCACTTAGTTTAGTGGTAAATTGTGCAAACAATCAGTCACTCTCACAGCACTACTGCCGGTATTTATAGTATTGAGTCAGTCGTAAACTGTTTAAACTCAGTCAGGTTTATCGCAATTCCTGTCGGCAACATCATATAACATAAGAATATATCACGGGACGTTTAAACCTTTACTCCATTAAAAGATAGAAATATATTATTAATATATTTACCTGTAATTCTAGTCAATTAAAGATACTTTGTTAATAAGTTCTTGGTCACACGTTCATTCACACGCCTGTTATCTGCTCCTCTTCCTTCATTACTGTCTTTACTTACATGGCTTCCTCTTCGCTGATCTCAAAGGTTAGAGGTCATAGGTCGGGTCATAGGTCATGTTTACATCTGTGAAGCCGCCACGTGTTGAGATACTACTGATCGAGATACGCTATAGTTGAGAGATGAGCTTTCTTACATGTAGTTGACAGGTGAACATGAAAATCATCACATAGATGCACTCAAGCAGTAACGTTATGTTTTGGTTTTTTGGGGTTTTTTTTTTTGGTTTGTATTTTTTTTGTGAAATATCTGTAAAAACAATTGAGATTTAAAATGTTTGTATATATTCTTTTTTTATTAAAAAGGACTAATAGAAGTATGCCTTTTATTATGGATAAGTATTTTGAATATATAATCTTTGTTTTAAAAAAATATATACAGCATCAAAATTAGAATTTCAAATTAAAAATATATGTAGAGGATTTAACATCTAAAATCTTGTAGATAAATAAAGAGGATAAGTTTTATCATGGACCATAAAAGGGTCCATTGTTTTATTTAGCTGGGGGGGGGGCGAATGGTTAGCGCATGCGCACAGTATCATATAAGGTCTGTCTTTGAGTCAACTGGCATGGTTTCGATTCCCTGTCCAACTTCATGGGTTTTCTCCGGGTCCTCCAACTGCTAAAGACCTCTACGCACAAGCGAATTATTGAAATAAAATTGAACCATGTTAGTCCCGAAATGACCTAGTTAGTGTCACCCTGACCTTAAACCTCATTTCTCTCTCTTTATCTTTATTCAGCTATTTTTGGTATTCTCTCTTTCCTCCATTTTTGTATGGAAAGCACAAAAATGTTTATCTTTTCTTAATAGATGATTAAAGTCCATGTGCATAATTTCAGCTTAAAATAACAGTCCACATGAAATGGGACCTTACAGAGTCTATATCGATCAGCTTGGTTAATATCTCATGGATGACTTGCCATTTGTGTTTAAATCCCACCAACCAGAACTAATTACTGGTTCTTATAGTATACAATTGTACGATTTGAACCATCCAAATGGATTGACATTTTATAAGCACAGTTCAGCAGACACTTTTAAAATTTTGAATTTAAATATGTATTATGTCAAAGATTCTTTACATACATGCCAACTAAACATGGCAGAATTAAACATACATTATGCAAGAGCTAAATCTGCCTATTGCAAGTCTTTATTTAGGCTTCAGATGTTATAGAAATTATTAATTAGACCTTTATTTACACGACAGGCTTAAAATCAACTCTGTAGGCCCACGGATGGCTTGGATAAGGTTTGGATTTAAACAGCCTTGTCCATTTAAAATTAAATCAATAAATGGTGGACCAAGCTAACGTTTACCGTTACTCGCTGATGTCACAACTGGAACTTGGTGATGAAAAGCCTGCCAAGCGAGGCTACCATAGCCATTGAGCATGTTATTTGATAATCGAGAATATGTGGGTGGAGTTATCGTTTGTCAATCAAAGGATTGCCGATTCTCATAGACGGTGAAGACACAATTGATGCCTATTTCTAGTCCAAACTTCTAACAGTGACAATTCCATTCAGAACAAAGTAATTTGACTGAATCATCTATTTTTGAATTATTATAGCAAGAATGGCCAACTCTTTATAAAACTCTTAATTAATGTATCTTTAATCATTTTCGTTTTCACATCTCAATATTAATACTAATCTTTAAAGTACTAACTTTGGTAAAAAGAAGTGTTGAACATTCAGCCTTTTCACAGCTAATATGAGGCTTACTGGAGATCAAATAAAATAGGCCCCCATCAAAATAAAATTTGTTTGATTGAAAGCAAAATTCATGAAAATTGCATCATAGATGTTATAAAGTGATATACTTGAATTTCACTGAGACAAATGGCTTTTGTACTTTTTGATCAGGTAATTTATGTGTAAAAACAAAATAGACTAAAAATGCTGATAAAATAATTTTTTTATTTTGTGATGTGAGCTTGACTAGTAACAATGCAATAAAAACAATACATTAATAACAATGTAACAGCTGACATGATATAATTTCATCAACATGTAATATATGAATGGTTTGATAGTTCTGTAAAACAATATTATAATGAATCATCAAATTAAGGACAATACCAGCATCCAGAAGATTTATACATATGTGATAGAAATGGTTCAACAGATTCCAAATTTAAAGGACAATATTGGTGTCAGTCATTATCACATATGTGATAGAACTAATTAAACACGTTCCAAATATAATTTTAACACAGAGATCACTGCTACGATAGCTGAATAATACAGGTTTCCTGAATCGGAAGTGACGAGCGCCAAAGGAAAACATGAGTCATACCTCTATATAACTGACTGATGTGACGAGCGATAATAATTCCTTCCAAGACCAAAAGTTGTTGTGTGAGACTGTGAGAGGATATCTGACAATTCATAAAAAGAATTGACTGCCACTAGATAAGAGAACACGAAAGAAAAACAGAAAAAGTCTGTGCATTACCATGTTTTTATAAGGTATAGAATGAATATAAACAAGGGAATGTACGGACTATTTCTATTTTTCTCGTGTTCTTTTATCTAATGACATTCAATTACTTTATGTGTTTAACCAGCTCTATCACATATGTGATAATGACTGGCACCAATATTGTCCTTTAAGCTTTGTTATATGGTTGAGCCCTAATAACATTTTGAAGATTTCAGAAGTGACACAAAAAAGGAAAATATTTATTGTTTACAGACTTAACTAGAGAGGGATAACAACTACACAGGCAACTTTTAACTCGCTGCATCCATTTTAACATGGATTCAGCTATCAAACTTTAGATATTGTCTGAAAAATTAAATAATTGATCAGCAGCTTTCGTTTCTTGTATTACATACAGTATATTTCAAAAAGACTATCTACAACTGTATTTAAATTAAGTTGGAATGTATTTAACTATATATAAATATAAATTAATATACATTATATAACAATACATAAACATTACAAAAATACATGCCTTAATATAATAATAAAATCTGAGAATAATCTCACCTAAGGTCAATAACTTATCTACCAGGTAACAAGTATACAATGTACATATTATATTTATAGACTAATGCACCAATTTGTCATATTCATCACCATTTATAAAATATAACATTGTTTTGGGGTTTTTTTAAATTTATTTTCAACATTTTTAACATATTAATTGTCAAATTCTAATATCAAGTTTCGAAGTAATCATGTATAAATTATTTTCAAAACATGTAATCCAATACCAGTATCAAAAACAATAAGAATTAAAGAAATATAAGAAGAAATTAAACATTATTAATAGCAAAATTAGAACATTTTTAACTAAAAAATATTTTGATTACACAAACAAATCTACTAAAATCTTTTTTCTCAGAGTGCCGTTCAATTCAGTTTGTTAAAAACTTAATTTTAAGAAAAAGAATTTCAGTAGACAAGTATATATTATTAATTCATATCGATACTTTTGTAATTATAAATAATAATTATTATGTATTGTAAAATACAGTTTAAACAAACAACCAAATATTTATCTTTTATTTATTTCCTTTATAATCAACAATTATTCAATAAATATTTCTATACAAAACAAAAGATGGTATCACATAGCTTTAATGATGAGTTTGAAAGTGGTTGGTGCAATAAAGGGGGGGTAACTAATCAACATGATCCCTAAACCCATATTATCTCCCCTTAGACCACTGAATGATTTTTTAGATTCTAAAGTAATATTTTGATAATACCCACAATACAAGTGCTAGAAAAACGTATATTAAAGTATGAAATTTTTTGGCTCATCAGATAAACTGAATCACCATTATGATAAAAAAAAAATGCCCAATAGATAATATAGGAAAACTGTACAACCAAATACAAACAATACAATACAAATTACATAAGATTGCAGTAATTTTCAATGTCCAACATTAAATTCACATGGCAAAATAAATCTTGGGTTGTACTTAACAGTATAATGTACCAAATTTAATATAACCTAAAATCCATTCCTTTCAATAAATCGTATATGTACCAAACAATATAAGTCTACTTTAATCTAAATTTTAAACATTTTTAAAACAAAGTTACTCTAAATTTATATCTAAATTAAAATAACAAAGAATATATTCAATTAAAATTGACAAAAAGTTTTATCTTTATTGGAAGTTTAAAAATTAGGCCATTTTTATCAACTAGGAATCTTGCCCCTTACATGTATTTAACAAAAGAATATGTCTACTGACAAGCAGGGACACCTTCTTTTCCACAGTAGTATGTTAACCTGAGTTAAAACTATGTCATTTCTGGACTAACATATGGCAATTTTTATTTCAAGAATCAGCTGGCACAACCGTATCTTTAGCGCTGTATACAATTCATGTGGTGGTAACCAATCAGTCAACTGAAACCACACTCAAGAGCAGAAGTTAGGTTTATGAAATGAAGGTGCCCATTGTAGACTGACTCATACAAATAAGAGCTATTCATCATACAATAGGTATTTGTACTGTCAGGTTAAAAATAACAAAAAAAAACCAAAGACTATCTTAATTTATTTGAATTTTCTTGACTTTAGTTGGAAGTTCGACAGCACTAACCGTTAACGGCCACATTCCACCTATTATACCTGCCTGAATAGAGACACCTGTTACAACTGCCAATTCAGGATCTACTGAAGTATTTGGCTTTTTACCAAAAAAGTCTTTGATAATTTGACGAACTTTAGGCACTCTGGTTGACCCACCAACTAAAACAATTTCATCTACCTCATTTTTATCTAGTTCAGCAAATTCTAGAACAGTTTTAATTGGTTCTAGCACTTTCAAAAATAAATCTTTGTTGATTTCTTCAAATAGAGTTCTTGAGATACTTTCTTCGAATATTTGATTATCAAACGAATGTAATTTTATTTTTATAAAAGCTCTGTCACTAGAGGTTAAGATTAGTTTCACTTCTTCCACATGATTTCGTAAAACCTGTTTGTCCTCCTTATCAGTCAATTGTTTTCCGTATTTTTTATGTATTTGATTTAATAAATATTGTAATAAACGTTGATTGAAATCTTGACCCCCTAGTTGGTTATTACCTGAAACATGTAAAGAAAAAAAAAACTGGTAAAATATTTCAACCAAAACTGCTCAGTTTTACACAAAACCAAGGTTTAGATGAAATCAAGCTTGATAAGGAGCATCTAGTGTTAATTATTTATTAACTACAAGACTGGAAGGATATTTGATACTGTATACCTGCCCCCTCACCAACATTTTGCTTTTGTTTATAAAAATGTCTCTTTGGTTAAGATACATTTAGGTTCAGATGTTTTCTATTCATTTCTTAATTCAGTTAATTCTATTCCCTTCACCACCACCCAAAATAAAGAAAAAATTAAAACATAGGCATTCCTACAAGTACAAAATCTTTTTGTTTTGTGATGGACTGGGGGGGTTTATCAAATAAATTCAGATTTTGATAAAGGTCTATGGTGATGTGTTATATTAATGTTCACTGCAGCAAGGATGTGTAACAGTAATATTTCCTTTCTAAAGTTGAAGTCAATAGTTGAAGTAACTCGAGAAAGTTGAAGCTATCATTAAACTATGGAGGTTGTTATAATTTGTATACCAATAGGTATATAAAGATCAAGATTTTCTTTACCGTACAATCCATAAAACAGAAGAAGAATGGAACTTTTCTGAAGACATTTCAGAGATAAACAAGCCAACAGTGAGGCTGATGTCCCCCGCCGAAATTGCAAAATAAATAGATGACACATATTAATTAATCGCACATTTATTTTTTTCACTAAGTTTCATCACTCTCTATCAGATAGAATCAAGATTATCTTGTCCCAAACCATCGACAAATGAAATCGATTAGCTCTGCTTAGCTTCAGCTCGAAATGTTAATTATTGAACTCAGTCAAGACATTCACCTAATGAACATCTACATATACATCAAGTTTAAACATTCACCTAATAGACACCTATGCCAAGTTTGAACATTCTACCTCAATTAGAAGGAGAGTTATTGTGTTCCAAAGTTTCTACCAATCAAATTGCTTATCACTCTGCTTACCCTCAGCAAAAAATGTTCATTATTGAACTTAGTTAAGGTATTCATATAATAAATCTATACACCAAGTTTCATCAATCTCACTTAATTAGAACTAAAGTTATCGTGTCCCAAAGCATCAACCAATCAAATTGCTTATCTCTGCTTACCCTAAGCGGAAAATGCTCATCTTCGAACTCCATCAAGGCATTGACCTAATCAACACATACACCAAGTTTGAACATTCTAGCTCAATTAGGAAGAGAGTTATCGTGCCCCAAAGTATCAACCAATCAAATTGCTTATCTCTGCTTACCCTAAGCGGAAAATGCTCATCTTCGAACTCCATCAAGGCATTGACCTAATAAACACATACACCAAGTTTGAACATTCTAGCTCAATTAAAAGTTATCGTGTCCCAAAGCATCAACCAATCAAATTGCTTATCTCTGCTTACCCTAAGCGGAAAATGCTCATCTTCGAACTCCATCAAGGCATTGACCTAATCAACACATACACCAAGTTTGAACATTCTAGCCCAATTAGGAAGAGAGTTATCGTGTCCCAAAGCATCAACCAATCAAATTGCTTATCTCTGCTTACCCTAAGCGGAAAATGCTCATCTTCGAACTCCATCAAGGCATTGACCTAATAAACACATACACCAAGTTTGAACATTCTAGCTCAATTAGGAAGAGAGTTATTGTGTCCCAAAAAGTGTGACGGACAGACAGACGGACAGACAGACAGACGGACAGACAGACAGACGGACGAACCCATTTTAATAGTCCCCTGCTTTCTTCGAAAGGCGGGGGACAAAAAAAAACAAATTCTTACCAGCCATGCCTTGTGTTAGAAACATTCCACCTTGAACCATGAGTAGTGAAACATCTAGTGTTCCACCACCCAGATCAACAACTAATATAGTCTGTAAACTAGGGTGTTTATGTAAACCATAAGCCATGGCAGCAGCTGTTGGTTCATTAATGGTTCTAATAACATCAAGTCCTACAAAAAAATAGATAACTGTAAATTTCCAGACATTTGTGTGTATACTTTTCGATATCAAAAATAATTTTCAAGGTTTCAAAGGCAAGGCAATCAATTCATAATAATTGCAGAAATGCGTTGATGTTTGAAAGGGTTCATCAATATGCAACTTTTCCAACATATTTATTCAGTATTCATCTGAAATAAGATTGGGAGACAGGCCAGACATATCTGTAAACTGCAACCCATCTCTCTGTATACCAGTTATTCAAGAAGCCGGTTTAATATTTGTGTTTTAGATTATAATGGCTGTCATTGAGTCAAGGGTCGTGGATACAATCAAAGACATGCATGCGCCAAGGAGTAGGGTTGTCTCTGGTTTCCTACACTGCTAAAGAATATGGAAATAGAAATGTAACATATGAAATGATCTGCTTAGTGTCAAGTGGACCCCATTTCTCTCTGTCCTACCTCTTTAAACATGTAGCTGACCTTCGACTCATTTAATAAGAACTATCTACCTGCAATACTGGCCGCCTTCTCTGTGTAATTTCTCTGTCTACTATCAAATTCGGCTGGTACAGACATAACAACATTAGTGACAGGAGAACTGATGTTTCTACTGGCTGTGTCTCGTAATAATTTGATAATATTACTACCAACTAATTCTGGTGTTATTTTAAAAACTGTGTTATTAACAGATACAACATAATGCATCATACCATATTCATCAGCCTCTAACTGAAATCATCAAAGTTATTTATTAAATAAAAGATAAATTTATACTTCAGCCAAACCAATTCATTTTTACTCTATTGGTATATTGATAAATAGCTTTTTTAAACTTTCTATAAATTTTTGAGTTAGCTTATCTTTTTTTTTCCTTTTTTTAAATTTTGCTATCTTAGAAATAGAGAGCTATATTTGAATAGATGTTCCCGAGGAACAAACATTTAATTTGGTGTGGCTTTAACATGCTTGAAATATTTGAAATGAAAATGCTCATAATTCCAAACCATGCTCCAAAGGACTGCAGTCATAAACTCTGCCCAGATCCTAACTCCCTCTAATATATGTATATGTGATCGGGGTATGCTTAGTTTTCCCAAATGTGAGGGCGGCAGTCTATTTGGGGGAGTCACAATGTCTCAGTGGGTTAGCTAGCTCAATTCTCAAGAGGTTCCAGGGTTGGCTGAAGAACTTCCTCAAGGTTTTCCGGCCTGATTTCTCCTTCTCAATGATGCAGGATGGTGGAACTGGCAATGAAAACCTGAGGTTCACCTGTGTACTCATTAGCATGCAGGTAAACGAACCCATGGTGTACTGTATGTCCTTTTTCATTAGCCTGGTTGATTCAGACCAGTAAGATGTTAAACCCCATTTCATTCCATTCTCCATCATAAACCTTCAGATTAACTTTGAATTTTAGCATTTAGTGTGTATATGTGTATTTGTACGACATCAGGAAAGTTCACAAACTAGATGTCATCACTCAAATTTTAATACCCCCGTGAATAAAATAAAACAGAAAATTGAAGTTGGAAGAAACAGTTGCCGATCAATAATTAATATACACAAGGTACAATTTTATGGATACACAATTACTGAGTTTAATACTAAGCGACCTTTCTTGATAAAGACGAGAGTATCCTTGTCGAAATGTCGCTTAGTATTAAACTCAGTAATTGTGTATCCATAAAATTGTACCATGTGTTAATATGTTCAATTACTAAATGCCAATCAAAGAAGAAATTAATATACACTTACTTTAAATGGATATCTTTTCTGTAAAGTTTGAATTTCTTGTTTTGTAAATACTTTTCCTATAAATCTTTTGGCATCATAAAGAGTATTTTTGGGATTATGTTCTGATTGAGCTACAGCTTCATATCCTACTAATATACCTTCTTCACTGAAACACAAAACAAACTTATTTAGTACAGTTATCGTTATATGACAACTTCTAGTCTGGTTACATAAAAATTTGATGGTCAACATATTAGTCTCATATGTTATTTTAATGAAAAGAAATTTGAAGATTTTCATTTTTTATTACATTATGGACAGTGTAATTAGATAAAGCCTGGACTTCTGGAAATGGGTCATTTATTGAGATTACATAGAATTTGTAAAATAAAATTAAACTTGAAATGTGTTTTTCTGTCTTACTGTCTAGTGGGTTGGACAACAGATATAATTGCATGACCTAGACACTGGAATTAAGGGTGCATTATGTAGGATATTCTTGCTATAACAGTTCAGCAATAGATAATGAATATATTGAATATTTCATACAAATGGCTTTATTTTGAGGGAAGTTATGACAGTTTGAAGATATAGTGTAGATTGTAGCAACGGTACTTAACAACCAAGACTAAGCCCTGATTGTCCATTTTATCGTTAAATTCTTTAATCACGAGGAAGTTAATCATAGGCTTGTCATATTAACAAATGTCTAAATAATATTTTATATAACATTTGAAGTCAAAAGAAAGACCTGCAATGCCAATAAGCAGATTTAGCTTGTAAACAATGTACCTTTAAGCCAAGATTTAATCTCTAATCTTAACAAATACGTACATCTGAATTTGGTTCATTTTAATCCTTTTTGCATAACAGATATATATTTTCATGCAATTATATAGGATACATAACTCATAGGTCGATATGTTTAAATATATTCTTACCTAAAAGCTACAACACTAGGTATACACTTATGACCATTCTGTACTTCAAGTATAGATACATTACCGGATATAGCCTGATACATTCCTATACATGAATATGTTGTACCTAGAAAACAAGTACACATTCATAAAAATAAATTTGATTGTACCGTAACTAGATTGTATAGTGTTGCTCATAAATTTTACCCTGAGCTTTGTATACCACAATACATCAAATGGGCCTGGATTAGGATGTGGGGGTGGGGGGGTGGGGGGGGGGGTGGATTGAGACATATGGTTTAAATACAATCTGATTAAAGCAGATCCCATTTCGTTTTTTATAGTTCAAAATTTTATTTGTTCTCGTTGATGTGAGCAATTAGCCAATAAAACCATCTGTTGCAGCAAGTTATTGGCATGCTATGCACAACTCTGTGCGTATCCCATTATAAACATCAAATCAACGTTGATTGTTTAATCAAAAGTTGGACGTCATAAGGTCAAAAGCGGCTCGTATGAACCCTGACGAGACCTCCCACTACAGCTTGTCAGATCTTCATGCAGAGGAGGCCATCGGAAGTATAAAAAAATGAAATGAAATATAAATCTGTATTTCAATCAGATTGGTTTAAATATTGTGATAATCAAAATCTCTCACATCACTCAGATGTGCACATGGATCATCCTCTAAAAAATGAATGAAGTCCATAGATAACAGTATGTGAAATTTCATTGGCCAGGGATTCAATTACTTCTCACATTCCATGCAACAGATGTCAATTTATTTATACTTATTATCAATCACCATTCAATAACCATAACACTGTCTACTGATTATTAATGATTTCCGTCTCTGAATCATCAATGACATTTCATGTGACACTACATTTAAAATTAAACTACCTCCAGGTTCAATAGCTGTGTGAATTATACATTCTATCAATATAAAATCCAATTTTTCAAAAATGCAATGTGGGTTTATAATTGTATTTATATATTTATATATCAGTACTGTGAGATGTCTCAATGCATTTTAGGGAAGGGCAAAATATTAAAGAGGCCACAGGCCTAATATTTTACATTTTTTTTAAATATAGTTATTATTCATATTAACCATACAGTACCTAAGTCTATTCCAAATATTTTAGGTTTAGGTGGTGGCAGATATTTCTGAGCAAAATAACCTGCTAATAACACTGCTATTATTGATGTACCTGAAAAGAAAAATGCATGTTGATCTATAGTAAGGTTGAATAGTAAATGACATTTGTGAACATACATGTACAATAAAGGTAGGTGAATTAAAATTCAACAGCTACTCGTCAGCATAAACATGCCTTCTTAGCCATACCAGCTGCCTTCTTGGTCATTTAGTTACTAGATGAAGCAAAAGGAAATGGTTTTTAATATCCGATTTTTCTGCACCAACTGTGTGCAATGGGGAAAGTATTGCCCGGACAGAAGAGCTATAGCCTGCTTTTATTTAGAAGTCCAACGGTCAAACGTTCTTTTAAGTACCAACACTATGGCTCCCTAGAATACTAGATCTGGATTGTTCATTTTTGGCTCGATCATGATGTGTAACGTCCTTTCTACCGATGTAAAAGTGAAATAAAATGTAAAAGATTGATTACCGGTACAGAGAAATATGCCCGAATGTTAACATAGAACTAGAAGTGATTTGGAAGAGCCGATAAATTACAACTTCAACCTAGAATTTGAACATATTTAATTATCTTTCTAATCGTCACATTGATTAATTATGTATGTGCTACAGAGAAATATCATTAATATGGATATTATAATGGTCTAACTAACTCTACTAAATATTTATTTTTCATATTAGGTGACTTCCATACTGCCATTACATTTACATACTCAGGTCAGAAATTTACTGACTGCAGTCACTAGTGCACGTCAGTATCAGTGAACAGGAGCTATCAGAGACAGGATTATTAAGTGTACATTAACATAATAATAATATACATGATGATCATGTAATATTGTAATAATAGGTATATGTATGTATTGACTAGGCCTATAATAGCAGTATATTTTATTATAATACGACGTGTATTATGCCGTTTCTTTTATCCGTCTGTTCATTCGACAGTGATCTGAGAGAAATGCTGAAACCGGATCATCATAGATCCTGTTTCACACTTTATGGGGACAATTCTCTCAATAATATTAAATTGGCGAAATACTTACCTAAAATTATAAAAGCAGACCCCATTTTCAGTCAACTTTTACTTATTCCATATGCTGTCACTTCTTTAGTTTTGACAATGAGTATGACAGCAACGTGTTAGCAGGCGATAAGTGTTTCCGGGTTTCCGGGATCAGCGCCCTCGTGTTTGAGTGAGTGGGACAACTCTTCAAAGGATGGGGTTTCAGACCACTGTTTTTGTTGTTGTTATTGTGGCGGGGCTGTTGCCATTTTTTTGCATATGTTACCTTCTTTCTGATGCTTTCAGATTTTACCCTTGGCGCAAATCATTTTAAGTGTGAATGTAAGGGGCTTGTCATTGACTTTGTGGATACGACCATTTACGTTTTGCTTGTCAGTTCTACGTACATGTATGGAGCCCACCCATACAGTAGCGGATTGCCAGTGAGGCTGATGAGGCTGCAGCCTCAGGCCCAAAGATTTTGTAAAAAAAATTTTTTTAGACTTGTCTGATACGATTAAAAACGCATAGACAATGAATGTTAGGGGGATGGGTTTAGGCCCAACGGGAATCAACATAGGCCCTGGCCCGAAATTAATTAGGCCCACGCCATTTTAAATAGGCCCTATTTAAAAACTAAATAGGCCCTCCAGCAACTGCCGCCTCAGGCCTTGGTGGAGCTTAATCCGCCACTGCACCCATAACAAGTATCATTCGGGCTTTGAAAATCCCCCCCCCCCAAAAAAAAAAATAAAAAAAAAATAATAATTTGCCTAATTTGCATATCATATCATTTTAAGTGTGAATGTAAGGGGCTTGTCACTGACTTTGTGGATACGACCATTTACGTTTTGCTTGTCAGTCCTACATGTATGGAGCCCATCCATAACAAGTATGATTCGGGCTTCGAAAATCCACCCCCACCCCCCAAAAAATAAATAAATAACAATTTGCCTAAAGTACTCCTTTCTCCAGTTAGATACGACGTAATTGGAAGATATGTTGTAATACTATAGGGGTTATTCAGTTCTTGGAAAGGTACTCTGTTTAATATAATAATGAAGTGATTAAAGGCTCAATACCACTCTTGTTGTAACTGAATAATATGTCCCAATCTTTATTCTGGTCAACAAATTGTACTATTTTACAATATTCCAATTAATTGATGATACAAATTTCATCTTAACACACCTAATTTAAAAAATTGGAAAAATTCAACTAAATGATTTGAAAAGCCTGACGTATAGCTTTTCAAATGTGACTTGGATTTAAAAATATTTTTGAACCCTCTGGACAAGTAAAATAGGATTTAATAGATAGTTTACACATCAGGTAGGACACTAACACATCTAGTACTTAGAATAAGGCTATTTTTTATTTTCTTGAGCTGTCAAGCCAGCAAGAGTGTTATTGTCCCTTTAAATAAATGGGTGACAACGAGAAATCGGCTAAGTAGGTATTTTGCAAGATTCGACTTTCTTAGACTAACTCACAGAAAGCGCCTGCCATCATCAATTGCTGAAAGTAGGATACTATCGTCCAAGCATCTGGAGCACAGATTAGGACAATTTTGTATAGAATAATGTTGACGTAAAACTGTGCACATACGAAACACTAACCCCAAAATGGTATTTGCCCTGGCCCGATAGGTGAGACAACTATACTTTCTATATAAGAAAGAGCGAGGTTAAATTTCCCTTGAGACACCATCCGGCATTCCTAGCCGTACGACTAGCCGCCTCGGCTTAGAGGCCAGAGGCGTAGCCGTGAAATATATATTGGGGGGGGGGCGGGTCCGCAACCCTAACCCTAACCCTTTTTTATTACCCCTAAAAAATATAAACAAACACCATGTGGCCATGCTGTCGACACAACTCGTTTGCTCATTGGCCCAGACACCGCATACAAAGTATTATTGTTACGTGGGTGGCTGAGCGGGCGATAAATATTTGGTTTAGGCGATAATGTTTTTGGGTACCTACATGCGATTCACTCTGATAAGTGGCAGAAAAAAATTAACATAATATTACTGACAGACTAACTAGACACAATTTTATGGAACACAGTTACTTTTCACTTCACACATGTTTCCAGGATGATTCTCTCTGTGTTTTATTTTAGCAATGTAAACCATATTGGGATATGTACAGGTTTTATACAGATAGAATCATAACTAATTCTAATAATTGTTGAAAATTAATAGGAGTTTAGGCCTACTATGAAATTTTTTTTTTTTTTTTGGGGGGGGGGGGTCCAAGTATATTCAGACCCCCCCCCCCCCCCCCCCAGAAAATCAGTTGGGGGGGGGGGGGGCGGACAATAACACCCCCCCCCCCCCCATGTGTGACGCCCATGTTAGAGGCCACAGAACACGCGCTAAGGGATAGAGAACTTATATTAGCTTAATGTCATAGCTGTGTCTGTAGTGTCCCTGTATGTAACCTATGGATGGATGCTATAAAGATATAAAAACACAGTTAACCGACAAAGTGTTCCGGAATCTATTGATCCTTTGGAAATAGTTTATACACCACGTGAAAGTCGAAGTTAGCTCCTAATCGACTGTATTGTCACATCTGTCCTTGTAGTTTCACAGTCCTCGCTTTTGGGAATCCGTGACCAGGATAATCGCATCTGTCCCCGTAGTGTCACATTGGAAGAACCGATAAATTACGACTAGAATTTGAACATATTTAATTATCTTTCTAATTATCTTTCTTCTAATTCAGAAGAAAAACACTGCTATCCTATAAGCTATCCTATAGAGGGATCCCTAGGTAAAAAGACCCCCCCCCCCCACACACACACACACACCCGTTGTAAAGGTCGCGATCAGAGGCGCGCTGGATGGGTAGGAAGGCCTACCGCTTACCTCGCCCTCATAAATACAAACACAAAAGAAACAGGAAATCGCTGATAACGCTCGAATTCGATGAGATTTCCTACCAGGCTATTGGGGCGGGGGTGGGGGATATGGGTGATTGTGTGTGGTTATGAGCCCATACGTTCATATGGGCCAATACTTTGTTGGGTATATTATGTTCGGGTTTGACCATAAATATGACGTGGGCACCTTATGGGTGATATTTGGAATTTCCCTAAAAAATAAACGGTTATTACCTTTAATATTTTGATTAATGCAATATTGGGTAGATAGGGAATGATCACCACTGAAGAGCTAAATGCTAATTACTACAACTAGTCAGTCGTCACATTGGGGTAGATTTTACACCGTTAGATATAGCATTAGTCCTATCTATAATATCAATGGCCAGTAACGTTCTTTCCATCTCTAACAACCACCCACCCCATGAAACGTCATCACATGGCTGCTTGTGGGATCCTTTCTTTCAGGGGCTAAGTGAGAGGGACGCAATGACGCGCTTTGCGTCATGGTTTTGAGTTTTTGTGCCCCCTTGGGTTTTCACTCCCCCTCACAAATGGCAAACATCGCGCGATTCAATACGGTTTTCAGCATTATAATCATAATCATAATACTTAACCAATATCGAACATATACTCTGGGTAAGATATTATACAAATCGACTCTAGGATGTTCATCACGGCCCAATATTACTCGGCGGCACTGGGAGGGCCCCACCTCACTCTTCCATGCACACATGGGTTTCCCCAGGTCCCCCGTCCCCCCACTGCTAAAGACCCCTACGCCCAAGCGAATTATTGAAATATTGAACCATGTGTTGGTCTCGAAATGACCTAGTTTGTGTCGAGAGGACGTTAAACCCCATTTCTCTCTCTATCGCAGCACACCAAGGTTCCCATCACTAGTCAGTGTTATCAGAAACATTGCCAATGGGAACTCCGGTTGGGCCGGGTCTACTTCTGTGTGTTTTCTGGGTATGCCCATTGCCCAAGTGCCATTAATCTGCCATATACGACCCTGATTGTTTTTTATGTATGTTGGTATTATATTTTATTATACCAACGACGATTCTATTGAGTGGCCATTTTACGGATTTTCAAAAAAGCTTCCTATTGTTGAGGCCATCCAATTTCTTACTAATGGCCTGTAATCTGATTTAATAACACAGCAATAAAAATTGTTTTAATGAGTGGCTAAGAATGCTATTTGTTTTCAGATTGATAGAATATATCAAAAGCGTCTGGTGCAAGCTTTCATCAATCCTATCATCAGTTTTCCAGAAAATCAAAAGCAATCTATTTCATAACGCTCCTTTAAAATAATTTTACAGTAAATGAGATAAAATATAATAGACAGATAATCCCGAACAATAAATACGCCGTTTATTTGTCTTCCCAGTCTCCAGATCAATTAACACTTTATATAATAAACAATAACTCGTCCCTAGCACGCACAGTTTACCGCTATATTTCCGTTCCTTCATACAAAATGGAATAGATCTTATAACTATAGCAACAACTTCCACGTAAACAAATCATGATGCCAACAAGTCCCGCGTTTTTTTTCTTTGGGCGAAATGAAACAGTGAAGACGCGGCCATACAATCAAGTACATGTATTAGATAAAGTCTTATATGGTGGCATTTGAAAGTTGGTTGATTTTGGTGGCATGTGAATTTTTGTGGACGAAAACGTGAGTGCTAATATTTCCTGTAGTTTCAGTTTTTAAACACAGAAAGTCCCCGTCTTTACCGTTTATTATTTATAACATAATCATTTCTAACACTATTGTAAATGAAATGAAAGGGAGTTTAACGTCCTTCTTTTCTGCACCAACCGAGCTTGTGAAGTCGGGTACAAGCCATGCTGTGTAGCCTACTATGCAAGTGAAATTTTGCCCCGACAGCGGCGCTACGACCCAATGGTTAGCACGTGCACGCAGTATCATAATTCTGTCATTGAGTCAACTGGCGTGGTTTCGATCCCCCGGTTGTACGTGACAAGGAGTGGGGTCGCCTGTCTAACATCATGGGGTTTCTCCGAGTCCTCCCGTTTCCTCCCACTGCTAAAGACCCCTACGCACATGCGAATTATTGAAATAAAATTGATCCATGTGTTAGTCTCTAAATGACCTAAAGCGAGCTAGCGCCTTACTTGGTGGACCACATCGACCCCATCTTGCCTGACAGGGTTAGGGGAACTAATTTAAGGAATTTCACTCTTCAACAGTATGGTTTAATTAGATAATCATGACGACCACTTACCACTATTCGCGGACATAAAA